CTCGGAAGAATATAACAATTCTGGCCAAACGTTGTCCTGACCATGTGTTCATATAATATTCCGTCATATATACTTTCGATGGGTAAATAAAGAGTAACCATGTTAAAACAGGTGGTACCCCCTGTAGTGATTCTATCAAGACCTTCACAATGAATTCTACTATTGAAATACCACATTCAAAATAATATTGTGTGGAAGGCACCGTGCTATACGTAACAGTATAAGGAATATAGCCGACGGCATACGCAATCGGTGGTATAAAAATGGATAAATGACTGTAAAATAGTTTAAGATATGTTTTTATGAACGACCCATCGTCCGTTCCGTATCGACCTATACGGCGTGCAAAACTAATTAAACTTAACAAGATTGCGAATATATATGTTGATAGACCTGCGACAGTGTTAAACCAAACTAAAATCAGCCGCGCAGTCTGCAGACTCGGTATATCACCCCAGTCACACTTGTATATGATCATCGGTGTGATCGAACCACAAGCTACTACAGAGAGAAATATAATAGAGCAGATGGGTCGCCACCGAGTCGCATTTGTTTTACTATTCCAAGTTATAATTATACCCCGTTCAACTGCAATACACGCACTAAGCCATATGCATGCATAGACAAGTGTATTGTAACCTATTTTAGCGAAGTAGCATTGGTATGCAGGATAATGACTCAGATCGCTCTTCGGTATTTTCTCTAGATAGTACTGAACACTTTGATTCACTGCAAATAAAATACTTGATAGCATTGATAGAATTGAATAAACGATTAAATAAATGCCACAGTTCGTACGACGAACCCGACCGCAGCCGATGAACAGTTCGAGACCGAGAATATTATTCAAAAGTGAGACAAATAGTCCAACTATAGAGACGACTAAGTAGACGTAAGTTGTATCAATCTGCGACTGCCATCCAATCAAGAGTTCACAAACAGATCCTTCGTGGCAGGGATCACAGTTACAATATGTCGTATTCGAAGTAATATTTACACCACACTGTCCATTGTCTGAACAATTTAAGGTGTTCTGGCTACAGAGATTAGCCATGAATTAATTTAGAAGAGGAAAGATAAAACTACAAATACACGAATATGAATAAGAAAATGGTCAAGGTGTATACCGATAGTGATCTTTTCCAGCTAGGAACTTGAAATAGCTCGTTTGTTATCGATTTTCCCGTTGCTGAGACCTGAATGCTGCATGAAAAAATGAACAGAAAATGACGGTGCTATTTTGTCTTTCCGCATCGCTGATAAATACTATACTGACGCCTTTTTTTTTCCAATGCTATACCAACGAACATGAGTTTGCTATTTCAGTCAAAAACAAGCGTTTCAAAGATATAGAGTGTATATACTACTATTAGGAGGACAAGAAAAAACGAATAAATTAAGTGAAGGCCGATGGCAATATTAGTACGCCTCAAATACTCTTTTTTGATCATGTCGCATAATATTAAAATCAAAACGGGATTCGTTGCGCGGAAATATGTATTGCAAAAATTAATTTGATTCGTTCTGCTTGTGGGTGTCATTTTATGTTTGTTTTGGTTTTTAGAAAGTAAACCGTATGTACAGTATTTAACTGAAGAGAGAACCCTCAGATTAATCAAAACAGGGTGTGGGTGAGAGGATAAGAGAATGTGCATGTGGTTTATGTGGTCATTGATACACACCCATACCTGTTTTTGTTACATGATCATTGCTTTTGCTAAGCAATCAAACATGGCATCAGCACTAGAGAAATCACTATTTTTGACTTGAACATGTTGTCTCAACATATCTATAATAACTGAAAAGAGTAGTCTATATCGGCTGTTATACATAATCAATGTTGACGATGATGAGAAAAATATAACATCAGCTAAAGCTGACTTTCAAGGCATTAATATCCGAGATAATATTGAGTCGGATGATGTAAATCATATTTCGAAATTGAAATTAATAATAAATCAAATATTTGCATACATAATTCGCTTCTTGGTTGTTAACTGATGAGGATAAACAAAATTTTTCTGGTCGTTGATCCTGAGTCATGTAGACAAACAGAAACAGTATTGATAAATAAATTATTTCCTTGATCAATTTTCTTCATCGGTCGATAAATTAATATTTGTCTTTTCACTAATTTAGCCGTTTGATTAGTCATTTCAAATTCTTGATTCCATTAACATATAATCTGATATACTATATTTTACCTTGATGTCCTTTTCAGCATGTCATTATATATTTTTTTACTTTCATTTCCTCAAAGGTACTCAAAGGTACTTTGAGCCGATAGTATCACAAAATTAATTGTCAAAAGCATTTTTTAGAATCAATGATTGTTGATGACGTCATAGGGCAACGAAAACGTATTAAGAATGATGCAAAGAGATTTTTTCAACATGCTTTTTCGCATACACCTGCATGTAAGCCCCTTTACAGTAATCAAAATCAATGAATCGAGTCGAAAAATTGATTGGTATGGAAATGGGATAGAAATATCCAAATTTGCTCGCATATATCCATTATTCGGCAGCACAAGTGATATAGTGTTCTTAGGATCAATAGTGTGCACTATAATAGATCGACCGAATATTGATACATAACGGAAGTAAATTGAAAATTCGATAGGCTATCTGCACGAGTAATCATTGAAGCAACGAATCTTTTTCGGTAAATATGAATCATCTGACATACCGAATTAAGAAATGCAGCGATTCTTTCTCTCACTATTCCTCACTTTTTTCGATCATGCCCTATGTGAAACAATTAACTTCATAGATCTACAATGGAATGTAGGAAATGGAAAAATTCGTGGTTGAAGACTGGGATTAACATGAATATTTTCTAGAAGATATTAAATATATAAGGAGAGCAATTGCAAGAACATGAAATATTTACATCAGTAATTAGCATTATTTGTTTCTATTTCCTCTGGGTATCATCATCAGTTATTCAAAGTGATACATATATAAAAAAAAGTTGAAATCAACCGATTAATTATCCCTCCACCGGCCGAACCGGCATTTGAGTCAGTTCTCTTCGGGGTGACATAATTAGGCCCGTCCCAGTCATCATAAATCTAGACCAGTTCAATCTCGATCGTTCATCATTTATGAGGTCCATAGTAGTAGGGCAAACATTGTGCTTTTTCTCATGATTTTCTCGGAAGAACATAACAATTCTGGCCAAACGTTGTCCTGACCATGTGTTCATATAATATTCCGTCATATATACTTTCGATGGGTAAATAAAGAGTAACCATGTTAAAACAGGTGGTACCCCCTGTAGTGATTCTATCAAGACCTTCACAATGAATTCTACCATTGAAATACCACATTGAAAATACAATTGGTTAGTATCCTGCGTGTTGTTGACAATAGTATAAGGAATATAGCCGACGGCATACGCAATCGGTGGTATAAAAATGAATAAATGACTGTAAAATAGTTTAAGATATGTTTTTATGAACGATCCATTCTCCGTTCCGTATCGACGTATACGGCGTGCAAAACTAATTAAAATTAACAAGATTGCGAGTACATATGTTGATAGACCTGCGACAGTGCTAAACCAAACTAAAATCAGGCGCATTGTCTGTAAACTCGGTATATTGCCCCAATCACACTTGTATATGATCATTGGTGTAATCGAACCACAAGCTACTGCAGAGAGAAATATAATGGTGCAAATGGATCGCCACCGAGTCGCATTTGTTTTACTATTCCAAGATACAATTAAACCACGTTCAACTGCAATACACGCACTAAGCCATATACACACATAGACGAGTGCATTGTAACCTATTTTAGCGAAGTAGCATTGGTATGGAGGATAATGACTCAGATCGCTCTTCGGTATTTTATCTAGATAGTATTTCACACTTTGATTCACTGCAAATAAAATACTCGATAGAATTGATACAATAGAATAAACGATTAAATAAATGCCACAGTTCGTACGACGAACTCGACTGCAGCCGATGAATAGTTCGAGACCGAGAATATTATTCAAAAGTGAGACGAATAGTCCAATTATAGAGACGATTAAGTAGACGTAAATTGTATCAATCTGTGACTGGCTTGAAATAGTGTGCTCGCAAACAGACCCGCCATAGCAGGAAGCACATTCGCAATAAGTCGTATTTAGAATAGTATCCACAGCACACTGTCCATTATTCAGGCAATTTAAGGTATTTGTGTTGCAGACATCAACCATGGATTAAGCGGGAAATGGAAATAGAAAACAAGAAACACTGACGCATTAAATATGTAGTTTGTATAAGAATTCGACAAAGAAATTGTACGAAACAGAGGTTATTTCTATTTTGGGGATTCCATTAAAGCAGCGACATAAAAGTTATCATGGTAAGTTTTATTCAATCGGTAAAAATATTTTGTACAAGAGATGAGCGATTTTTCTAAGTTCTATCGATTCAATATAACAGTGACTTCTCGGGAACAAAACATTCTATGCAATGAACTTCTTTGATTGACCCACACGCTAATGTGAACCCTGTTTGTTCCTTAGAAATGCTAGAAGATTTCAGGATGCTCGCAGGTATAACACATACTACACTCTAAAAAAAATCGGTACTCTACCGAACCTTAATAGTTCCGCATTTCTCCACCGAACGATTTTAAGTTCCGTAGAGTGAAAAACGTTCCGTGGTCTCCTTTCAGAACTATTTTAAGTTCAGCAGATTTCATCAGGTTTCGAAATTTTGCGCCTGAACTCTTCGAAGGTTCCGTAAAGTGGTTTGTGGTTTCGTACCGCATGTGCAAATCCACTGATAGTTTTGGGAAATGGCTGAAGGTTTCGTCATATACCCACTGAACCACTGTTGGCTTCGTGGACCAACCGAAGGTTTCGTATTATTTATGCGGAACTTATCGACACTTTCTGGTCGCCACTAAGGTTTAGTAATATGTCCACAAAACCATTGCTGGTTCCGTAAATTGTAAAAAGGTTTGGAATATTTTGTGGAATACAATTGATGGTTTCGTAGAACATTCGAGGGTTTCGTACTTTTTGAGCTGAACGATTCTCACTTTACTATCCATGTCAAAGTTTCGTATATTTCGTACCAAACCACTGAAAGTTTCGTAGATACTCTCGAGGTTTGGAATCTTTTCCACAAACCGACTCATATTTTTGTTCACGATCCCAACTTTTCGTATTATTTCTACGCAACTATTTCACCCTTTCTAGTGTGCTTTAAGGTTTTCTAAAAAACCGACCACACCAGCGCCCGTTTCGTCGGCTATCTCAAGGTTTCTTAGTTTTTGCAATACACTTTTCACAGGCTTATCATACATGTCAAACATTCCTGTAGCTTATCGGGGTCCCTGAGTCCAAATCCGTAATCAGCTTTTCTATCCGAGCTTTCATGGTTGAGAAAATTGGTCGATCTGCGGTCCAAATTTCACAAGGTAGACGTTTTATTTCAGCTCTGATCGAAATTCTGTGGTAAGTTTGATACAATGAAAGAGAGTAATTTTTCTCTTTGTTATTGAGTCGCTCATGTTGAAGGTTTCAGGTAAATTTCATTTCGTAAAATAACAAAAATTGGTTTTGTTTATTTATAGAAGGCCGCAAAGATGCAATTTCAGGTGAGTTTGATCAAGTATAATTTTATATATTTGTGTTGTTTTTGGTTCTAGGTTGATGCTTAAACGCAGTTTTAGGTAAGTTCTCTCTTCGCAAATCAAAGAATTATTCTTTTTTGTAATTCTAGGTTAATATAAATATGGAGTTTTAGGTAAGTCTGATTTTGAGAAATAAAAAATTTTCGCTAATTTGTGTATTTCAGATTGTTTCAAGTAAAAGAATACTGAAGTAAGTTTGGTCTTATGAAATGATTATATTTTATCGGTTCCGTATTTTAGGTCGTTTCAATTATGAAAATCACGGGTGGCTTTGGCTTTAATCCTGTGCTGTCGCCCACGGTATACACACTATTCGAGTATTTCTCAAAACCCGAGTATGGTATACATCAAATGAATCAAAAGTAAGATGAAATAGTTTTTAGAATGATTTTCCTTGAATGCAGAAAATTACTCTAGAGTCTACTTCATCTTACTTTTGATTCATTTGATGTATACCGTACTCGGGTTTTGAGAAATACTCGAATAGTGTGCATACCGCGGGCGGCAGCAGAGGGTTAAGTGATATTTTTAACGGAACCTTTGTCGGGTACGAAACCTTTTTTTGAAGGATTTCTAAAAGTTTTTGTACGAAACCCTTTTTTTGAATTTTCGTGAAGAGGGTTGATACGAAACCTCACTTTTACAAAACCAAAAAAGGATCTGACGGTGTGTCGAGGATAAGAACCTTTTTTAGGTTCTGTAAAAAACCTATTTTTTTTAGAGTGTACCCTCTTTTCACCTATTCTATCATGATATTATTGTATTGGGTGCTTAACCTCATTGATAATGTATTTGCGTGCTACTTTTCTTTATTGTTATTTCACTTTTTCTTTTCTCTTTGGTGGCTTCATCTTTTATTTTCTCTCTTCTTTTCTTGTCTTTTTTTTCTTTTGTTTTTAGTTTTACTGTCTCATGGTATTACTCTCATTGTTTTTCCTTTTATTTTTAAGTTTGTAAACGAAAGAAAACTGTTATTAATGGTGTCCCTATAGGACCTAGGAAGGTCAAAGGGTAATAAAAACGCAAACAAGTAGAATTTGTTTGATTGTAGTCTTTACTATTTTCTGTAACCTTAAATAATATCTATGATATAATGCTTCCTACTTTTGTAAAAATCAAATCATTTTCATTTCATTATTTGATGTTCTATAGAATTGTAATTTATCACTACAAGACCTAACATTAATTCAGTTCTCTTACATTTACCTGATGCTATCTTCATAATTCATGACAAAGTTATACTAATGATAAATTTATGCTTGATTCACTGATTTGCTTGAATCAACATTGCCTAATTCGAGTTTTTCCGAGTTAGTCTACCATAGAGACTTATCTTATCGACACTCCAAAACAGCAAGCTTAGATTGTGGAAAAAAAGGTTATTCTAGTATCATTTTACTAACACCAATAGGACATTTTTTATCTTCTCTATTATCTTATTTAAATAGAGGACTTCTAATTAGTTATATTCGGATTGTTATCATTGAAAAATGATCGGCCGCACATAGAATAATAGAAACATTTTGGCACAAGTAAAACTAATAGACGGGAAAAGATAAATTATCAAGTTTGATCGTATCATACTTTTAACGCATGTTACGAGTAATGGAAAACAGTAACTTTCTAATGCTTCACGTTCTGCGTCTTACTCGAACAAATTCTCATTATATGTATTTACTTTTAAAATCAAATTTTCAGTTATCAAACATTTATTTAGTAAAGTCAAATATTTATCGAACTCCATTTCATATTATTACTCAGAGGTCTGATATCTTCTCAAAATTCGTTGAATACTTGATTCATTCAACGGTTGTAACTGTTCGTTTCCGTCGATTTCCATCCACCCGTAAAGTTCATAGTCGTCATCAATATAATAACCGCCATCCGTTACTATGATCGGTGCACGACGAGCATAGTCAGTCGACCAATAATGAAATTCATGATTTTGTTCAGCAATATAAACATAATTTTGATCAACATCCGTAATAACAGCAATATGCCCGACAGGCATTCGTCGAGTACGTGGATAAATTAGAAACGAATTCTTTTGTGGCATTTTATTTGAACCATTCGGATGAGCTATTAGTCGAAACTTTTTACCGTCTGTGACACGTTCAACGTACGAAATATTTTTCCAAATGTTAGAAGCAATATCGATATCGGAGAAAATACAACTTTTACGTAGTAAAAGCCAACGACGAGCAAATTCTACACATTGCCATTGAACTCCAGTATACACACCATACAAATAGTTTTCTCGAAATGAAGAAGTTCTATGATTTGAGTACGCTGGTACATTCGTAGATGCGATGCCTTGAATATCGCTGGACGGGGCGCGTTTATAGAACCCACCATTTCCCATTTTGTCTATTCTAGACAAGAGAAATTTGAGAAATATTCAAACTATATCTTTAATTTCCACGTATACTAATGTAAAATCATGGCAGGGAAAATTTAGTCATAACACAAACGGGAATTTAACAGGTGTTGGTTTATCATTCGCATGATAACCTTAAACAGTCCATACATCTTGTGCTTTTAAAAGAGTAGGTACTTAGGTCTGACCAAAAGTTCTGAAATTTAAAAAAAGATCAAAGAAAAAGCGAAAGTTCGAGTTTTATTTTATTAAATATTGATGATAGTTGCCATGATTATATATATATATATATATATATATATCAAGTTGAATCCTTTCTAACAATTTGTTAAAAGTGTTTTTGAACTCTTTTTCGAAAAACATTTTAGGTACCTTGGATACCAGATGGGTTAATCATATTTCATTGTTTTAAAAATTTAGTGAAATGTTGTTCGATCATTTCATTTGCGTTCTAGCACTACTTATGATGGGATATGGATTTATTTCAGATAGGCTAGTCATAAGTCATCTGATGCCAGCTGGCTTATTGAAGATGAATCGTCAAAGACTATTGTTCATGAAGACTGATTTTAACGAAAACTTTCTTTAGTATATTCTTTCAATCAAATAGTCCTCAGTGTAGATAAAGGCAAGAATGTAGGTCACAAGTATTATATTGAAAATTGTCCGAAATCTTTTGTTAATGAAATATGGAAATGAACAGAGATATCAGGGCCAAAATGTACAAAATTGCTTGATGATCATCGTTCACTCCATACTTATCCAATGTTATTGGTGAGATGACAGAATAAAGAATCAATATAATGTCATATCCATCATATTCGTCAGGCCTGATACTATGCAATTTTTGGCTAACCAATTCTACTGAACGTAGTTTAACTAATTAAATAAATGAAGTATGATTAGTTCGTGTGATATCCAAGGTACCTAAAATGTTTTTCGACAAAGAGTTCAAAAAACCTTTTAACAAATTGTTAGAAAGGATTCAACTTGGTATATATATATCATGGCAACTAACGGGGGCGCCCGGTAAAATGAGCCTCTCAGTATTTTTCGAATATCTCGTTCAGATTCTCACGTATTTATTTGATTTTTTTCTGAAAGATAGCCCATCGAAATCTCTACAAAACCTAGTGAAGACAGTTCTTTCAACGAATCATTATGAAACTATATCCAGTCTACACTACAATGCTCCAAAAAAGTCCACTTTCAAAGCACTCTATTTTGTATTTCCGATTTTGCACTGCTCTTTCCCTACTTAGAAAACAGATTAATTAGGCTAGTTTGTAGCTCTTGAAAAGCTCTATCAATTGAGCAAAAACTTTATTTTAGCGTCACATCAGGTTAGCTGAAAAAAGTCTCTTCTTGGTGCGGCACTACTTTCGTTTTGAGAATCTTTCGTATAATTATACGCAATTATGGTTTTTTTACATTAAATAGACAATGATGATGCATTCAGATGTAATACCAAATTGACGATAACTGTTGTCTCTATCATTCTGATAGGGAAATAATGCTATTAAGAGGTTTTTGTAATTCTTGTGTCATAAAATGAGGAAGATCGATAGTTTCAAATCGTTTTTAAAGAAAATTGATCGATGACAACTCACAATCCTATCCAAATATCTTATTTTGAGCCTTATTAGAGAGATTAAACCTGAGAACAGAGGAAAATTGCATGAGAGTAGAGTCTAATATCTGTTTGAATAGAAAAAGTGTAATAATTAGTTTTTATAAAAATGAGTATTTGAAAGTGGACTTTTTTGGAGCATTGTAGTGTAGACTGGATATAGTTTCATAATGATTCGTTGAAAGAACTGTCTTCACTAGGTTTTGTAGAGATTTCGATGGGCTATCTTTCAGAAAAAAAATCAAATAAATACGTGAGACCCTGCACGAGATATTCGAAAAGTACTGAGAGGCTCATTTCACCTGGCGCACCCGTTATTATCAATATTGATTAAAATAAAACTCGAACTTTCGCTTTTTCTTTAACTTTTTTTTTAAGTTTCAGAACTTTTGATAAGACCTTAGTACTATATTTTAGAAGCAATATTTTGATAAAAAAAAGAATTCAATCGGAGATTATTAATTTATTTTTACTGACCTTTTAAAAGTATTCAATGAAGAAAATGTGGAGTTTTTTTCGTATTAATTGTCTTTAATAATGGCTGAATCGATTCAAATTTCTGGTATATGTAATCGGCATGTATAAAAAAAATGTCAAATCATCAAGAAAAGAACACATTTGAGTCATGATGATGAGGCATTTTACGCTAGAGAATAGTTCGGTTGACGTTCTTTGCATGGCTTGAGACAAGTTTATTCTTCACCTCTCTTTTTTCTTCTTTTCTTACTAGACAAACAGCATGGCATGTAAATCAGACAAACAAAATATACGTCACTGGTTGCTTGATGTCAGCATATGATTTTTTCAATTTCACTGATCACTCTTGAGCTTTTTGGCTATGATCCCATTCTCGATTTCTCGACTTGATTTCGTAAAATCACAAGTATATCAATTAGAACTGGCTATCTCTTAAAAATTAATTTTCAGAGGAAAATTCTGACTCATCACAGGAACCGCTATAATATTTAAAATAAATTATGTTTTTTCGGAAGTTGAGGAGCTATCTTTTATTCGTACAATGCCGATGAAAGAAACATCTAACTACTGTGACACAGTCAATTTATTTCGAATGGTTTCGTGTAAATAAATAGATGCTTTCTTTAGTGGGTTAGCCAATTAGTACCATTGTACCGATTTTGATTATTTCACATTAGCGATAAACGACGGTTGTTGTGTGTTCCGGATATTTTTCAGATTTGTTTTCTCATGAAAGGATTCCACAGAAAACTTTCGACGAATTCGAAAAAATTAATCTTAGATGTTGTCAATAAATCTAGTGCATTTATTTCAGCAGGATCAAACAAAATCACAATAGTTTATTGAACTTTGATTGTTGCACGCGCATGACAGGCATAAAAAAATGGGCTTGACAAATAGAAAAAGATAGGCGAGATATATAATAAGACACAAAGGTTAGAATTTATTGTATAATACTTGTTACAGACGAATTGCCTTTTGCTAATATCTCTTCAATATTTTTTCTATCTTCTCCTTTGTAAATATTGATTTTTTACTGTGAAAAATCGTCTTTTTTCTATAGTTGTTAGACATGATACGATTTTAACCCATGAAACACTTTGACGAATACTGCAATGCATAAATTCAAATCACTAACTCATATAATGGAAACAGAAATGCATTGAAATTTTCTGTTTTTCTAATAACTTCTTTAGATATTATTTAACGATGAAAAACTAGTTGATTTATTTGAAATGAGCCGGAAACATTTTTATAATACATTTCTTAATAATGAAGGAAATAAAAAGCGCTAAATTTTATTGAGAGGTGCTGCTTGTTATTTATTTCTGTGCCTTTTAAACTCAAGTAATTTAAGTAACGAGCTAAAGATAAAACACAATCATATTTTATTAACAAATATTTACACTTAAATGCATCCATGTATTCTAGCATAGCGATTATTATTCATCGACGTCTTTTTTACGATTTCAAGACTCTAGGTTTTTTAATATTCAAGTCTGAATACCCTAATTAATTTACTACTTAAAGAAAGCACACAACCTAAATCTATAGACACGTATATGCCGAACAGAACTTGCACTGATCGATGAATTTACAAATTCAATACAAAAAATCAGTGCGAATGCTAAATAGGTTTAAATAATCAAACACCAGCGAATTGATAAGATTAGAAATAATATACATATAATTTAGGCTGATTTAAAATGAGAACTGTATTAAAAATATTAATATCATTTGTTACCAATAAACGTAGAAAAAAAAACGATTAAGATTAGGTAACCATGAGCTTTTCAAAATTTCTACGGTTATCTATCTATGCTAATTTAATAGTAATTTTTCAAGATATTTTCTGCATATTCAGATCTCTATTTTGCAACGCACTACATATACCCACGGGTTTAGAATAAAACCACAATGTGAAGAAGGAATTCTACATCGTGAACTAGATCATCAACATGATCTTGCAATTTCTTTTATTTGTAGCTAGGTAGTTCACTTCTGTCGATTATTTACCTTTCATTTACTGTTAAAACGAAAACAACTGTTTATCAGATTTTTGAAATGCAAGACTCGCTTTTTTTTGTGAGAAATCAACATGATCTTTATTATTTTTCTGTTTTGTAACTGATTCTAGAAAATAAGAATTTTCTTATTTTGATCAGATGTCTCAATCATGTTCAATTCACCAATGTACTCGTATATCACGTCGGCTATGCGATTGTTACCAGCAAAATCTTTGTCTACAACATATAAATGAACACAATACTGTGCTCATATCTCAGCACAATCCTTTAGTTGGTGAAATCAATACAATTGGTGATCGTCTCAAAGCTCTAAATATTCAAAAAACAATGGAGTATAGTTGTCAAAAACTTGAGGTATGGCGTCAAGATAGTCATAACAAGATCGATTGCTTTTTCGGAAAAATAATGTCAACAACTTGCCAATATGTCAATTATTCGTCAGCTAAAAACAAACATGAATAACATCGAACAAACATATTTCATAATCAATACTCGTCCTGTGCACGTCGATGACAGGTCAGTTTTCATTGAAAAAACGACTGAGTGCGAACTTGATTTATTAACTCTTTCGCCTAAAGAAAAAACAACCCATCGTTTGAAGGAAGTTTTCGATCCCTAACTGGCAATAGTCGTTACATCTTGATACATCAACAGCCAAATTTATGTTTGTTTGATAGAGCAATGAATATAGCCAAGAAAATTTTACGGGCGCATGGTGCAATTCAGGATATGTGTTGGTCGACAACACTAGATGGATTTATTGTACTTGGAAAAAATAAGATTTTTTTTTATTAATGAAAATACAATTCCAATTGGCAATCAACATATAATGAAAGAACGCGGATGGCTATCTGGTACATGTTCGGAAGCAGTTTTCTTTGCATGTACTAATGAACGTGCGTCATCCATTATGGAATTCACACTATTGCCAACAATGCAATTGATTCGAGAATGGGAACATCCTTTCACATGTACCAAAGTCCATTCACTTGTAATGAATGGTTTATTGCCGATTATACAGCTGGAAGACTGTTTCAAATTACAGAAGATGAGAAAATCAAGAAAGCAAATAAATATTATCCTAGTCCCTATCGTGTAATACTTTTCGACTCAAACAAGTTTGTTGTAACGACTGCAAGTGACGTAAATTTACATGCGATTCAATCCAACGAATGACTACGTTCATTTTATGTTTCACTAATTGCTTTAATTATAAATTTGAGAACATGATGCTAGGAGAGAAACTCAATGACACAAGCAGAAGTAATGAGAACAAGTAAATTTTACAAAACTACCTGTTTATGAGTATCATGAGAAAAATTATAATTGTGCTAGTTGACTTCGATTCGAAATGTTGCGAACAAATAACATGATGTATACTTACAATATTCTGTTTCAGAATTGGTTATGCTCACATTGTGGATCAATTAGGTTACTCCCACTGGTCGTGATACAGGCATGATTAATAAATTCTCAGTGAAAGACATCAAAGACATTGCGTTTCGATTATAAATCAGTTTGCTCTTGAATCCGATTGAGAGCAGAACAATAAAAAGATCTTTCTCGATTTAAACCGAAATATCATAGAAGTAGACGAAATATATTTTGCTCGAAGAAGATTTCCAACCGTATCTATTCGAATTCATCGGATAAAGCTATTTCTGATAGATATTACTTTTCGGCTACTTGAAACGATTCGAAAGATTAATACTGATTAAAGAAAAGCAATCATGAGTTTATTGGTCATTATTTCTACGGTTAACACAACAGTTTATCTGAGCATAGATATCGTTGTTTTCATTCTAGTGTAGATAGTTTCTCTCGACATAATACTTGTTACGAACAGGACTTAAATCAGAAAAAAATACTTGTTACTGTGGCTTTGGCCTCTGACGGTATTTTGATAAATGGCGTAAACTGACTAGGACAGTTACTGACTCGACTACAGTTGGGCGCTCTTGATGATTCACCAGTTAGGTAATAAAACATGGTGCAAAACTTGTTTTTATTTATGATTGCAAAACAAAGTTTTGATGAAGGGATGAAAATTTTACCCTACAAAGCACATCTTAGGACATATATTGTGATAAAAAAAATGCAGCTATTCATGATACTTCTTGAGAGACGTAAGAAAAAAAACCGAACGAAGCCAAATTCTAACACATCAACGTATGACGATGATAGAATGTCACTGGTGACGAATGTTGCAGTGAAGTGAGTTTAATATTGTTATAGTGCTTGTGGATAAAGCTGCCCGTGAGGATTGGGTGACGAAGAAATTTTTTCGAGCCTAACATACGTTTATTATTAGTTTTTACTCACGTATTTGATATGAAATGCTAAACCAATGCTTTTTAGTTTATTCTGGATACCATAGGGAGCCATTTTTAGTACAAGAATTCCCCATTTCAACAAGATGCTCAATTGTAGCTCGATTACTATGATAGTAATCTAACTTTTTTGCCGTAATATATGCACGTACTACCTCGAACAAATCGTAGTCTGTCGTTTTCGAATCTCGGAAATTTGGAGGGAAATCCCATAGTCTTCGATATCGAAAACCTCGAAACACTGTCATATTCCATGCATATGAAGAATGTAGTATATTCCCGCCAAACGGTTTAAGCCAATTATTGACTGTATCTTGTGGGACCATTGTAGGTGGATAAGGATTACCTTCACTATGACAAAAGTATCCTTTAGTCCATGTGAAAACGACCGATGGATATCGAGTAAAGACCGATAGAAGCTCACTCAGATGATCGACAGACCAAATATCATCATCATCTAGATGCGCAACATATATGTTGCATTTGGATCCACAAGTACTATGATGTTGCTCAGCACGTTGTAGTGCATCGTTCATGGCCGAAGCACCGCCACTTTGCCATAGTTCGATGCCAGTAAGATTATCTCGCTCTCCAGCTTCCGGAAGATTATGGAGAAATAACTTCGATGACGATATACTGGTGAAAAGTGAGGAAAATTCTCGCTCATTTTCGTAATTGTCTCCAGTAACGAATAGTTCCCAGTTGGTGTATGATTGAGCAAGTATTGATTTAACCGATTTCTTTATGTAGTTCGGTGACTTCCCATTTTTTCGCATATAAGATGCCATGATAATAATAAACAAAGGACTACTGTTAAGTTCTAAATTTGTAGCATTGTTGAAAGAATGCTTTAGCAATGGGTCTTCATAATACATATAAAACACAAGCGAAATGATCGTCATGAAGATGATTGATATCAGAGTAAATAGTTTCTTAATTGACATATTCGACCGCACATAAAGTGATTTACAAAGATGACTCGATAATTCACTGTTTGCCGCAATTTATAATCTACAAAAGGGTTGTTTTATTGAAGAGAAACGATAGCCTAGCATCACGCCCACATCAATGATATGCGAATTCAGATGTTATATATTTGCTATTGTAATCTAATTTTTTGGTATCTATGTTGAACTGCATGCTCATCATATAAAAGATCTACAAAAGTGAGCGACAGACAGCAGGGGCGGTACAAACCTACAGAATGGCGAAAATGAATTGCAAAGTAGTTCAAATGAACCGAATTCTATGATGATTCTATTTGAAAACACTTCCTTTCGATAGTCCTTGTTCGTAATAAACGTATACAAGGATCAACCAAGCTTTTCAGGCTGTATAAATCTCTGCGAAACTCTCGAAATGAATTTCACGGAACGAGATATAATAAAGATACAAGTTGTGGGTATAATGAAACGATACATATAACCAGATACTAGATATGGGTATAACACAACGACACATATAACTGGATACTAGATGCGGGTGTAACAGAACGACATATATTTAATCCGTCGCACGTGTTTTTCGGTGGTTCGATCATGTAAATGATGTGTCGCAATAAAAATTTGTCTCATTCTGTTGGGTTACCAGAACTTCGCCAATTGGCGAACATCCAGTGAACGTTGTGGAATTTAAGTGTGACGATAGTGTTGATTAAAGATATTGACATCAACTGTATTCTTAACTGTATGGCTCGAGCCACATTTTAGTAATGTTAGGTATAGTTCTACTTCACTTGCGGTATGACTATTTCACTTCTATTAATGAAAATCTATACAACTTTCGTCAATTCTCCCTCTATGTATTCATCAATATGTCCCATGGAAATTCGCCAATTATTGACGAAGTTCCGGAACCCCGCTCTGTTTGCTGGCTATTCTTTTAGAGTTTTGTTTTGCGCATATTGCTCTATGGAAAGAACTCGAATATACGCTCGAAACTTATGGACTTATGTACTACTTATTCCTCTAGATTACTCTCGAAGATTTTTTTGTTGTGACATGTCGATCTGTCAGGATTGAAAACAGCGCTGCATAGCGGGTCAGAGACGTGCACAGGACAACTTTTTCTATCCTGTCCTTTCCTGTCCTGGCGGGCGGCAGGACAAAATAAATACAAACGTCTTTTTTGTCTTGTTTACTTATTCCGCTGTGATACATGATAGAAGTGTCAATATGAGACTCATTATTTTTATTTCAAATGATTAAAGTACTCAAGACTACTATTTATCTCGTAGCTCACTTGTTTTATATAATTTTTCTAGACAATAACTCCACTGTGAATAATCATTCGTATCATAGATACAACAAACTATAGCACAATCGTGATTTGTTACTGTGGTTCTGAAAAACTGCAGGATTTTCCCTGGATAATGAAAAGTACCTGACTTCGTAAAGGTACATTATGAACCTTCAGCATGATCCTATTTAAGCTGAAAAATGTCGACTTATTCTTGCTGTTGATTTACAGGCTCTATATCGGAAGGAGCGTTTGGTCTTATAGAAAATAGATAAAAAAGATATTTTCATGTAAAATATTGTTCCGGTCTAGATCTTATGATCGTAACAGTTCACCGACGTGTTTAATCGACTTACAGTAGATGCTTTTTTTATCCACATATCCGATACAGAGAAAACCCCTAATATTTTGCAAAAATATCTAGAAAGATAATGTTTCTTCTATATGTGATAGCCCTAGAGAGAAGCATTTTTCCTCAGTAAAAATTATAGGGCATCATCAGTGAACAAATTTCAGGCTTGTTGGTTCAAATCTCAAACAAAATCCTCTCACTCAAGATTTCTTTATTTTTCTAAGTATTTAATTAGAGTATTTCTTGCTAGAAACGATATCCTGATGATGGCATCATGCATTAGTAGACTGCCTAAAAAATTAATGCTGCGGTTATGAATAAATACAATGTTCAGTGGGAAAATTGTTCTAAAAAATTTGAGTTTTGAAAGATTGTAGTATTTTGATTGTTACTCACCAAGAAACAATCTTTCTCTCTGTGTATCATCGATAAGTTCATCATAGCTTAAAAGAAAACTTTCAAAATTTGAATGGATTAGCTTCAAGATGAGCACAGGACAACTTTTTCTATCCTGTCCTTTCCTGTCCTGATAGCTATCCCTGTCCTGGCGGGCGTCAGGACAGGACCAATTTGAAATTTCATCCTGTCCTGGTTTGTCCTGATCGTGAATCCCGTCCTGGCGGGCGTCAGAATAAGGACGAAAATTAAAAATTTGTCCAGTCCTGGAGGACAGGACAGCAGGACAGCAGGATCGTCCTGCCCTGTGCACGTCTCTGTAGCGGGTTCAAATAATTTTTCAAAATTTGTCACACCGAGCTGGTTGATCCTTATAATTTTCAATCTTTAAATATACTTATGTGGCAATCATATTTGCGATGATTGAGAAATCTGCAGATTAGCTTTGTATCAAAATTCGATTTTCCATAAAATCGTTAATACTATGATGAAATGGGCAACAGGCATCATTCAGTTTATTCAATTAGACTACGAACGAGTATGTTGATCACTGATATTAATTTAAAATATTTATTTTGGCAACAATCGACTAATACTTAAATTACTAACTACTGTAACTAAACTTTGGCTAATTTACTTTGTTGAAAACCAAAGTTAAATAATGAATACAAGTGAACTAACATCCAAATGAATGAAAATACGAGTGTACAACGCCTGTTTCCTCAGCCTTGCACACAGCGTGAAGTCTTTTTTTAAATTTATATATGAATATTATCGAACTTAGCTGAAGAAAATATTAGATAGCGTATGTTAGGGATAATGGATGCGCAAAAATTTGAAATATGCTGTTCTTTTCTTATGACCCAGTTTTGAGTCTCTACAAGTAGCGATTGCATTTCGAACACTCGCACGATGTATCCTATCGTTTAGTCATTCTCCACTTCACAAGTGAGTCTAGGAGAAAAAAAATATTCCTAAAAGTGACTTAACTTTTGTTTTCATGAAACTTCTTTCAAATTTATTTACCAATTCATCTTCTATTCAAATAATCGCATTAGCGTTCTTTATCTTTGGCTCATATCTACTTTGATATCATAGCTTTGAAAGCAACGGCTTACGAATTTCAGTTCTTTTCTTGTGATGTAGCTTGATACGTTCTTTGTAATATGATCATACGTGGAACAAACCTAAGGATTCTGTAGGTTATGATCATATTGTGTAAGAAAAATCTAGTTAACTATCAACATCTACTGAAAATGCTGCCTCAGTACGTTTAGTAAAAGTCACCCTGAATCAGATTCAAATGAGCACCCAAAGCCTACTTTTTTATTCAAAAAACTGTTTTAACAACGTATTAACGAAAAAGAAAATTTGGCAATGCTCATGAAAAATATATTATTAATTCTACTCAAAACATTCGCTAGCATAATCACTGCAGGATTAGAAATATGAAACATGAGATACTCACCGTCGCTAATTACAAGAAGTAGTGTATACAATGGATTTTTGTGATACAGTGCGGCCGTTACGACTCGCGACGGGCAACTATGCAATTAATTAAAACATGTGTCATGGTCTCAGTGGATAGGTGCAAACATTTGCACTATCCACTTCAATGCTGGTTTCATATTGGATTTCACGAAATCCCAAGTTTTGTAGAGATTTCATTTTTATACACTAAAGCTCAATTTGAAAGTGCTGAGCGCTGAATAACATCCTGAGAGAAAAACATGACATAAGTCGGTCACTCTTAATGAGCACTGCATTAAATATCTACTAGAAGAATTTAATTTTGCCATACACTCACGCTGTGAAACAAATAACGTTTTCTCGCTAATCTGATAAAAAGCAGAAAAATAGTATCAAAATGCTGCAAGAAGCGAACCAGTTTACTGCTTAAGATCGACATCAACAGATGCCAATTTGTATGATTCAAAGCATCATTATGGAGTCCTATCCAGAAGACGAAACATTGGGCCGAATGCTTTTCATGTAACTTTTTGACTACTGTTATTACTTAAAACAAATATTGTTTTTTTGGAAGTAGTTAAATCAGAATCTTAAATAAATATCCGTGAGACATGTAAATATTCAAGAAACTCAATAGTGTTTCATTATCAGCTGTTCGTATTTCTCATGATATGCAGCTTTACGGAAGTTTGCGTCAATAATTACATGTATCTTGATAGGTCTTTTTACATAAAAATTTAGTTCCGCTATAAAAATTATAGTAAAAAACTAATGACGAGTGAAAATTTCATTTGAATATTAGACTCAACGTAATTTGAAGAAGTCCTGTTTTCTTATGGAGCGTCGATTCATTCACATAATCCATATAACGCATAGAGCATGCACCTGAAAACGGACGTATACATTCGGAAAACAGAATCAAAAAATATCATTTTAGTTTTCCTTACAAATAAAACGAATCAAATTGATTTCAAGATATATTGTTTATATCGTACGATGAAATCTATTGCAATCAGTCTCGAAACATTTATGTTGAATATTGTGAATTTGATCGAAAAACATATCAAAGCTTCATTCAAACAGCAGATTGTCGTGATTACATCAATCACTCAATGAATACATTTGCACAGCGTATTGCAAGATCACTGATAGCAATAAATTGACTTTAGCATTAGAACTTTTTTTTAATGAATAAAGCGGTTTTTAGAGTTCACAATCAAAGCTCAAAACACTTGTCTAACTATACGGTAGATTCAAAAAAGAACAATAACATACATATTTTTCTAAACTGATGGTAAGACCTTATTGTAATTGGTGAATAATATATTTAAGAGCGAGCAAGTCACACAAAAATCATAAATACACTCCTGCAGATATATTGATTAGTCTCCTTTAATTAATTGCACTCAAAGAGACTCGTCTATCGGGCAATAGCATGGATGAACAACCGAACCAATTTGAAAAAATATTTCACATAAATTTATTCTTCATATTGATCCGTTTGATTTTCGAGACACACTTCGAATCAATTTTATTCTCGATTATAATGATTTACTTCATAGTTTTTTCTGCTTATCAATCCTGAAAATTTTCCACGCATCTTCTATTTTGCACCAATCGACTACTCTAAACGTTCTTAACCGAATAATTCAATTTTTTCAGGTCGGAGACTTCTAATTTCTCTTTTTGCTATCTATCAATAGTAACTTTCACCACTTACAACAATCTTATGATGTTTACCGATGTATTTGTTGACAGAATTTTTCATATAATAACTTTTCTTTTCAAAATTCATCCTGATCTGGTTTGCACTTGTTTTTAGTGCATTTTTGAGTATGACTACAAAATTGAGAATCTTTGAAAACTTGCTTTAATTAATGTATGTGAAAAAACACTTGCGCCGCCTCTCTCTTTCTTTTTTTCTTTCTTTTACTTTAGAAGGTCGTTTGAATTGATCGATCAACCCACATTATTTATTTGTTTTCAAATCATATGATAATCAGATCACTTTTACATCTCCGTAGATAAATTACGTAAGATCTTAATGACACTATTTTCTATGTGAGCCAAAAAGTGATGTCGCTGCACACAAAGGACCACATTCACATCTTCATATTAAATATAGGCCTCCATCAATTTATGTTTCTATAGATGTGAAAGCATTTTCTCGTTCTGTACTTGAATACTTTACTCCTTTGCATATACCTTTGGAATTAATGATTTTTCAAAGACTCTAGTCAGTGGAAAAAGTAGAAATAATCCTGTGCTGTTATCCATCATAAGAGTACCACTGTGTATCTTTCTTCGTGTGCAATCATCCACATAGTCTCAATAAGAATATTTTTGTTATATTACGAAACCTCAGTGCACATGAGTGCCTTAAAAATGGTTCGAAGCAGTCGAAAAAAAGTAGAATTTTTCATTAATACTGATACGCTTTTAGCATACTCGTTTCATCTAATAGTTTATAAGTGTCAAGAAAATGCTATCTTTGAATCGAATTAATAGGAATCAATACATAAATAGATCGTTAATGAAGGATCAAATTTTATTCAGATCATTTCTTGGAAATATTTTGTAATTTAAAAATTCTTAAACAATTATTTGATCCGTAACGTTGTTTTGTTTTTCAGTGCGTACTGTATAAATATGAGTAATTCGTTGAAAAAATAGCGACATCAAGCACAAAACTACACGTTGCTGTCAATACGAGTTACATAAAGAAAGGTTTCACATTAATTTCGTACTTCTCTGGCTTATTTGTCATGCATTCAACGAGCCGATATAATTATATCGCGCAATAAAAATTTTTTTAATGCGCTGTTGACCCAATCGATATTTGTTAATGTTATTCGGCTTCGTTTATTCATTTATTTGCTAATCAACTTTTATCATGAATATTACTTATACTCGGTTCGCATCGAACACTCTGTTTTGTAACTGAAAAATAATTGCAAGGCGCTGTAAGCCTATTCATCTTTTATTGACACTATCAAAAAGGTTTGCAACTGAAGAACGGCCTGTTTACACAAAAGCAGGGGCGCCCGGCCTCTCTCCGATCAAAGAAGGATAGAAACAAAAAAATACAACTATGGCAGAAAAACATCATACATTATATAGAGAGCGCGTCTACTTTTTTTGCATTTATTAACGTGACTGTTTTGCTCTGTCAACGGTATTATGCATTAATAGTGCTCTGTGGTTTAGCCACTTTAGTTCTAGATGAGACAAAAATGTGAAAATCACCTAAGTACAATGATTCAAAGAACAGTCAAGAAGCGAAAACAGACATGAGAACATTACCCCATCTGTTCATTACGAATATCTTCACTCTACTCTCACTGTCAGATAGTTCTTCGTTATTATTCACTGACTACTGTTCAGTCGTCGGCCATTTTCCTCTACTAATCTCGTTTTTCTTCTTCTTTCGTCCTTGGTAGTTTTTAGTGTAATTCAATGTCGCATTTAATTTCATAGTTTTCACCGTGTAAAAACAGTGCTTTCTTTTATTTACTCCAATACAATCGATGTTTGTTCTGTGACAATCGCGTCACCGTTTTTTGCTATATCATAGGAGGTATGCTGAAATGCTAATTACTATGACAGTGATAGTCGATGTGTAACTTTGACCATTCGAGCTTCTTTTAGTTTTTCTTATGGATGAGAATGACTATAAAGAACAGAATATTATTCAGTAAATAGCGTCAAATCGATCCAATCTACGGTAAGATAATTTCAAGATGAAAACATCTAAAAATATGATTTCTATTGAAACTTTAGTTTCAATAGTACTTTTGTACAATTAACCACTAAGACCATAATTCAACAATTTCCATCAGTACTATACTGATTAAAGACTATCGCCAATATAACACTTAGTAAATTTCATACAAATATAATGACGTCAATTGTAAGTTTGCCAAGTGATATTAGAAAAATAATGCATTATAATTGTCAATGGGGATGTGTATTCGCTAGTAATGGCGTCAAATAAAAACAAATTAGCACAGACATATGAATTTTGACATTTTTTTCTTTAGTATACTTTACTCTTTATTGGTTTACAGAGATTAGAAAATTCTGCCATTTCTACATGTTGCGTAGAGAAGACAAATTGCTCCTTTTTATTTTTTATTCACTGAAATACGTTCCCTAACACGTTTTTAGTAAGAGTTTTTAGAATAATTAGCTAGATTGATATTCTGGAAAAAATTACGATGTTTTTACTGAATAAGTCAATCTATCCATTCGTCTTGAAATTATCTAGATTGAAAATATTTTCATAGCGTGGGTTTATAATTGAGGATGAACATTCGAAGTATTACTCGTCAATGAGCTGAATTAACTGAAAATGGGTTTGACAAAATACAGAAAATTCTCCAGCTTGATTTTACCTCCCAGAACTTGAATCAAGAACTAGGAGTATCGGGAAAATATAGGCAAGAATTCATCAAATAAAACCGTTGCAAGTAAAAAAATGATAGGATTTCCAGTGATGATTGATTTTATTTTTTGTACTTTCTACTGCGTATTAGTGTATTACTGTTCCTATATTAGATATTGAATGATCTGTACAGAGAGAGAGAGAGCGGTTGATAGCTTTTGGATACATATTTATGTTGCCTACTTTCTAGTGGATCATAAACAAACTATCAGCGATGAAAGTAGATGCTTTCATATTTATCTTGCTCATGTGTGGCACAATAACATCGATTTCTTTGCCTGATCTCGGTAATATTATCTCACAAAAATAGTTGCTTACTAATATTTCACTATACAGGTGCGTGTATTGGGCAATGGAAATTAATCGACGATATCAAAACTCAAGTCAGCATTAATTGGCAAATATTTCCTCTGGCAAATATATTCCTTGTTGGATTTCAACCTAGTCTTGTAGAACAAGGTTATTGGTATGCGTTTAGTATTCGCTTGTCACCGGAAACACCTGTATGTATCTTACAGCATTGGACAAAAGATTAATAGTTTAGATAAAAATTTTATTCTAGCTCGCCGAAATCGTCTACGTTCTTCAATGGCCTGCCAACGACTCGCAACTCTCTTGGAATATATTTAATATAACCAAAACGAATGTCACCATTATAGGTCGCATTCCATCCATCATCAATCAATTTCAAAGTTGGATCACATCTGGTTCTCTTGTTGTTCAACTAACATTGAATACCAGTGATATCATGTCATTTTTCAATGGTAATAAATGCTTTTATATTGTCTATATGCGAGGACAATTTTATGGTAATCAACCGTTACCTCCTGATGACATTATTCTTAATAAATCATTATGCATTTCCTGTCAAGGTAAATCCTTTTATGAATATTTTTTATCGCGTTAGATGAACATCGATCAACATAAGTAGTTAATATAATGCCGACAGTCAATCTTAATAACACAACATATACCACGATAACACGTACACTGCCACCATTGAGTTCGGCCGTGGATGTTTCAACCATCGGTAGCACTGCCACTTCAGGTGAGTAAGCATGTAATTTTGAGAGTTGTTCAATGATATTAATTGTCAACAAGTATTTCTTAACAAAAAAAAAATAAAAAAACTCAACTTTTAACTAGACATTTCACATCACATAAATTATCCGAAATATTACTAATTCCTTGCTAAATTATCATATATTGGTGAACAATAGAAAAAGACTTGAAGAGTCGGAACGTTTTTATACTTTTAAATATCAACCAGTATAAGTGAACGAACCCTCGAACAAAGTAATAACATACATTTCATTAGTAAAACTTGTTTTCTTGAAACACAATAATCGAGTAACATCTGATGTATCGAATAATATTACTTTTTGAGGGTTTTTGTATAAACTTTTATACTGTATATTGCAAGCACCAAAGAAATTGCATGATCTGATTTAAATTTGTCTTCGTCAATTTGTTTTAGTATTCAATGTATTGTGGTCAGGTCGAATTACAAATATGCTGTGGTCAAACGATTGTTACAATCTGACCTCATCGTGTAGTCAGAACTTGACTGCTAGTCTACAGAAAGCGGTAGGATTATCTCATAATTCTCTTTTATATCTCAGTAGTTCTCTTGCCTAATTAGTTCTGTTCATTGTCAAGCAATGGTTCAGCATCTTCATTCACTTGCCATCAATTTATACTGAATTCGTTGAAGTAAATTATTAGTTATTCTTAAATTCTTTTACGAGTTGTTTCGCTGTTGATATTTGTATGTAAGTTTAGACCTGGTTCGATTCTTTTCTCGAGTACTGCTACTGTGAGCTCGCAGTTACCGCAAAATTCGGTTGTTGCATTTATAAGTAATGGATTGGCAAATGTAAGCAGCTCCAATAGCAGCCTACTTCAATTTGATCCGGCATCGAATAATCTAACGAATGCGCCGGCAGTCATACTTACAACGTCCAGTGAATCCATAACTAATGTTGATAATACTACAATCGCTTCAAGAGCAAGTACATTGACGGCAGTCATATCATCACCAGGTATTTCAACCAACAAAAATGTCTTTCCAACAGACGAAACAACTGGCACTATTTACTCTTCGACAGCTGGTTCGCTTGCAACTACGCAGTCTCCGTCAGGCGGCACAGTTGGCAATAGTGGCTCTTCCACAGTAGTCTCAACCAATACTACAGAAGCTGTAACATCAGCTTCAATTGGAAGCATTTTCTCTTCGACAGCTGGTTCTCTTGCAACCACTCAGTTTCAGTCAGGCGGTACAGTTGGCAATATTGGCTCTTCGACGGTTGGTTCTCTTGCAACAACTCAGTCTCAGTCAGGCGGTACAGTTGACAATATTGGCTCTTCGACGGTTGGTTCTCTTGCAACCACTCAGTTTCAGTCAAGCGGTACAGTTGGCAACATTGGTTCTTCGGCAGCTGTTACTCAATTAAGTAGTGCGTCTTCGCTAAGTAATTCAACTGCCAACGGTGGTATTTCTATGAGTGTTTCAATTGCAAACAGCCACGCTTCGACGGTTGTTTCAACCACAACTAATGGATTATCTTCCGCTCCTTTAATTACGAGCAATGGTTATGCGACAACTATTTTAACAGCAAACAGTAGTTCCGCGTCAGGTCAGTTAAATAATTGTGTCAATATCATTGCGTTAAATTGAACAAAATTCGATTTCAATACAATTAGATAGTTCCATTTAAGTTTACGTGAGAGTATCAAGAATTCGAAGTTACAATTGAACACTTATACGAGTCTTGGGAATTGAACTATTTTATCCCTGCGAAACATGATTCCTATTTTGAGAAACGCCTTCAAGATTTCCTTCACATTTTTCAATTTTGTACCATATGCTGAAATCGTTTATACGAGTTTATACATCGTGAGTTAATTTATCTTTATTTATCAATGAAGATATTACTAACAAACTTTCAGCAATTTTTCATTAATGATCCATCATAGTTTCACTAAGGTAAGCGTTAGGTTTGCAGTTATCTTATATACTATCGATGGAAATAGTAATGACTAGTTTGACTTGAATATTACAAGTCTGGACTTAAAACCCTTTGAGCTTCCCTCTATGTTGTATTTTACTTTCATTAAATTCAGATGGGCTGATTTAAAGTTTGCTTCGTTAACGTTTTTTAGTATTCAATTTATCGTGGTCAGGCCGAATTACAAATATGCTGTGGTCAAATGATTGTTACAATCTGACCTCATCGTGTAGTCAGAACTTGACTGCTAGTCTACAGAAAGTGGTAGGATTATCTCATAATTCTCTTTTATATCTCAGTAGTTCTCTTGCCTAATTAGTTCTGTTCATTGTCAAGCAATGGTTCAGCATCTTCATTCACTTGCGATCAATTTATACTGAATTCGTTGAAGTAAATTATTAGTTATTCTTAAATTCTTTTACGAGTTGTTTCGCTGTTGATATTTGTGTGTAAGTTTAGACCTGGTTCGATTCTTTTCTCGAGTACTGCTACTGTGAGCTCGCAGTCACCACAAAATTCGATTGTTGCAAATCTCAATAGCGTATTGTCAAACATGAATAGCTCGTCTGGCAGTGTACTTCAATTTGATCCGGCATCGAATAATCTAACGGTTGCAAATTCACCCCAAGTCACAACGAATACTACTACGCCTATAACTGCAAATTTAACAACAACGAGTCCTGGTAATGAGAACAGCGGTAAATAATAGTAAAATTTAAATTCAAGGATCGTTTTACAAGATCTTTCATTTTCTTCAGGTGATTCTTCATGGCAGTTAATTGTTGGCTGTGTTGTTGGTATCGGAGGCTTTTTAATTTTGTTCACAATCATTTTGAGCGTTTATATTTGTATCAAATATCGTCGTCAACGATCTGTTCCTTTCAATAGAGGAACACAAGGAAAACTCAAATACAACGCTGATGTCTACAAATCCCTCGGAGATCAACATCCAACTATCGGCTCTGAATCTCCTGATATTATAGTGACGACTGCTTTTTAATTCTTCATAGTTTTGTTAGTCCTTTAAAGTGAACTGAACACATTGTTTTGCATTATTTTGAATTTTTTTTAAAATTATTTTATAATATTTCAAAATTTTCCAAGTATCTTACTTTTATATCATTTCAGAAACTATTAAAAGCTCCATCAAAAACGTCATTTCACTTCGAATTAATTACTCAGTAAAGCAGAAGGTACTAAGATTTATCAGACTTGTTCAATAACATGATGTATGAGTTTACAAACATACGGATTCAAGTAAGAACAAAACGAAACAATTTTATTTAATAAATCCACACTCGTAGAAAAAGTTGAAAAGAGTTATTGCGTATGTGAGTGTGCATCGCATTGTTTTTAAATGAAAACATAAAATTACTGTGTTGGTTTAATATGTCGCTTAAATCTTCAAATTTAATGTATTCCGCTTGCTCGACAAGTCTATCTTGTAATGAATCAATCATTATTCAATTCTCGGTATTAAAATGCACGCCCAACGATGAACAAAAATGCTATACATATGAACCTCTCGATGAAACATTACGACAAATAAAGAAGAAATGCCTTGGTAATCGCAAGAACCTAATTTTCATAAAGAACAAATGTATTGTAGTCATATACTAGCTTGTTTTAATTCCAGGCTTGAATATATATTTCTATGACTAATTATTGTCTCGAATGGTATAATATATAGAAGAGAAAATACGAACGATGAGCGTATGATTAATATTTGTTTTTCTTTCTCTACCCGAAATTATAGGCTTTCTTTCGTTGCACATCTCTTTATTTTGCCAGTCTTTACATCATCCACAACTCTGAAAAACAAGAGCAGTGTGCAAACAAAGCAATGTTTACACCACCCGGGTAGCTACGATTGAAACCTTTTCTTTGCTATCCCAATCAGAAAATGTAATTTATTTGATTTTTTCCACATAAATTGGCCTTCTCACCTGGTGTGTGTGTGAAAAAGAGACAACGCAGGCGACTATTTTTTTTCTTCATCTTTGTGCAAGACGGTGATATTGACTTTACTATAGCTGATTTTACTTTATCTTTCACGGGCTTCAAATTGTTTTCATTTACCATGTGCTGTTCAATAATTGATTAGATTTTGTTTTGCGATCGAATATTAAAAGAATAAATTGATATGATTATATGGAAATATTACAATATAATCATAATGTAAGACAAGTTTACAGACTTCGTATCGCTATCCAGAAAAAAAGAAAGAATTGTATCGCACAGTATTGATCCATTACTGACAATACAATTAGTGTAACTCTACTAAAGAGATAATATTATAATTAAATTAGGGATAATTATGTCAAATCTTAGTTTATCTTCACCATACTCACATTTTCTTTAATAGAAATCGATTGCTTTTCATTCAATATTTGACTCGGTTCCATCTTAGCTGTTTGTTTCATTTCCTACAGTCTTATTTTCATAGATCTACCTCTATGCCACAGCGAAAAAGAAAAACAATAAGTGTCAACAGTTATAAAGTAGCATGCTAATATTGCTGGCAAATCCATCTGTGCTAAAACTTTCTTCGTTTACTGTTGTTTTTGATAGAAAAGAAGACACTGAAAAGAAGATTGGAGAAAAATGAGGTGAAAGTGCTCGAATAAGCAACAAGCTACCGTTTACAAATCTCATTTCGAAAGATTTCCGAAACCTTTTGTGAAAGAAATATAAAAAAATATAAGCATCAGATACAAAAAGTGTAGAATCACTTGACAATCATCTTTCATTTCCTTTTTATCCAAGGTTGACAGAAATTTTCGTTTGCTCTTAGTATCACAAATTACTGATTTCGATGAGAACGACGAATATTTCTTGCTGCGTAATGCCAATCTCTTTGATTCTTATTATTCAAAAAAATATTAAAGATGTAAACGAAGTCAGTTTCTACGAAGATTTACATCTTTAAATGAATTGAGAAAAGATCATCTTACGTCATCTACAAATTCGAACTCGCAATCTAACTATTAATTTTCTCAATACATACGAGACTGTATAGATTCACTGCTGCTCTGTAGTGATCCAAGAACAGCATTCTACACAACTATGTTCGCATAGAAAAAAAAATGATCAATTAAATACATCTCAGTTCGTATGACTGGCGTTGTGGATCTTTCTTTAAACGATAACCACATCCTAAATCTTTAATTTTAACGCTTGAATACGATATTAAGAGTTATATAGTAGATTTATTAAAAGCATTATCAATATTTTCAAAAGTTGCTATAAAAGGTTCTTCAACATCATTTGCACAAGCATTCATTTCACGGATAAGTTCAATCATGAAGTAATGAAGCACTCTTGGAGTTGAAATTCTATTAATAATATTAGCATTTCGTTCATTTGAATAATTTGTGAGTGTCTTAAAATCTGTAAATGATTTACAACGAGATCTTGAAGCTTTTTCATTCATGCCTTGAAGAATAAAATCAGCGTAATTTATTAACGATTTTGTATTCCAATTCATTTCATATGTTGGGAATTTATCATTCCGACTAATGACATCTCGTAGATTTAAACCATCGATTTCAGGATAAAATAATGATAAGTAAAAGTTATGAGCCATTACAGCTGAAAGAATCGTTTGAGACACTGACGAACGACAAAACGATGGCAATAATGTGTTGTTATCCTTAGCCTGTTTTAAAAAATATTGACTTTCATCAATACCATCGATAATAAATACAACTGTTTTCTTTAAATGTTTCTTCATAAATTCTGTTAAATATATTAAATCCGTAACTACATTATCATAGATCTTTCTTTCAATGATTGGATTCTGATACTGTTCACTTTCAGCGATGAGCAATAATAATTCAAGATTTTGATTATCATTTCGAAGAACGATTAACTTGTTGAGTTCTCTTTTTAAATGTGTAAGAAAGGGCTTATCTTGATGAACATTTCGCTCAAGAATTTGAACAACAGCATTATTTGCACTATATATACCATTGTCTGTTTTGTTAAGAATAGAGTTAGCAAAATTTTCTAAGTTTTGCACGCCCGGACCATTGTAATAAAAGCATAAAATAGTTATTAAATCTATTTTTCGGTCCAGCGAAATATTTGGAAGACTGAATGGCTCTTCTTTATATCCATTAACCAATTGTGTTACTAATACAGACAAAAGTAATTGACCGAATTCATTTGCTGACCAACGATCGAGACAATTTGTAGTTTCACAATATTTCTCATCGGATAATGCTACTTTTACAAATCTTTCGAGATATTCATTTATTTGTGCGTTTTGTATTAATATTTTGAAATATTCATTTGAATTTAAATATTTATAATAGTGACATCTCAATAATGTTTTACCAGTTCCAAGTTTTCCTACTAGTAAAAATGAATTTGCTGAATGATCTGATTGTAAGATTGCTGGTGGTAATACAGGTTTATATATAATGTCAGAACCGAACTCATCAGCATTTACTCGTTTAAACGGGTTTTCTAAATAATCAATACCATAAAACTTATTGAAATCTCTATTCTGAGACTTTATCATATCACAAGAGTCTGCATATAAAGCATGCTTGCAAATAAAGTGATAAATATCAGTCGAAGGAACCGCAAGGCACACCAAAACCACGAAAATTTTCAATAGATTTTCAATAAAATTATTTCTTGGAGCATGTGGCATTGATGGAGTATGTGGCGTTGATGCGGTACGTGACATTTCTGGAACAATATTACGAGCGGATCTCAAATAGTATGTTTTGTGGGCTAAAGGAACTCATAAAATTATTGGACGAAAGCCTGATTGCCTTTTCCCTTCCATTGTAACTTTGCAGCTAACGCTTGTTCTTTGTATACGACGTCAATGGGTTTTCGTAGTGCTCCACGAACAGCTGTCATCAGAAGTATCAGTGTAAAAGTCATGAGAATTTCTGTTGCCAGCGCTGGGCGTAGAGTTATTCGTGCATAGTGGCTCGAGTTTCGTTGTACAAGACATAGTATTACGGTGATTGTTAACTGTGCCTCTTTTATTTCGTTTTTTTATTCTAATAAAATTCAAGTAGAGTCAAGATTCTTATCAATACTCTATCTATGGGTAAAATAATCTGTTGGCCACATTCACATCAAAGTTGCGTTAATGTTTTATGTTGTGTGGGTTGTGGGTGTAAATGGCAGACAGGCCATTAGTATCATTCCATACCTGCGCCCTTCATTCAAATAAAACTATCAAACAATACCTTTCGAGGATGAAATTTCATGCTGAAGTAGTAGAAATACTTCGGTATCTTGATAAACTTTGATAAGAATGTTGAATCTTCTTTTTTATCTTTTTTTCAAAGAAATAAATAAAGTTACATATCATCCAAGAGAGAGAGAGAGAGACTGGGTGTGAAAAGAATCACACAAAATCTCTGTTTGGACACAATATACGACGTAGCAAACTTAAATTTAGCATGTTTAAACTACTTTCAGCTTTATTTCTGTTCGGATCAATTTTGCTATGGTATTTTATTGCTTCTGACATTTGTAATATGAACAAAGCTGAAAATAGAAATTTCAACGTATACTATGAAATTGATAACTCGGAAAATCCTTTTACAACAGTAAATTCAGATAAATGTGATTCTGATATTATATTTCTAGGGATTTTACCTCAACTAATTTTTAAATCAGACCATTCAGCAGCTTCGTTTTCGATACAAGCAAAACCTGGAACTGGTAAAACACTAGTGAGATGTCACTATTATAAATATTTAAATTCAAGTGAATATTTCAAAATATTAATACTAAACGCACAAATAAATGAATATCTCGAAAGATTTGTCGCACGAATGTCACCGAATGGAGTAGCATGTATTACATCTAATTGCCTAGTTGGATGGTCCGCAAATGAATTCGGTCAATTACTTTTGTCTGTCTTAGTAACACAATTGGTTGATGGATATACAGAAAATCCATTTGATATTTCGAATATTTCACTGGACGAAAAATTGATTCAATAGCTATTTTATGCTTTTATTACAATGGTCCAGGTGTGAAAAACTTAGAAAATTTTGTTAATTCTTTTCTTAAAAAAACTACAAATTCAATATATAGTGCAAGGAATGCTACTGGACTAATTATGGAGCAAAACAAGCGTGTAGATAAGCCACTATTGACACATTTTAAAACAGAATCAGATAAACTTACTACTCTTAAACGAGATCATGATAAACTTCATTTATTGTTCGCAATTGCTGAAGATGAAAAGTTTCGACAGTTATTATCTACAAAAATAATGTTTGGTAACACGTTCCAGGATTTAAATCATTTCACAATGTTCATGAAAAAATATTTGAAAAAAACTGTTGTATTTATTATCGATGGTATTGATGAAAATCGGTACCTTTTCAAAGAGCGTTTTGCGAACAAAGAATCAGTAAAATTATTTTATCACTCTTCAGTTTCTCAGCGGATTCTTTCAGCAGTAATGGCTCATAACTTTCATTTATCATTATTTTATCCTGCAATTGATGATATTGATCTACGAGATGCCGTTGGTCGGAATAATAAATTTCCAACATATGAAATGAATTGGAATACAAAATCGCTAATGGATTACGCTGATTATCTCCTGGAAGACATGAATAAAAACGCATCAACATACCGATGCAAGTCCTTTACAGATTTTAAAACACTTGTGGGCTATTCGAATGAATGCATTGCAAGTATTATTGATGAGATTCGAACGCCAAGAGAGCTTAATTACTTCACGGTTGAACTTATCCGTGAAATGAATAATTGTGCAAATGATGTTAAAAAGCCGGTCATAGCTACCGTTCAGAATGTTAAGGAAGCTCATCGTAAATCGGTGAAGCATGTTCATAAGGGTGATCGGATTAGAGAATAAAAAGCACAGTGATAGCAATTGTCAAGTATATCGCTGTTTAGATTTATGAACACGATGAGGGTGTCTATGTGAGTACATTATTATAGTATTCTCTATATTCAAAAGTACACCCATTCAGAGACTCAGAATCTAATAGTATAAGACAAATGCGATATTAGCACCGTGTATTACGCTTGACATCGATTTGAAATAAAGTGAAGCTAATATGGTCACGTTATAATCTTTTCATGAGCATTAATACATTTGCCGTAAGGAGTTTTCGATAAATGACACGGAATTTATTTCAGAAGCTATTGTTCATTTGAAAAAGCTATAAGTGATAATAATGAAATCGATTTATTGTAAAGTGCTAAAAACTCTTGTTTGATAAGCTAAAATGAAATTGCAGTTATTTAAATACAACCACAACGAGTATTTTCAAATGCTCTATCAAGTCCATAGCGTCGTAATCGGTCGTCGTTCATGATAATAATCCATCTTAAAATTTGCGCGGGATCTTTTACACAAAATTCGTCTCGATCTTGCTCGGGATGATAATAATATACAGTATCAAAATTCTGATGCCACCTATTCGAGTTGCTGACATTGTGAAGTTCATCATGTGTGACAATGATCACATTTCTCATGTCAACTTCGGCACAAATCAATGCCCCTTTATCATAGAATAAATCTAGTGTTGAACTATATTGAAAATTAAATCGTCTTACCTTCATGACGCGCTTTCCTTTCTGTACCTTTAAAGGAACGAGCGAAGTAAACGCCAAAGCCAAGTAATTGAGGAGGCGTGGCGCTGATACGAAAGCCTTGCTGTGCAATACCGACTGCAGATTGAGGACTTGTTCGATGAAATCCAAAGTATGTGCGATGATTATCTCTTTGATATCGACTTTGAGGCATGGAATCGAACGCATGAAAAATAACGATGTGATCAAGGGAAAGCGTAGGACAATTTCCTCCTCCATCAAATATACACAATTTATTGCCAAGTTCATTCGGATTTCTATTCCGTCCTAGTAGAGGTTCAGGTAGAAAACGTTCATGGCAAGGATGAAATGTTTGTCGACAGCACCAGCAGCGGCACATTTGATAGGCTTGATCAGGCCGATAGTACCACCACATTCTGTACTGATAATAGTCGACTGCAATCGTCAACAATATAAAAACAACCGAAATAGCACTTAGAGCCGCCATAACTACGCCAGTGTCGTCTAATTTCGTATCTGATGCATACAAAATAACAGCAAGTATACGAAGTGTAATAAAAGCACACATGACACCAAGACGAATTTGAAAGCGTAGTTGAGGTCTTGACTTATAACACGGACAATTACATGTCAATGTCAAAAATCGAATGTTGGCTGCAGTAAATGACCAAACACAGTGACTATCTCTGGTGATTGTTCCAAGCCGACGCATCATTTTCATACATCCAATAAACCAAAAACAAGCAGCTAGCAAAAATAGTATGGTGATATAACAAAATAGGAGAGTAGGTATTATAGATGTAATCCAGTCCATGGTAAATGCTGCTTTTGCTTGCTCACTCGAAAGATAGGGTGATGGCTTTGTGCCATTAATCGATGTACTATTTAAAGGTCTTGGTGAAAAAAAAATTATAATGCGAGCGATTCCTAACACTGTTTCGCCTATTGTAAGTAAGATAAGAATGCATGGCAATGATTTATATAAGATTGGCGGACACATCTGCCTGTAATTAAAGTAGAGGTGTGCCTTTTGAAAGCAAAACATTTGTTTATTTTTCTTACCTCTTCCGATACGTTTGAAGAATTGAAATGCTAACACCTTTCTTTTGTTGTGGAGTATGGTAATGCTATCTGAATGGAACCACAAAAATTGAACATAGGAATCATTTAATCAATTTAAAAGAAAAGATTATTTTTACGAGACAAAGAACAAGATAAGTCATCCGGTCACATAAAGCCTATGGTTGTCACCAGATAAAAGTTTGAAAAAAATCCTTTGTTTAATTTGATAGCAATTTTTATTTCTCAATGAACTTTTGGTGAGCAAAATAACAAATTTCGATGATCGAATTGTAGGCAAAGTCAGAAGACCTGCCATCAATATGAAATTCTACCAAAAATACGTAGAGAACTATTTCACACATACTGTGCTGCAATGAAATATTTTGTTTCATTTAACATTGTTTGAATGTATTCAAACATACGGAAAAATGGGAAAGCCATTTCCGGATTTAAATTGATGTAGAATAGAAAGATTCAACTATGTATTAAGCTAGAAAAGTGTTATTGATTATGCAATCTACCGAATCAAATATTTTATTAGTATTGATGATGCAGCTAGTTTCTTCTAGGATTTACATTTTATGAATATTCTAATTTGCATCAGTTATGAATCAACTGATAGTTTAATAAAAGTGAAAATAAAAATACAGTTTACGCTTCGATCCGTCTGTAGATGGTGTTCACCTATTCTCTAATAGGCACGCTGCGTTCTCTAAAATAATCAACTAGCAATATTTTCTGAACTTCTAGATTTAATATAAAGTATGCACATGTTCCTATATGTGAGTATTAGGAAGACAGTGTTTTGATACAATTTCCTCGTTCGCAAAAATAAATAAAAGAAAACAATCAATCATAATAAACACAACAATTTGTTTTATGTTCGCCTCTCACATAGGATTCGTCTATAGAAGAACTCTTATAAGCTAAAACTCACACGTGTATATTCTACGTATCGTAAAGAGATTCTATTTTGAAATCACTATCTCGAGATAATCGAATTATTTTAACGATACTCAACGATAACTGACAATAACTTACGTCAACTATTCTGTCGGAAGTTTTCAATAGAACTGCTGTTTGAATTTGTGTATTGCTTCTATTGTCGTTCGTAGAAACTGTTCTGCTGTTTTTTGAAATTATGAGCCACAGAGTCAATGTTTTCGTGAGTTTATTTATTCATCGTCGCTTAAAAATCGTACCAAATTCAATGAAAATATTGTCAGTAAATTGAATTCTTTTCTCTTTCTCTTTTCTTTTACGAACATAACTAGTTGGAATTTTCCATGAATCAACGACAAGCATGGCACAACTTGCATCTCGGGGTGCACAAATTCCAATTCGAGTCAATTCAATTTCTAAAATTAGTCGGAATTGGAATTGGTGCATCCCTAATTGCATCTGAGTTTTATGAAATTTTGTTTTGCGAAACAAAACTATTTAAAGAAAAATTCATCTAGTAAAATCAAGCATTTATTCAATCTGTGAGAGTTCAATTCTCTTCGTTCACATTTTTAATACACCTGCAAACGGATATCCAGACGATAGACGACAAACAGATCATTAAAAGTTTTTTGTAGATTTATGATTAAAAATCCATAGGCGGAAGGAGACTAAGTCATAAAAATGATTTGAGATAAAGTATAGAACATATAAAAACACTTTAATATGGAAAGATAAAGGTGCATAATGTGCACGAATAACTCGTATAGGAGAAATTCAACACAATAGCTAAATTTTCGAATTTCAATCAGAAACAACCGAGTCCGATGCCGTTGATATTATTTGCCATAGAATATTTTCCGTAAGATACGACGTACACTATTCAACTGGAAACGTTTATTAGACAATTAACTTAAGAAGTTCGCAACCACTTTTCGGTTAATAAAGTCTAGCTATTCTAATTAGCAAAACACATTTATCTTCCTATTAAAATTATTCGCAATGTACTACGATTCGATTTTAGAATATTGCTTTTATTTTTCATCAGTTTCGCTCGATAAAAACGTGTGTCAATAATCGATTGTTTGAAGACAAATATCAAAACGAACGTATGAATCATTACGAACAGGAAAACTAAGAAATGCATGGCTAAGTTTACCGCTTATGTTAAGTAATAGGAAAAAAATGTTCACCTTTGTATGCTACTAGTTTTTTTAACACAAATAATGCATAAATGTTTTGTCAAAGCTTGAATTACAGCCCTATTGGCTATTTGACAGAAGAAACTCGCGTGCAATAACAAAGTTTGCGCACCATTATGAGCGAATTTTTCTTTCTTCCTTTCTTCTCATTTCAGTTTTTAGTATGAAAGCGTGTCGTCGTCCATGCGCTTTTTCTTTACGTTTCTACCACTACACTCATAAAAAGAAACAATTTCGTTATACCGATATCTACATTACCTTCAATTTGAAGTGTGCTCGCTAACCTTACAAAAACTGATCCTTTCTGCATGCATATCAACATAAATAAAAGGATCTGTTTGCAGTTACGACATGAATTCATTGAATGTGTGCCCTTCAGTCTTCTAATTGTCGCATTGATGTTTTTGTTTGCGCTTGTAGTGTATTAATCATTCGTAAGAAAGCAAATAATTGTTAGTAAGTAAAATATTCGCTATTTTTGTGGTAAGCATAAAACGTACATTCAGCTGTTTTTTTTAACTGATCGATATACCAGTGGTCTAGTCTAAATCAGTAATTGTTAATTTTTGGTTGATACTGCATTTGAATGGCGAAAAATAAATTAAGTTGAATGCATTCATCTCATCTTAATTGTAAATGTTCTCAATCGACAAGACCCGATGCCAAGAGACTAGACGTTATAACTAGCAGTCGATTTCGCTCAGGAAACATATCTCGAATCTTGACTTTTGAAGAAAATCGATTGAGTTCTATTATTGGAATATAAAAACACTTGTCAATTGATTTTCTTTCAGTATACATATATGAAAGATCAATGAAGCATACGTTCACAGTAATTCGATAATGGAAGATTCAGCACCATCATCAAGTGGCGATCTCAAACAGCAACATTCATCTGACTATAGAATTTCGACGACTGAACAATCATCAATACCACCGTGTGCTAAACAAAAAGCTATGGGATCAACACCGATATTGACGAAGTAAATTAGTGACGAATATATATATATATATGTTATGGTCAAAATTCAAATCCAGTCAAATTTAAAATTTGCCCGGGCAAAATTCAAATTAGAATTGTGTCCAACAAAATCTCAGTCAAAATTCTAATTTCGATTTTTACTAAAAAAATTCTAATTTGAATTCTGCCTGGGAAAATTTTAAATTTGACTGGATTTGAATTTTGACCACAACATGTATATATTTTTTCTCTTTACACTTGGCAACCAGTAGTATGTGACTTAGAAAGTAAGACAGCTACTTTGAGCAAGTAAAAAATTGTGTATTTTGAAACTCTCATTTTTGAAAGATTTGTCAATACATTGGAAATTTCTTTTTTATACTTTCACAGTTCGTACTTCTTAAAAATTGAAATCTATTCATATTGTAGTACTACGCAAACATTTACGTCTGTAACAGAATTTGATTCCTCCTTGAAATGTGGTATCGATTGGAGTGGAAGTGCTCATTTTGCATCACACTGTTGGTTCCCTTATTCGTCGAAGAACTCAAGTGATCTCACATTAACTCTAGCAGCATGCAGCCACACTGGTGATCCACCGCTCGTGCAATGTGCAGTATGTAGCCTGAGATTGTATGCAACTGACTGCTCAGGCTCACCCAAGGCAGCAGTAAATGTTGATCGTGAACTTCCACCATGTCGTCCGTCATTTTTTAATAGTAATACGACAGCGGATATCAGTGTACATGATCAACATTACTGGTCGTATGTACCAGCGCTGAAAGAACGATGTATGCAGTGCAATCGAAAGTCTTTGTCACGTCCTTTCTACGACACTGGCAATCGAATTTCAACCTTACCCACAATCGATCACAAGACGAGAGATGGTCTGATAACAAATCATACGAAGAAAATTTTAGAAGAAAATGTGGGGAAAAAATCGAGTAATCTTGTATGTTTGTGGTGCTTACGAAGCTGTCACCGACAATGTTGGAATAGTATGTCAGATAATGATAGAAAAAGTAAATGCGACTATGGTACATTCGGGTAAGTTCGACAAAAAACGACTTGTTGTGATATTTTTTGTTTTTATTTTAATAGAAATATCATTGTTCGACCTCAATGGCTACGACGCGTGGTAGGTTCTGTAAGTGGTTTTCGTGCAGAGCTCATCGATAATGAAGGAACGGATACTCTCTCACCTAAACCTGTTGTTTTCTTCATCAATAAGCTTTCAGGTGGTCAAAAGAGCGGAGAAGTATATCGTCAACTTGTTCGTCGACTCAATCCTCGTCAAATATTTTTACTTGAAAACGATGCCACGATTACACAAGCTATGGACATCTATTCTTCTCTAGCTAACCTTCGTATATGTGTGTGTGGGGGTGATGGAACTGTTGGTTGGGTATTGAGTTGTCTTCTCGAAATCTTTCCAACGTTAGAAAATCCACCAGTGACCATATGTCCATTGGGGACAGGTAATGATCTATCTCGCGTTTTAGGTTGGGGTAAACAATACGATATTAAACAACTATTCAGAACAGTTCCTCAAATCTTTGATGCCCAACCGGTAGCGCTGGATCGCTGGAAAATTAACTTTGAAGCATTGGAAACGACAACTGCGACATCGAATCAAGAAAATCCGGCTGTTCCTCAATGTCTTTGCTTTCCTATCGGTCACCCAAAATTCGTCCGCCGTACAAATCTGCCTATGTACGAAAATCATCTGAAACCGGTCAATAAGTACTTTTTCAGTCATCTCAGTTTTGGATTGGATGCAGCAATTGCACTCGATTTTCACAGTCGTCGAATGCGTGATCCATCTCGATTTACGTCGCCATTGAAAAATAAGATTCACTATTTAAGTGAAAGTCGAAAATATTTCAAGGAGTTCTTTTTCGCTGACGCATGGAATTTAAGTTTATACGTGAAATTAATTTGTGACGATCAAGATCTGACAGATTCGATTCGATCTTGTCATACGTTAGTTTTGATGAATAGTCCAGGCTATGCAGCTGGTACAAATCCTTGGAACAGTTCATTGATGAATAGAAACGATGAACTGTCAACTGATCAAACTACGATAAATTCTGATTTAACCACTGATTCGCCAACAAGTGCTAGTGGATTTACGAGACAGTGTTATGGTGATAGAAAGATTGAGGTGATTGGTTTAAGTACAAAACAGATGGCTTTCATTCATCTAGGTTTCCAAGGCCAGCGTATCGCTCAGTGTAGTGAAGTACATCTCGAACTTAATCATCCGATGTCTGCTCAAATGGATGGTGAACCATTTTTTCTAGCGGAACCGACCGTTGTGAAAATTACACATGCTGGACAGGTATTTGTTTTGAGAAATGAACATAGATAGTGTTTACTTGCCATCAAACATAAATTTTACTGTTGAAAAAAAAACGAATTAAAATATATCATTGGTTAGGTAAAAATCTAGGAAACACAAGTTTCTATTTCAAAGTTCATTGTCTTCAAAATATGAGGATATCATTTATTCTTATGCAGATAAGTAAACTTTACATCAAGAACCAATGTCCATTTAACCCTATTTAAATTGTCAGCCAGTTCTTTTTTTAAATTTAACCATTACAAAGTTACATGATGTTTCAACTAAAGAGAATTTTCAACAGAGCAACGATTCATTGGTTTTTAATCGATTGTTCAATTATATATATTCAAATAGTTAATTCGACATTTAATCTATTGAAATCAGTTTTGTAACTGAAAAGAGACCTTTTAATCTGCTTGACTTCCTTCCATCGCTGACGGGAAAAATTCCCGATTACGAATGAGGAATTTAATCATCTTATTAATTTAGATGTCATAATTCAAAATCAAGTAGCTGTTATCATGAATACAGAACTAAACTTCTGAATTCAAAAAGTTCCAATATCAATAACAAAATTCGCACCCATTTCATCGTTCTTAATAGCTTCGCTAGTAATTATACGAGAAGCATCAGTACTTTTATCAATATATAATACTAGTTTAGAGAACAATCATGATACTGAATCATAGAAAATAGCTATACGTATATTAAATTGAATTTACATTTACAGTCAATTATCTGCTGTCCTATTCAATATGTTCAGCCTATTTTCATACCATTCTAATTCGGTTTTTAAATTAAGTCGTTTACAACCATCCAACATTTTCGTGTACATTTGTATTACATTGAAGTGTTGCTTCTCTTTCCCCATTGCTGAATACATCTTTCTTAGACACACTGGACATAAATACAACGGTTGTCTGTCCATTTCTTCTTCACTTTCAGATCCGTTCATCAAACATGAATAATAGATACAATGTTCGAGTCCAAACAAATGTATAACTTCGTGAACAAAAACACCTACAGCTCGTCTGAGAATTAATGTTCGCTCTTCATCTGTACATGGTCTAGCTGTTTCTATGTCTGGAAATACTGGATCGAGTCGAGCAAATGAATAAATTCCAATGCCATCGTCGATCGATGCTAAACCATAAACGAAATTCCAACTAGCTTCTGGATAAATGTCAGCCATGGTGACTCCGACGCAAAATAATTCTTTTCGATCATTTTTTCGTTCTCGCCGTCTCATTTTCTTCAAATGACCAATTATAAAACCAGCTAGATATTGTGGTTGTTTTGAATACTTATTGATACGTTTTCCGGTTTTGAGATGCTTTGAGAAATCAGAAAATTCAATTTGAGGTAGAATTTCTAATTCACACCCAGGAAAATAATTGCTTGAAAATTCACAAATGGTTTCCAATGAAGGTGCCCTATAATTAATGATTGCAACGATGTATTTTATGAAACTATATAGTCTGTTAATTCATCTGCTCCGAATAACATTTAGTCCGAAACTCAAATCGAGAGAAAAATGAACTATTTTCATTTTGAACAAGCTATTTTAAGTTTTCGAAATTTTATGTAGTCTCACCTTGGATGATCGAACGGACCAATAGGTTGTATGTAGATTGTTTTGTAACTAAACGAGATATATAAACATTAAGTTTGGAAAGAAAATTGTCTTAATAAAATATTACGTTGTATGTGGTACTGTTCGTTTTGTACGCTCAAATTCTTGTACAGTTTGACCTTTTTCTTGATGCAAGGAAACCCAATCTCCTGGTTTGGGTTTTGGAAATGATAAAAAGCATTCATCAATACCAATCGTGACAGCTCGGCGAATATCATCGTTCAGCTAAAATTTATCAAAATTATGGTTAACATCGATATATATGACCTAGAAACGATTTCTCTACTGAACATTCAACGAAAAAAATCTTTTTAAATTAAATTTTGCTGGTTAAATACTTACTTTGTCTGTATCACCAAGTACGTTAGCGTGCTGGTTGTCTTTTCGTAGAGAAAATTCTCTATTGGAGCAAGCACAAATGTTGCAGAGAAGTAGTACAAAGGAAGTATGCGTATACAATGTTTTCAATTTATTTATATACGCCAGTTATTGCGTAAAATAATGATTCACTACTGTCACCCTTGACCACGTTTGTTTTTATTGATTCAAGGCAAAGAAAAAATGTTGCACAAGAAGGAAGTAATCTTTCTACATCATCGTTTGATTATGACGTGTAAAAAAGGTACGATACAAGTCACTGCACGAAAAATAAATTGTGTTAAAACAGCTTCAACGCAAATTTTGAGAAGAAAATGAGATTTAACCGTTTTGATGTATTTTTTTCTCTCTCTAAACCACCCAAAGACATGGATAAATGCATTCTTCTTCAAGTGAGAATGGTTTTTTTCGGCGCATTGAGATTATTTAGCATACTCTAGAATATAAATTCTGATGTATTTTTTTAACTATATAATGTCTACGTAAAAGTCTAGTGTTCTTCCTTGTCCTTCTGATAGCCGAAATATTTATCCTTAATTGTTATTTAGAATCTTTCGTCGGTATTTCATCAAATGCAGATGTTACTAATTGGAACGTTAATTATCTGTTATATCGAACATCAGAATGCTGAAACAACTGAAAGCAAAAAAGACCTGAAAAATTCATAATTTATAGTTGTGAAAAAATTAAGAATGATTAGTTCGTATTTAAAGAAAATAATAAGCCCTGAAAAAATGACGTGAAAAATTATTTTAAATTCTTTAGTATGGAGCTATTTTAATCTTTTTCAAATGTTATTGCTCGTAATTTAAATTCTAGCTATATTTACAAGCTGATACATGTCTTATGCGCAGTACAACAAGTAGTGTGGTTACAGGAACCAATGAATTGGGACTTGTACGAGTTAAAGCAATGAAAAATAATTATTAAACTTGACTGTTTCTAGATCTCACAAGACATCTAAACCTGTAGCTGGTAATGATTAATTCATAAATAGCAGCCTGATAAAAAAAAAACATCTGCATCACTTGAATGAAATGTAGTTGATTGCTCGCATAGTAGTAGAAGCTTATTCAAACCTTACTATAGTAAGGATAGAGGGAGCAAACGGTACTGCCAATTATTGTCATTGCGATCATGCAAATAACTTTAGCTGTGTGTTATCGTATACAATTGTAGTGTTTCTTAGATAATCCACAACTGTCATCAAGCAGAGTAGAAAAAAGTCGCAATGAGATCTAATGAATGATTCTGGATGGCGCAGAAACAAAAAGTTTTTAAAGTGCTCACCAATTTAAATCATGAAACTCAAGTTCCAAAAATAAGATAAAATTAGTGCAGCAGAATGAACGAAGGTCTCTGATTTTTCTTAATAATTTCATCCGTTTCCATTAATTTCAATGAACATAAAATTTCATCTGCATTCGTTGACACTTTACTCTAAAAATGATAAAAACTCTAATGATTTACAAAAGCTGTTAGCGCAATCCCTTTGGGATTAAAAGTGTGAAACACGATATAGCTGATGTAATTAAAGGCATGGAGGCAACTTAGATAGTATACAATTAGTGCATACTACAAGATATGCTAATGTGATTTTTAGCAAAAAATGTTGTCGAAGTATATCAACATCAAGATGGTTGTTTCGTATTATTGCATTTGTATTTTTTGCGCAAACTCAAAGAGTTTAAAGTTCGTGTAAACAATATGGCGTAAACTATCGAGATTTCTTTGAAATTTATGATATAAATAGTACATGACTAGTCTATTGAAACGAAATATAAAAAATAGGAATAATGAGGGATTTCCCTATTTAATTAACTTTTAGTTGTCTTGTTATTTGTAAAAAAAACATAATAACTTTATCAAATTAATTACATCGAAGCTCTACGCGTCTTAGAAAAGATATGCAGACATTTAAATGAACAATTGATAATTATCAGTACGATTGTACTTAAGGGTATTTATATAAACCCAGGTCATTATCGATCAGTCGGTTCTTGTCGGATGGGTTATAATTCCGATGTCACATGGTGGCCGGATTCGGTCGGTTAATTTCTGGTGAATTCCGATGATTTTCCGTGTTTTCTTATGAAATCTGGTTGCCGGATTCTCCGAGAACCAACCAGATTTATATTGCCGGAAAATATCAGGTTAGATGATACTACCAGGTCAAATCTTCCTGATAGGATCCTACAGGAACCATGAATAATCCGACAGAATCCGACAGTCGGATCCTACCGGTAGCTGGTGGTCGGAATCCGGTAATATCCTTTGATTTCCGATACTTTCCGACGGTAGGATTCTCTCGGATTCCGGTCGCAGGATCCGGTGCTATCCGAAGCCCGGGAATCTGCCGGACCCGGTAGTATCCTTTGATTTCCGACATTTTCCGACGGTAGGATTTTCTCGGATTCCAGTCGCAGGATCCGTAATTATCCGAAGCCCGGGAATCTGCTAGATCCGACCAAAACCAACGCTGTTTGTTTTTAGCTACTGTCTCGTTAGTGATTTTCTAAAAAAAATTCAAGGCACTGTGTCGATCTAAAAATCTTCGTTTGAATAATCGTCTTTCAAGTCATTCTAGAAGTTCGAAAATAGAAATATACAGCCTTTAATTATTACTGAAAAAATATCCGAACACATTTTATGAGCTAGTTTAAAATCTGAAAACTACCACTAATTTAGAATAAGACCCACAATAAAATGAATATTTGTTTGTTTTGCTCTCCTGGAAACTTAACTACTTATTTTAGATGAACAAGAGTTTTGTTAATATATTGGAAAAATAAAATAAAAGAATCGAAATTGAATTGAAATTAAAATAGCATAAAAATAAACTGAAGTGATTGTTCATTTTTCTATTGTCAAACAAATTCATTCTATCTGAAAGGTACAAATAATTTGTCGTTCCGTTGATACACATAAGATAGAATCGTCTCAGTAACGTCCACTGGCGGCGACGATGCGCGACATCTATCAACATAATGTTTTATTAGTGAAATGACATAACAATGTCACAAGTAAAATGAACAGAAGCATCAACTGGCCATTTTACTTCTGTTTAGTATGGGGCTTGGTAAGCAGAGACATACTTAATGAACGATTCTTTTTTTTCTCATCTTAGTTGAATCGGAATTTCCCACGTAAGTTCTACTATCGCATTGTGACAATTTGTAGTTTCATCTATTTTAGGATATTATACTTGTTCATAGTAAAAATATTATTGATTGTGCTACATGTGTTCATTAAATTTTAAATTTCGATTTGTATTACATATTGTAAGTTCACTATGCAGAAACGCTCGTTTTTCTAGCGATGATGCGTCTTTTGAGTACAAAAAAACTATACATAAAAGGCAACACTGATACTGGGAAATCGCTCAGAGCAAGTTTTCTCTACTTTAATAGGATAAGTGAAATTCTTTATGCCGTAAGAAGAAAGTAGCTAGTGGCTATTTTTGAATAGAGAACTACCAGTATTATATCAGCTTAAATGCTATTTTTGAATGACTTTCATTCTTTTTCAATGTCGCTATTTCTTTTTTTTAGGATGATATTGAATTACAAGATGCATTAGAATTAGCTAAGACAAAGTACGAAGTGCATTTTAAGAAAAAGTGAAAAGTCATGCCGATGCCGATCCCATCCATATGCTGATAATGAACATAAAAAGTGTTGCCGGCTTGTTTTTTATATCACCATGTTCACAATTACCAATTGAATATTTACCCGATGGATTTCAACGATTTAAGCCGAATAATATTAGCAATGATGATAGTATTTCAATTATGCATCATGATCGAGATTTACAATGGATTAATGATATCGACACGGTTGATATTAAATCAATTTCAGAATCAGTTTTTCAAACAGATGAAACTGATGATTCCAATGATTATGATTCACCGCTTCATCCATACACCGATATGCTTACCAATTCATTTTGTTTTCGACTCATTAAATCCCTTCGTCAATCAAAACTTTCACAGTCCGAATGTCATATTTTATTTGATCTTATTCACTCTGCCTTACCAAGCCCCAACAACTTGCCGGTTAACATTAACAAACTATTGCAAAAACTTGAACTTAACCAATTTTTTTTCGAAAAACAAATATGTCTTTTATGTTATAAAGAAATACCTGATAAGACTCGTGCTTGTCTTTCTTGTCCAACATCAACTGAATATAATATTGCAGCTATTTACGATTCAGATGTTAAATCAATGTTATGTGTGTTGTTAGTGAATTTAAAAAATCGATTAGAGTTGTAGTATCTAAACAGTTTAATTGTACTTAATTTCTATCTTCCGGGTCGTCAAAATGATAATGCTAATTTCATAGAAGTTTTATCTTACACAAGTATATGTTATTTTGTAAAAAATTAACTTATGGAAAATGTTTTTGTTTTTTAGGTAGCCGCGAGGAATGTCGTCGTATTTGGCAAAAGAAAGAAGAAGCTCAGAATTCAACAAGTACTTTTTTTCCATATTTTCAGTTAAATTTAAAAACAATTTTAGATTTTGACGATAATAATGATTGTGAAGTTGACGCATAAGAAGAAGATGGAAATGAAAATGAAAATGATGAAGAAGCAATAGATTATACTGGCTTATTGTTCGAGTAAGTGCCTGCTTTAAAAAGCTAAAAAGAATCACTTTTAGAACGCAGCTTCTTTTCCAATTTCTTTTTTTTTGTGTCCTACTGAATATAAAATTTGTTAAATAAGCTCGTTTCGTTTATTGTTTACTAGGTGGAAAATAAAATACGGAAATAATGATCGATTAAGTTAAATAATTTAAAGAAAAGTAGTATACATTTTCCATGGGTTGAATAAACTGATGTTAGCCAACTTTTCTATTGTATAAGAAAGAAACGTTTCTTATCAACTACCACAAGGATTGGATTAGTCAGTGAGGTTGATTTGTATCTTTAAATTCGAATACCTTATCAAAGTTATGTGTGTTTAATAAAAAGCGGACTCCACTTCAGTCAACTATACATTTTAATGAACGTCCTTCAACTATGGAATCAACCAAAAAAATAAAACTTAATGATTTCGAAAAAGAAATTCAAGGTATGTTAATACTCTCTAATGACTATTGATAATCATATCATTTCCGTTCAACGATTTCTTTTTGAATAACACTTCCATGAAAAAAATCCAAGGAAAACTTTGGTTAAACACATTCTTCATTTTCTCAAGGCCAATCTTGCATAAATATTTTAGAATACTTTGATTGTTTTTATATTTAAAAATATGATATTTCTGATTTCTTAGTTCTACATGGTGGAAACTCGAGTGATGAAGAAGCTGATGAATCAAATTTAAATGTTTCATCAAGTTTCATATTTGAATCTTTTAAAGAAAAATTTAAGTGAAACTGTATTTTCTTACGGCGTCTTCTATCATTCAACATCTTGATGTTGTATTGGATTCTATCCGACACGAAAATCAAAACTATTTTGTTCAATTATCGAAGAAAATCGAAAAAGCAATCATGTTAATGACGTAAGTTACTAGCATTCTTCTAAATTACATATTGTGTATGTTGCATTTTTATCTGTACAGATTGACATTTCGGCTTATCGTGAACCAGGGACCAGTCAAACGCAAGAGGACGTTGTTAGTGTGTCTGTCTAGATTTATGTTTATATTTTTATTTTTATGTTATTTAGATGCACAAAGATATTAACTTGCTTCTTGTTCGAGGGAAGAGCGCTGGAGACTATGCTTGGTAAGTGTTGCGTTCACTTTATTCACGTGAAGAATTAACTTCTTCCATTTTACCTCCAGGTGGTGAACACTTTGCTCGAAAGGCATTAGACAATCAATGATTTGAAAAATTGCATCGTAAGTTTATTCATAAATAGTGCATACAAATGCAGACATTACATTAATTCGAAATTGTGTAAGCTGTTTTTTCGTTTTCAATAACAAAAAATAGGAAGATCGGATATCTGAACCTAGAATATAATGGTTTTCAGGAATGAAATATCCAGAAACGTAGTAGTGAGTCTTATAAAATAATCTAAAACTGGTAGGTTCTTCATGTAACTTAGAAATGAAATAAACATTTGTTGATGATGAGACTAGAAACGTTTTCGCTTAGAAGTTCAGATAATATGAAGTATTTCATTTAAAAAATTTTCTTATACACTAGTTTTCAAACAGGTTTTGATCTTTTTATTTATTCGATTCTGATCTTTTTAGGAGTGTTACGATATAAATGTAACAGAAGTGGAAGTCGATGCGACGAGTTTTTTCACAAGTTGATTAGAGCAAAACTGGTTGATTTTTTATCCGACGAGCGTAAACGAGCACGCAAGAGCGAAACAACTAAATCACCACCATCTTCATTATATGATCAAGATTAATAATTAGTAATTTGGCTTATATAGAATCGAACCTAGTAATGATACTTTTCTTTTTTTAATGCATATGAACAGTTCTTTATGCGCGAAAGTACTAGTTCAGATATTTTTCTATTTTCTTTTCTAATGTGTGTGCCATTTTTTGTTTCTTTGTATGAACGATTCCAATATGAAACGGTTATAGACGTAAGTAAAGCCATAAAAAAAGTTGGATCATCCTCTTTATATTAATTTTGAATTCACGAAATAAATTAAAGCGATTGCAAATCAAGCAGCAATATTGGAAAAATGGTGCTTGCTGTTACTGATAATAATAAAAAACTCGTCGGATCCTAAGCTATCCGGCATTTTCAGATCGTCGGATTTTACCGTCGGAAATCGTTGGATCCGACACCCGATAGCTTCCTGTCGGATTCCTATCGGAAAATATCGGATTACTCTAGGTTTCTGATGGGATCCGACAGGATCCGAGGTTCAGATCGTTCGACCTGGGACAATTGGGCCGTATACGACGTGATCCGACAATATCCGGTAACGAAACTTTACCGGAATCCGCTGTGCCGCATGACGCTCAATTTCATGGTAGATTCGGATTAATCAGTATCACCGGAACCAGTCGGATCATATCAGAACGGAACGGTCCTACTAACCGGATTAAGCCACTTACTAAAACACAGATCCGACCGAAACCGTCTGTATGTAATTAACGAATACTAAAGGAACATTTTGTGATTCATTCAAACTGATACTTAACAACTCACACAAACGGTGATACCCATGAATTGAAAATTATAGTCGATCCAATACAATTTTTATGAAAAAACAATAAAAATTAGCAAAATGATCACGTATTTATTTATCCTGAGCGAAGTTATCGCCCAGAATGATGTTCACTCGAGTCTTTCATCATAGCTCCTACCAATATAACTTGATTCGACGACGATCTCCTGGTCTAACGCGAAATCCAGAGCCATTTATGATTACCCAGGGCGAGATAAACTTGTTATATATCCATACTATGTTACTCGTCGATACGGTTCGACATCATTTAAAACGCCGAACAAACGTGTTTGCTCGGTCTGGTGACACCGCAAGCATCATTTCGAATTACCAACAAACCCTATTGGGGATGCTAGGATATTGATTACACAAAATATAAATTAGGTCCTATAAAACTATGTCGGCTTCGAATAACACTTAGAATAAAATTAACCAAGGAACACGTATCTAGCAACAGTCTAAAATGATAATCAGAACGATTCTTCAATACTTAGTGACTTTTCCCATTGGTCAAAGGTGAACAGCGGACCGATTCTCCTCAAAGGTAAGTGTGGTTGTATCCGTAATGAAAGATGCTTAGAAACCTGTTTCACGAGGAAAAGATACGTCGCAATTATCGAGAAAGTTTATCAGAACGATTCTGTACGACTGTTACAATCTTTTGATTGGTGCAAAATGATGCGTGGAGCGAGTTTCTTTGAACTATTGGTTAACACAATGACCCATTCTATAGGTTTTGAACGTAATTAACTGATGAGAACGTTAGTGGTGATGATCCAGAGTGACATTCAGATGCATTTGCTATGAATTATCAATGATTTAGATGGGTGCAAAATGATGTCAGGGAGATGTTTTCAAGAAGTGAAATGCAAGAAGATGGCGCAGTAAACGGGTTGGTATTGTGTTTAATGAATACGATGTGTAGTAGGTTGGTTTCGGATTATTCTAAGTGTGGGCATTGGGGAGTCAAATGTTGTTGTTTCGAGTTACAATTTTTTTAGGGTGATTGCTGTTGGGAAAAATGTTTGTTGTGGACCCGTTTGAGCGGTAAGGGTTTGGATTATGTTGTGATTATTGATCAGGCGTAGTCGTTTCGGTTGGTGTGCGTGTTTCTGAAGATTACAGTTGATTCATGTTTTGATTAAAGAACGCTTGTATGGGAGATTTTTTATGAGGTCCTTGTCATCGGAATTGGATGAAATCCGGTCAAATATGTGGTGAAGCCGTTGTGAAACCGGGATTATCCGGTAGTCCGGGTGGATCGGTTGCGACAATGTTCGGTTGTATTATCCGGCAGGAAACGACCGGATCATTTTCCTTTGAATTCCGGCGGGGTTTGCCCGGAGCAGAGATTCCGGCGAAATCCCTGTCGGATCCTGGCAGATTTGAGTTGGAATCATGCCGTCTTCTGGTGTTATCCGGTGCCGGTTCCGACGGGTTCCGAGTGAATCCGGAGGCAGGATGGAGTGACTTGGGAAGATGCAGACTACGTTGAATACATAAGAGTAAATACGGTTTCATATTTTGTATATTAAATATATACAGGAGAAGTTTTGAAATTAAAATTATATTGTCGTAAAGAGTGGAACTTATTAATGAGTTAATGTGCGACCATATATGTTGTTTATCGTTACAATGAAGAAATTGTAAAGTTAAAAAAAAGGTAAGTGATGATTTGCTGCATTGAAAGAATTTGATTGTGATATTTTCTTAAAAAAGTTTTTATACCATGAGATTTTATTTTAGTTATTTTCAACATTATTCAATACAATTGTATTTATATGCATGTTTGTCGGATTAAAGTTAACGAGAACATTCATCGAAGACAAGGCAAGTAGTACGTCTTCCTGTTCAACTAAATCGACTCGAGAAAGATCTGGATGGCTACATCGTTCTAATAAAGCTTGAACTTTCAACGTATCAGCAATAAATTCAAACATATTTCGATTGACATCATTAAGATTAAGTTTAATCTTGGTTTTTTGAATAGATTGTTTTATAAATAATGATCTCGATTTGCATCTAATACATTTAATAGTTTTATCGTTACATTCGACGTCAGTAGAATAACATTTTGGACAGCTGCAACGTTCTTCCACTATTCCGATTGACGTAATGACACCTGATACTACTGATTCATGTAAGATTTAAACAGAAGTGGAACAATTTACATCACAAATATCTGGGATTGCTTCAAAGCTACAAATTTTAATAAAAGTTTTATTGCAGAATTATATATGATATTAATAAAGAATAATTAAAATTGTTTCCAAAATTAAGTATACAAAATAATCATAACAAATAATGAAAGAAAAAGATAGAAAACAACTCACATCGTGTGTGTTGTTGTTGTGATTGAGATATCATCATTAAATATTTTTACTTTTGCTAATTTTATTATATAAGATAGATCTTTTTCTATTAGATTAAATTGATTTTCCCAAATATTCATATTTATAGAATCAGTTTTGTCAGCTACTATGGCAGTTCGCTTTAGTTTCTGTACTCTTTTTTGTCCATTATTGAAAAAGGCAGTTTCGTCCTGAAAAACGAATCATAATTCTCATAACAAATTTATTTTAAAGGTGCTTACAAGGCCAACATCGATTATTTTGCATGTTAACGATAAATACTCTCCATCTGTCATGGACTCGATATTTTTTATCGTAGTAATTTGAGTACATAGAGGTGCGAATGAGAGGACCTTTGGTGTTGCAATTGTTTCACTAGTTGCAATATATGCATTGTCACCATTAAATTTTAGTTTATTGAGTTTAACACCATGTTGATTATTCAAATGTTCAACCATTTTTAAATGGAGAGAACAGTTTATTCTTGATGAAAGATATTTGGTTATTCGATTCATATTCTGATTTGAATCAGAAATTGATGCTGTCCAATATTTTCCTTTTTTGTCAGTTTGATTATCTGAAATATTTATTACGGCTACAACCACGTCTTCGAGTGTAGCATTGGGTTTTGAGTTTGAGATGTTCGCATTTTGAATCATGTTAAATCCACGTTTCATGACAGAATTTGTCAAGAAAACAAGAATGATTAGAATAAAAAAATGCAATTATAAAATGAAGAAAACGATGTTAAAAGAAAAGCGCTATAATCCTTTTTTTTATTGTATGAGAAATTCCTTTGCTAACTTTCTAATTAGTTGATTGGCAAAATTTGAATACGAGTTGTATAAAATAAAATTAGTATAAGAAAAAGAAATTTATGGTGAAATCACCACTGTTGGATGATAGTTTTGAATGCAAACTATATATGTATTTTTTAGAGAATGTACACAATGCGGAATCCACATTGTGGATTCAATATTAGACATGGTTTGTAAATAAGATCATTGTTGAGTTGGGTACAATTGTATTGATACATTATATATTTTGGAAAGTAAAATCAACAGTTAGTTTAACAATTTGTTAAACTAACATAACTTGTATATGTATTATGTTAGAGGAAAATGAGCAAAATGACTATTTATATAGATGAATACTTTTTTTTTAATAGATTTTTCAGTTCTCTGTTTTAGTGAGAATCAAATTGTAAGATGGAATTTATATGTATTAACTTATTAGAAAACGATCAAAGAACGAATAATAACATAAAGCATTAGATGATTTTATTTTTCCATAACTGGAATATATGAAAGACTATATAGTTGATCAGAAGAAGGTTAAATCGTTGTTACTTACCACAAGTTTTAGCATATTGATGAATATATCGATCGTACGTGTTATAAACTAATTAATATAAGAAAATTCATAAGTGGATGATTATTATATACGTTTTATCAATAACTTGTTTGTCATTATTATTACTAGTGTTTTTAGATTTAGCTAGTTGATAAATTTTTGTGAAGTTGAGAAAAATGTTTTAGTTGAAATGATTAGATTTTTTATTAAAGAACTGTCAAATAATTGAGATACATAGTGGAAGAGATCAAGTTTTCGGGTGAGTAGCATTTATTATCATATGTATATAACGAAAAGTTTTGCTTATGATTTCGTTTTAGTTAAGTAGGTAAAGAATAGGAATAGTAGACTCATTTATTGATTGTAAATATTAGAGTAAGTTTGAGATATGATTTAAAAAGTCTTGACTATAGCAGTATGGAATGATTTTTTTCACCACGAACTTAACAGAAAGGGAAAAAAGCCTGTTAGCAATTAATAGTTAGTAAAGTAACATGTTAACATTGATTTTTTTAAATTTCTAACAGAATTTTTATAGTACATCACAATTGAAGTTTTGATATTTGTTTTATACAAGTTAGATCAAATTGTAATATTCACAAAACTTCTTTTGTATCGAAAATGAATCACAATTATCGCCAAAATGTGTTCTTCGAAATCGATATATTTGTTCTGGCCGAGCTTCTTTACAATCTTCTACAGGTGTAGCAAGAAATTTGTTTATGTCAAATTGTTGCGGAATAAGAATATTAAAGCCTCGTTGTTGATATTTATATAAACGTGGAGCTCTTCTCGTGAATTTCGATGTAGAAAATGGAACAGCATAGCATGTTGTAAAATCAGAGTTTAATGCTTGTAAACATGCAAATGAAATAATTACTTTTTTCGAGTTGAATGCAGCAGCACAAATATCTAGATCAAATGAATGAATAATTCGTGAGATATTAGTAGATGTGGTAGTTGGACGAATAAGTTGAATAATAAGTGATGGTGCGAAATTTTTGTCATGAAAAATATCATTAATAGTGAATTTTCGATACAAATCAAACTGAACTAGTCTATTGAACCATATAGTTTTTCGTCGAACAAAATATTTGTTTTGTAATCTGTTTTCTAAATCATCCTAAAAATGTTGATGTTAAATACAAACACATATTGGGAGAAGAACTTAATTTAACTGAATGTTATTTATTGTTGAAATTAAATGGGTTAACGTAGTTTTTCAAGAATATTTGTTTTGAAATGTATTCTTTAAAAGATTATTTTATTTTTTCTATGTAAAAGATATTCTGATTATTTGTAAATAAACAAGTATAAAAGTGACTTTGATTTAGAAAAGGATTACCCATAGTTTATATGTATTACGAAATAATGAATAGTTAATGTGAACCGAATAAAGGTAGATATTGTCAAAATTAAAGCCATTTTAATTTATTCGTTAATTTTTGTTAGGGGCTTAACAGTTTTCAGTTTTATCAAGCAATTCGAGATAACTGTATTTAGGGATAGAAATGAAGAGAATTCATTATGAATTAATTACTGGAGTTAATTGCTTTGTTAATAGAAGATAAGTCTTGAAAGAAGATTCTGATTAGAAAACTAAGCTTTTTCATATCATATTACAGATGATCCTTAATAATGCTTTTAAAGAAGAACACTACTTAAATCTTGCCACAGATATTTTAAACAAGTGTTCACTTTCTTTCAGAAAAAATAAATCAATCTCTGATGTATTTTGAAATAAAGGTCGAGCAAGTAAAGATAAAACAACTGAACCACCAGCAATAATAAAGAGATTCCAATCGATGTAATTGCTCCAAGTATGATAATCATATTGAGAAGTAAAATTTTCAAGAAATTGATCGAAGTTGTTAACAATGTCTGGTTTAGATTGATTGTATCCAAAAGTTTTAAATAATGCATATTCTTCATCGCAAAGTGTACGTGGTTCAAGAAGATCTGTATATATATATACATATTAATTATCAATATCATTTTAATGTTCGCCTTTTTTTAATTATCTTTAATAAAATTGCTTTTCTTGGTCAATGTTTTTGATATCAACTCTATATTTATCTCATATCAGAGGTGCTTTCTTTATACGTATCACTATGATGTTTTCGAAAAAAATATTATTATGGTTCATCAAACAAACAGAAATATGTACTAAGTTATAATGAATTATGATTAAATACAATATTATTTATATGCATGCACAATTTTTTTTAAAATAAATATTAAAGAAGAAGAAAAAGAATTTTCATGCACGAGTATTCGAAAATATCTAGAGTAGGATAAGATGCTTCATAATAAAATGGTGTAAATGACCATAATCGACAATACAAGAAAAACGTAGCTGTAGAATAATATTTTACTGATTTTTGGATCACGTTGAATTTGAAAGCTCCATAAACAAAATCGCTCCAATTATAGGAAGACAAAACAAGGCTAATGCGATTTTGAACAATCATAAATGGTGATTTTGGCATGTCAAGTAATGATTTTATTTCTCTATCAAGTTTAATATTCGACTGTAAACGTAGCAATTGTATTAGATGATAGTTACCAGAGACCGTCACAGGGCATGATTATAAATTGAACTGAAATATTGAAAAAGGTAAAGACTAAATGAAAATGTTGTAACCGCTGAAAAGTAAAGTACTCATATTTTATTTATCTATATTCGAGAAAATATAAATATGCGCTTAAAACATAATTAAATATGAGTAGCAAACAGCAATTAAGATTATCACAAAAATCAGTTCACTGCAAAAATAATGCGTTTATCGTGATCTGGCGAATTGAATATGTATATAATTTGAATAAGTGAGAAATCGAGTAAATCTTTCACATTTATTCTCCTCAACTCATCGTGCTGGATAAATAAAGACTCTTCAAAATGTACCAGTAGCAAGAGATTCATTGTGTATTATGGGGTGGTAAGATTTATCATGAAATAAGAGATTTTCTAATTTTGTAGAACCGGGCGAGTTCATATCAAGTGAAAATAATTTAAAACATAGAGAACTAAGCATACAAAACTAAAACACGCGAAGAAATTTACCATTAGAACATGTTGAATCTTTAAGTAAAATTTCCTCTGGAACACTAAGCTCATATCTGAAATCATTTAGAAAAAAACCTCATCATACACATAATTCTTAAATTAGCTCGCTCTCTTATACAATATTAAATGATTCTACCATGTTTTGCATTTCTCTTTGAAGCAGTATTTTATTTTTATAATTGAATTATATGATAATAAATGAGTAAACTGGTATTGTCCGAACTAGGCATAGTAACAAATTTCACAGTGACTGGTGCATAATGACATACATTATAATCCAACACCATGTCAGCATAATCGACTGAAAAATCTGCTATATATCAGTTTATAGGAAAAATTATCAGGGCGCAGGGCAGGGCAACTTTCTATTTTTTCGCCCTGTCCTAAAACAGGACATGGCAGGACAGGGCTGCCCTGTGACGGTCTCTGATAGTTACTAATAGCGAGATGTGATTCGTTGGCCAATGCAAAATGGAATAGATCGATTCCAAATAATTCTTTACTCATACGATCAATTATCTCGCTTGATAACATAGGTAAAAATAATACGTCCATGCAATGTTATACAAAAAGTTAAACTGAGAATTAAAAATAATGTAATAGAGTCAAATACAAGATAAAATTAAGTGAAGATCATAATTTTATTTTTTATGTGCGCTCAAATTGGTGAATACCAAATAAATGAATATTATTAAACGAAAAAAGTTCATAATTTTAGAAAATTGGATAAGTATACATATGAATGATGTTAAAGAGAATGAATCGGATGAAATAACTTTAGGAAATAATGAGTATAACGATAAGGATAAATTTGATGAAAGTAGATAATTTATTTAGATATGCAGATGATGATTTTCATTTGTTTAGAGAAATATTGTAAAATTCTGTTACTATCATGATTATACTAGAAATACAAGCCTAAAAGAAAATGTTTTTATTGGTCCAGAAAATGATAATAAGACTTCTAATCGAATTAAAATGAATGTACGATATAGAAATTTAGAAATGCATATCTTGTTTTAGTATTCTATTCAAACGGAATGCCTGATAGTTTTTTTTTGTGGCGGTTGTGATGAAATGAGCAACATTTGTATATACAGAATTTTATGATTCAACTTTAGTCTTGTTCGCTTTGAGTTAATAATATAAATCATGAAGTTGATTGCTTTACGTTGGAAATAGAAGAAGTATGTCAAGTTGCAACAATTTATTTTTACATATAATTTATTATAAAGATTCGAGTGAAATGTTCGGAAAGTCGTCCTCTTTTTATAGTTGAACCATATACTTATGTTTTGGTTCTTCTAATTTGTACTTCGTCAGTGGACTATGGATTTTGTCCTTCAATTACGATTAGTATCGGATCGATAATGCACTCAAATCACAGTGTTATATTGTTTGGTCAAGTTTGGACGCTTTTTACATAGAAGATTTTACAAGTTAGTTAAAATTTTATGAGCACTGATTTGGAATCTAAACATATTTGATAACTTAGATTTTAAATAGACTAAGACAATACAGAGTATATTTTAAACTTAGATTTGCAGTAATAAAAAAACTAATGTAAGTGTATATTTTGTATGATCTAGCTCTTCCTTTTGCACAAGGTTACGCTACTTTCATTGAACGCTGATTTTGTTTTTAAAAAAATTTTATGACATGTAGCTTTAGCGGGATTGACACACTCTCATAGTTAAAATAGTTCAGGAACGCTCTAAGATTTACTAATAAGTTATTTATATTTATTTTGAATATTAGTTTATAGAGCGAAAACGTAGATTAATTTATATATATATATATATATAGGGGTTGAAAGATATATGATTTACAGAATTATTTTTGTTTGAATAATTAAAACAAAAATTAGTATGATTTATTACTAAGTAAGTATTGTACATTATTAACGAAATTTATTGTATTAGACATCATAGTTGTATTTGACTTATTAGTTCACGTTTTAAAAGATGTAATAGTATAGTTAAGAAGTTCATTGAAAATTTAACATTGACTGAGAAATATGATTTAAAACTTTATGAATTGTGTATTTCGATAATAGAATTGGTATTTTTATGAGATAGGAACAGATATTGACTTTAATGAAAATAAATATAATAGCAATGTTATTGAAACAATAAATTAAGTTATATATTCATTTTCACAGAATAAAAGTAAAGGTTTAAGATCTGCTGGTGCATCAGGTAAAGCCCATCATTTTTTTGCAATATCGTCTATAGAAAGGTCTTGATTTAAATCATCTGATATACTTTGGATAGTGATGTATATATTACAATTACATTGCAGAAGTAAATCAATAAACTTTAATATATCTTGACAATGAATAGGTTCATGATACATAGTATGTTTAGAATCAATTTTAAAAAAGTAACCTTTTGTCAAACGAAATTGACGCAGAATATAATAATGATAATCTTGTTGAATAAGCAGAGCTTGAATATTTTGAGTATTAGATAAAATTAAACTTCGAATAGGACAATTACTATTCTCTAATTTATTAATTTGTAGAAGCTGTATATTAAAAATATGACGGAGAGCTGCGTCTAAAACTTGAATATCATAATCTCCACTGTTTTCGTAATAGTATTGTGTAATTCGTATCGAATCTCCATTTCTACATATTTGTTCAGCAGCCGCTAAATTGTTAGCTATTTCTACTAAATACTCATCACTAAATAAATCAAGATTTTGTGCAAGCGCACGAAGAGAGTGTCGTCCACAATAATTTCGATCTTGTTCCTCACAAATGATGATATTCTGAGAATTTTTCAAAAATGAATGTTTAAAATAAATTTGATATGTCACATTTTAACCGTTTCATATCACCACAATCTGAAGTAGTTTGTATAGAAACTTTATATGATGGTATTGGTGATAATTTAGGGATATTCAATGACTGTGATAGACACCAATCAGTATAGTTCTATAATAAGATATAGTTAATCATAATATAATTCAAATAAAAAATATGACCTCGGATTGTAGATATTGTTCAATTTGAATTGGAAACTCTTCTTCTAATTTATGCAAGCGGGCCATTTCAAGTAATGCTGCTTTAGACACCTAGTACATGAATTTATGTTAATTAATAGTCAACAAGGGTGGATTACTTTGAACGATTTACGCTCGTATGCTAAGATTACAATATCGGTTAATTTTCGTGTACGACTTAAAATCGTGTAGAACATTCCAGGTTTCCAATTTATGTCGGTGAGATCAACAACTAACTTATTATAAGTCATGCATTGCGAACGATAAACTGTAATTGCATAACCAAGACTAAGTGGTAGTTGTGTTCTTGTCATCCAAATTCCGTTTTTATCTTTATAGCCGACTTGTTCTGGAATCATTTTATATATGGAACCATTATTTAGTTCTTATAGCAGAAAGCATTACATTAAATTAATTTAACAGTTTAACCTATCTTACCGAGTTCGACATATTTTGGTATTGTCATGGTCACTGCTATATTTAGATTTGGAAAGACACACCGATTAGAGATAGGCAAAACAATATGAGAACTATTGTCCCAAAATAATATCTTTTATAGTTGCTTCAGTTCCGTTAACCATAGCCCCATCGAAATCAATATTTCGTCGACAAATTACACGTGCACCGATACATAATGGTAGTTGTTCGAACATGTATCCACAGTCGTTTTCGTCACCTGAAGGTTGTAAAATAATTTTAGATTCTTTTTGACTAGCTTTGACTGGATTGAAAAATAATGTACGAGCCATACCAATTTTCTAAAAATATAGTTTATTTCATGAATATATAATGAAAGACTTAAACTGACGTCTATAGATTGAATAATTCATATTGGTTTTTTCAATTTCACTGCTGTGTCCTTCAATCTGATAGAATTTCTCTCATTTGTTTTAGATCCTACACTATATGCATATATAGCATTTGAAAAATCGACCGATTGTAATTCAGATAATCGCTCTTGATAATGCTCTGGGTTGTCTTCTTTTCGAATACTTCTACTTTTTATTGCAATTTCATCTTCTTCATTGTATTCTCCTGAAATACATCCTTATTTATTGTTATAACCAATTAGTAATAATATACCTAGGCGGATTCGACAAAGAACGTCAAAAAAGACTCTATCATCGCCCTGCCGCATGTTAATATTAAAGTTGATAGGTCTGAATAAATCCGACCAGAGTGAGAAAGTTTCACCAGGAGCTCGCCAAAACATTTGTTTTGCAGCTACTGGTTCACATTGACTCAAATCTTCGAATAATAAAACGGGGATACTCCCAAAATAAACACCACTTTTGTCAGACACTTCAAATATCTGATTCAAGCGTTTGTTTACTTTTTGAAAAAGGCTATGGGAAACCAATGAGATTTCATCAATAATTATCAAAATTAAATCACCAAGTCTGTTTTTAAGTGAATGTATTTTGAACGATGGTGCATCATTAGGTGTTGATGTGTTATCTGGTCGCTAATGGTATATTATAGTATTATTTAGAACATGAAATGTAATGAAAAGTTACCATTCCTAACGCTGTATGAATAGTCCAACCAAGAATATTTAAAGCAGCTTTGCCAATGTGAGCCATTTTCAGTAAACCTTTTTTTCTTCGTTGACGATTTCGAACAGCCGATTCACTAATACAAAAGTCAGTTAACATTTGTTCGATAATAGAAATGACATAAGATTTTCCAGAACCAGCTAAACCATTGACAATTATATGGGTGTGGGTGTGAATGAAGATAAGGCAATGACATGTGCACCCACACCCACACCACACACTCTCAAGTATGAATTAGAATAAGTCTTGTTGGTTCTTATATTTATATATAAGTAATCATATTGATTTAATGCCATCTGATGAGATCCTTAAGCAAGATCGAAACGCGTCATGGCTGCCTATATCACACCCTTAATCGACGTTACCGAGTTCGATCATTTCAGATATATATAATGGGAAAGAGAACGAAATGGCTTAGTCTATGTCTACGACTTCGAACATTTCGAATATATATAATGGAAAAGAAGGAAAGAAAACCATTTAGCTGTCTCCATGTGCTTGACTTCGAACATTTCAGATATATATATAATGGAAAAGAAGGAAAGAGAACGATTTGGCTTAGTCTATATCGATGACTTCGAACATTTTGAATATATGTATAATAAACAGGAAAGAAAGAAAGTGATTTAGCTTAGTCTATATATTTAGTCAGCAAATAGATTGACTCATTTCTTTCTATATATGAAACAAACTCTACGTATACGAGTCCGTTATAGAATTTTTGTACAGATTCGGTTGACCTAAGAATGGTCTTGTTTATCGATGCTATATGTAAGACAGTAGTGTTGACTGTCTAAGTAATGAAATGAATGTTTTTATGGTTGATTGGTAAAAAAGGATGATTTCGATGCAGTATTCGATAATTCATATGAATTCATGAGTGAAATGATGTTGAAGGTCTTAATTACTTGTGCTATGTAATTATACTTAATGAAGTAGGATGACGTCATAGATAGACATATTGGAAGGAAAGAGAACGAAAGCGGTCAAAGAAACGTTATCCATTTCATATACGATGGCCTTTGACCGTTAATCGAAGAAATAGGAAAGGTAAAGAAAAGGATTCAATTGTCTAAATTGGAATAAACCAGTTTAACGACTGTTCATACGCTTCTGATGTAAGCGGGAAAATCAGAAAATTCGAATTAAATAAAACAATATTCATAGACGATCTGTTGAATAGAAAAACGACTCATATCCTAATGTTGCTGAAAAGTTATTAGGGTTGTCTGTCTGTCGATAATAATGTGCAATTTTCCATGGTCAATATGCATCTGAAAATGAGGAACATGGAACATCGCGTTATCATTCTTCTGTTCAAATGAAGTGAATCAAGCATGATAAAGAATCATAACAAAAAAGTTCATTGACAAAAAACAGAGGGTTATCTAGATAGTATCAGATGCTAGTTCAGTTGAAGTCGAATATGAAAATAGACACTGAGGGACACACATCTCTACTATTCTTTCAGATGATGCCAATATCTGCATCTAACTTAGCATATCACATGCTCATGCGTTTAGCTCAATCATACATAGCGTCTCGAAACAGTGAGCAAACACTTAGCGTTACGGTCTTGGTTCAAATTGAATAAAATCCGAGAAATGTAGTTCAAATTTCCATCAGAAGAATTCATTTCCATAACATACTGAAGGTGGCATCAACTTAAAGCTATGAATCTAAGATTCTTCCTGAACTATGAAAGAGAGATCGTATATCGATTCGTTCCCTTTCGGTATCTAGATTTTTGTTCGAAAAATTTTCAGTTTTAAAGAATAGACATGGACTTGTACAATTGTTTATGATTATAGTTAAGTTAATTTTATGGGTGTGGGTGTGGGTGTGGGTCTGTGAGTGAATGAAAGATCCATATCCACAGCGACAGCCACAGCCACACCCGCATCAACTGGCATATAGAACTTTGAAAAGTAAAATGTAGGCCGATTTAGTATCTTATCCGCCCACTTCTTTAGTGTGCAAGGTCGACATCTGAACATAAGCTATCAATGATGAATCAACGACTTTTTCATTACGGATGTGATAAACCGACAAATATGAACTACTTTAAGGATATATTTAATTATGCAATTTTTCAAAAAAAATGATCGAAGATTCGTTCGATTCCGTATTTGAGTCGCTGATGAAACCGTCGGTGTAAAGGATATTTCTCCAGAGCAAATGTCAAAGATTTCTCATAATGCTCGCGAGATTTTGTAAACTGTTTCATATTGTAATAAACGGTTCCAAGATTTTCATGAAGATACGTATGATAAGGATGATCTGATTCCTTTGTGGTGCGGAGAATTTTTTCAAACTTTTCAAAATAATCAAGAGCCTCTTCATATTTTTCCTGAGCATTGCAAACAATGCCGAATGTTTGAAAAGAGACACCTAGTCTGATGTCATTCTCTGAAAGGTATTATCTACGCAGACAAAGTGCTTTTTCGCTTAGCTCTTCCGCTTCATTGTAGCACTTTTGTTCACATTTAATGCGAGCCAAACGACTGTATGCATAAGGAAAGTCGGGAGAAGACTCATTATTTTGATGAAATCTGCGTAACAGCTCCAATCTTTGTAATGTAAATAATTCAGCTTGTTCGTAGTTATCTATTTGATAATAGCTCACAGCAATGTACTCTACAGCATTGCTTATATTGACACGATCTTCTAAGGGATCAAATATTTCTTTACTCTTGTGTAAAAATGGCAATGCTTTCTCATATTCATATAAATGAAAGTAAGCTTGTCCAATATTCAAATAAGAGTGACCAAGTATAAATTCGCATTGTTGTGGATCTTCCATTGATTTGTCTAAAACTAAACGAGCGTAGTATAATTCGAGTTCGAAATTTCTTTGAACATGGTATAGTTTTCTCAGTTCATTATAAGTCACGACAAAGTCTTTAATGGTAGTGCACAATGTCAGTGCATGATTAAAAGAATCCAATGCATGTGAATATTCTTTCAGACGGAAAAAAGCCAAACCTTGATATCGATATACGTGAAGAAGACGATCATTAGAAAATAATGAAGCAATTGTGGCGCTTAAGTTGAGACATGCTTCGAAGTATTCTAAAGCTTCTTTTGGTTGCTTCATTTTCAGAAACAAGCGTCCAATAGAATAGAAAATTTCAAAGGCCGTTTCCGATTCAATAGGCATATCTAAATTGAGTAGCAATTTATAGTTCGCGAGAGATTCTTCGTACTTATTCAATCGGTAGTAGGCTCGCGCTATGTAATGCAGAATCTCTTGAAATGTCTCATTATGAAGTGGTAAGTGACGTTGAAATATTACGGCTGCTATCGAAAAATTGTTCAGACAAGTAGAATATGAGCCTCGCATGAAATAATTGCGTCCAATATGCAAATGAAGAGTGCCTAAAAGACGTGTTTTTTGACAAGGATTATGATTGCTTTCAATCATTAATGCTGTATTCAAATACTGCAAGGCTTGATCTAAATCATTCATACAATTGTGCAGTTCTCCCAAATCACTGTAGAGACCAGCAAAAAAACAATGGTCGTGTGGTAAAAATGATCGATAGATTTGTTCTGCTTTTTGATATGCATGCAATGCTTCTTCATTGTTATTAGCAACCGCATAAAGATGAGCTTGACAATGATATATTTTTCCCATTCTTGCTGGATTGGTTTGTGAACATTTTTCATATAACTCAGAAGCGGAGTCATAACATCTTTTAGCTTGTATTGTACAACCGCTACGAAAATACACTAATCCCATGTGCTGATAACAATCACCGATAGAAAAATGTTCCAATGGTAAACATTGACGATATATATCGAGAGAATAGTTGAAATGTAGAATCGCATCAGAATAGCTACCCAAGTAAAAATGCGTCATTCCAATAATATCATGAGCATTTGCGATTTCCAAAGCTATTGATGGTAAATATGCAGTATAAATGCGTAACATTATTTCGAATAACTTTAAAGCTTCTTCATGTTTCTCCTGGCCATCACAGAGTAGTCCGAGTGTTTCTAAGAAATTCGCTAAATGGAGTAGTTTCAGAGGCCTGAAGCTACCAAAAACCAGTGGTCGACATTGTTCAATACATTCGATTGCTTTCATAAAATTGTTGTCTTCAATATGTAGTTGCGCGATTCGCAGTAACCATGACAACCGCATATCTTGATCTGTAGTCAATGCAAGCTCTTGCTCTCTCACCTTGATTACCATTTCTGAATTAAATACTGCCATCTTTCTCATTTGAATTTCCGTCAAAGGACTATTGCTGTTATCTAATCTGTAGAACTCCTTTAAATAACTGTTGCTTCGCTTTATGTCAGCCATAACAGTATAATAGTTGACCATACAGATATAGAATGCTGCTTCGGTGTTAAATTCATTCAATAGCTTGGGATAATAATGCTCTTGTAGCTTTCGAATATGTTGCGAATCACATGTTTGCAGTTTAATGATCCATACATTATTTTCATATTGAATATTCATAATCTTAAACATAGCCCCGACTAATATGAGAATTTCCTGCTCAGAATTATTCCAGCTATACTTATCAATGTCAGCAAAAGGCGTGGTAGTTGTGCTTGTATCAATATCGATAGCGAAGAGAACAGACTCATAATTAGGACGACGTTGCCCATTGCCTGCAAACATAAGAGAAGCATTTTGATCGAATGATGTCGATAAAAATGTGTTCATGGCAATCAATGATCCAAGACTTCGTTTTAGTCTGTCGAGTTCTTGTGGTGCTATGAGCTGGCCACGATAAACTGTCAAAGTATAAGGAATGAGGTCCAGATCAAGCAATGTTTGAAGATAATCGCAATGCAATTCAATTAGACGAGTGTAGAGCTCTGATAGAATGAAACGAAATTTATAGATATCATCGATGTTTTCTGAACGAAGTGTTCGATTCAATAGACGATACAGAAATGAATCTCGTGTATACCATTTAATGGCATCGTCTGATCGATAGTTTAATTCGAAATAAGAAATTTTGTCCAGTTCAGCTTTGTCATCTGCATAATAATTTCGACAATATTCAACCATATCAAGTTTTGCTTGTTCACCATCGAATGTATGAAAAAGAGCTTCCAAGTAAAGTTGACGCCAGATGAATGCGCCTGACGCTTTCGTTAAGTTGTGAGTTGACTGCCCTATTTCTAATAAACTGAAACTCGATGATGAATTCTCCTTGCAATCGCGCACATCTGCATATAGTTTTTCGATAAGGATATCTTCGCTTGAACAAATATGACGAACTTTTTCAAAATATCGAACTTGATCATTGCATATTTCAACCGTCGAAAGAAGATAGATGAATGAAACTTGTAGTAGAGCATTGGCTCTTGTTAAAATTTCATTATCGACTGATGAGAATGGGTTAAATGGCATAATAAAAAATAAATAATCAACATTGGTATCATGGATAAAATTCCAACATTCTTCAGGATCAAAAAATGTTTTCATATGTGGCTTTAAAGAACGAGCCCGTATTGATGCATCGACACTGTTCTTAAAATCGGAGAATTTTTCATTGAACCAAACGACTTCGTAGAATTTACTTTCAGCTTGATATTCAATATTTTCCCACATTAACTATGATATATCTGCTTATATAAGCAAAATATGTAAATGTCGATTAGCGGCAGTCCTAAAAAAAATTCAGATGATAAATAATCGAAGGCATGAAAGTTAACCCCGCTCTCGTTTTAATTTATGTATCACAAGTCATTTAATCTATGTGAATATTGTTCATATTTCCTTGTGTACATGTGCCTTGTACATCAACATTATTTCTTTCTGCATCTGTTTACATTCATATTTGTGCCACATTACATTGCTGCTCTGCTGTTTGCTCTTGATGGCACAAGTGCGAAAAAATTAATCACTTCTTTTCTGTTTCTTTCGACTACATTCCTTGGTAGTAGCTAATAAAAGAATAACAATAAATCACATGTTTTTATTTCCAAGTTAGCTTATCAGCACGCTGAGATAAAATGAGTTGGAGTTGGCGTCGTGAATTATTGTGTAGCGCATCCAAACTTAAAAAGCTTATCAGCGCAGCCCCTTTGGAGCTGACATGTGAAACTCACGTGCCCCTATCTCCTTCATTAAATCAACATAAAAAATTACATAAAGTCAAAACTGTTTCAGAGGGAAGTTGTTTTCTAATATTAGCTATCATCAGAACAAGAATCTCTTTTATTTGGTGCCGGTGTGTGGATGTGGGTGTGAGTCTTTCTTATAATATTGACCCACACCCACACCCACACTCACACCCGCGCATAGTTTCTCTATGAATGAATAACATTGAAATTTGCTACAATGATCAATGGTTAGAAAAATACTCCTATTCGTCCAAATTGATTTAGCAATTGTTTTTTGACGTTTTCCATTTACGTCACATAGGGATTCATATTGTTTTTCACCTAATTCAATTATTCTAAGAAGAAAAATTGTTCAACTCATCCTAACATCACCTTGTTTTCTCCTGAAAAACGTACACTTCAAGTAATGCTTCTTCAAATTTAACTTGATTTGTATGTCCGATTTCCATATTCTTGAGTCGATTTTCGTACTCAGCCTCCGTTAAAATGTGTCCACTTTTATTTATCTATATAAAGAAGAAAAATACAAAATCATCATCGGTTTAATAGCCAAAAAGAAAAAAAGAACAACGTACTAAACTGGCCCTGCGTAAATATTGTCGCATACGATCTCTTGTAAAGTATTTTTGCAGGTGTCTATCAGTAAGAATGCAGTAGGGTCTATGTGATTTGAAAAAATGACTCGAAATACTTTTATCATCTTCGCTTTTGTTTAAGAAAATTAAAGACTTACGTTGCTGGTGGCGTTAGTGGAGTTGACATTGCTGGCTTCAATGATGACTGATCGATTATGATTTTTCTTCAAGTGAGGAAAAAATTTAAGTTGTAAGAATATGTAAAAGCGTTGCAATGATGAAGAAAACTTTCCAGCGTCCTCTACTATTTAAAATAGAAAACATTTTTTCTTTTCTCTGTTTTTGCCACGACTACAATTTTACTTCATAATTGATGGGAAAAAACACAGGCTCGGTTGCTCGCTTTTTTCTTCCGTTTCTTATTCATTAAGTTCAAATGAATTTCTCTACATCATTGAATAAAATATAGGAAAGCAAAAAACGAGAAACGACTGTTCATCGAACCTATGGGCTATAAAGCATTGCCCTCTTAGTATTTTGAAGCTTTCTGAAAGGAATGTTGAAGTGCTTAAGGTAGAAAATTTTCCACTCATCTCCCCTCCACACCCCACCCGCAGGAGGGGGGGGGGCGCAAAATTCTCCTCCTGAAACTTACACTTATTATTTTCTTCAAAACATATACGTGAGTTCCACAAAAATCAGAATTGGTTGGCTATTATCGTCACACAACGAACATAGCCACGATACATTGACTTTCACATAAAAGTATTGCATCTTTTTGACAATAGAGACTTTCTTCCAACAGTCCATTACACTTTTTTTTACTTTGCCATATAAAGCTTCATAGAAAACTTGTATTTTTTCTCGAGAGTGTGGGTTTGAAGACATATACATTTAAAAGGAAAATCCACACTGGCACAGCACACCAATCCTATAGGTGAATGACGAGTGAAGAGTAGCTACGAAATTGATACACAATATTTATTTTTCATGAACCTTTTGATATTCGGATTATTTTAGAAAAAAGTGGTCAAGTTAGTGGCAGCGGGCAAACAAGAAACGTAAGATGGCGTGGTCATAATAAAACAATATATCTATAGAAAAATAACTGCTTTCGTCAAGTGGCATTCTCAATCATTGGATTAGCAACCACGATAAGTTGCTTATACAGCGAGTCATTTCGGCAACATTTGCCTACGCGAAGCCAATATTTGTTAGCGTAAGTCTTGGTTAAAGTCCTGCGACTAATATTGTCCGTACAATGAAGATGCTAACATATGAACTGATTGGTGGAAGTTTGATTCAACTCAACTTCAACTTATTTTTTGTATAACTGATAGAAACAGAGCATCTGATGTTTTATTCGAATAAACACCTATTACTTTGTGCCGTAAAACTGATATTGCATTTTATTCAAGCGCCTTTCATTTGTCACATACACATATCAAGTTTTCAAAACCATCAGTAAGACGAAGAATTTTCTTATTGCTAGGAAACAAATCAGGAAAAAGACGACGGGCGCTAGCAACTTCATCATCATTGGCATCACGGAGAATAAACGCATGAGCACCATAACAGAGATTACTATTACAAGTCGCATCAAAACGACGGTGCCAGTAAGATTTCCAATGATCAAGCTCAAAAACCAACCACTCGTCCGTTGTCCAATTCTGCCAATCACGAATTTTATGCCAATGATCATCAGGACCGTCAAAACGCCAATCACGACATCGACCACATTTATAACAAGCACGACCACCACAATTGGCCTTTTCTTGAGAAAATTCTGGTATTTTCTTTGATATTGTACTTCGTTGTTCTTCTAAACGAGAAAATTAACTCACTCAAATTTGTTTTGAACAAATTGGCTAAATTATTCAACTTTTGAAGAAGAGAATGCGTAGCATAGGTCATAAAATACAAGTTGGTCTCGAAATGGGTGCATCAGAGCACATCCGGCTAAAATTCTCAGATCGAAGAAGATTGCAGACTTGGGCATTGACCTTCGAGCGTGTTTAGCTGGAAGTAGTTGAAAAATGAGATTCATATCTACACAGTCAAGATTTACTTTTTTGTATGGCTATTTAAAAGAGAATATTAGGATATTTATTGTACTGAAACTCAATAAGAGAGTGTGTGCAATTCTTTTAGAAACAAAAAATAAAAATTGTCTGATTTTGTTGTGTCTCGATTTCAGGTTCACCATAAGCGAAGATCAGGAATTAAATATGGGCAATCCTCGTCAGTAGAACATTGAGGAAGAGGAAGAATATTTGGATGTGCAAAAGCGATGGCAGCGTAAGCTTCAGCAAAACGCTTACGGGAAGCAGGACTCCCACGCACGTAGTGAGAATCATAAGTCTTTTGAAGAGCAGCGACCTCAGGAAAGTGAGAGGCAGGATTAGCAACACCACCGATAACAAGAGCCCTCTCGTCATAACCAGAAGCACGAGCTCGCTGTTGTTGAGAATGTTGTAAAATTTGCTGAGGGGGCCCTAAATTTAAAACTTTCCATTGATTAGATCTAAGACATATTTATCATCATACACCGCTTTCTTCAACGTGTAAGAACCCATTTTCGATCATCTGGATCGAATGGAAGAAAATCTTAAATGAACAGTCTTTAGCAACTATAACTAGGTGTGATAAGTAATCTAAGTCATACTCAAAATTGAAGTGTCGAACTGGTTTGCTAGAAGTTTACGAGATACAAACAGTATTTTCACTCATCCACTCTCTTCTCTTACGATAGATCTCATTATCACATGAATGCGCGGTTCATCTTCGAATGCAACTAATAGAATAGGTGCAAACTAGGAACCAGAAAGCTCAACAAGATGAATACATACACCTTCATCTGGAGTACTTAATGCCTTACCTGCTCCTGCAACTGGTCCAAATGGTACCAACAATCCTTTGAGCTGAAGTCGCAAAGCATGTTTAAACAACGAGCATGTCTTTTTTAAAACAAAAAACTTACCAATTCAGATAACTTGTCTTTTCGGATTCCTGTTCGATCTTGGTCTTCCTGCTGTCGTGAAACTACTCTTCTTTGACCGCCCGTAGCACCATATTCGTTGCTCGCATGATTTTGTTCATTCTTGGTTTCTGCCATAAAACCTACAGTTCAAATAAAAACTAAAGTCAGTTAGTTTAAACACGCTTCATTTGAGTTCTATTGCTTGTAATTTACTGTCAATGTGATTGCTAACTCATCATTCGACAATGAAGAAATAAACGTACTGTTTCTGGTTCATAGCCCCGTCTGCCAGTTCATTCATCTATGACAAGCCAGCATACTTACAAGAAATATGAACCGGGCGAGAGAGATTACAAGAGAAAAACAAATTGAGCAACACTGTGACATCAATGACAAACCGTTATTAACACTACGTTCTTATAAAAAACTTGGACAATTTACTTCACAACTAGATATGATTATGCTAAGGATTCTATTCTCGTCGAATTCTGGTTCTATGCTATAGTTCCTTGAATTCATATTCTATAATTTCTATCTCAATATACTTCGATTGCAATCGTTGGGATAAGTGTACGTAATTTACATTGCTACTCATGCATATAGACTGATATCAGTCGCGGTTCAAGTTGTTCACATTTCACGAATAAAAATAAATGCAGCACTGGGGATAGATTAGGGAACAATTAGCACGGTAAACGTAAAAAATTACCAGAACGATAGTATTGTTCATTGAGAAGATGTTTCAATTCTCTAAATGTCGGGCGACTATTTGGTGATGTAGACCAAGTTTTTGTGATGATCGACCAGAAGGGTTGGCTACAATTAGATGGTTGAGGCAGAAAATGACCATGTGTGACTCGTCGAGCGACATCATCATCGTTTTCAATGTTCGCCCATGGCAATGCACCTCGAGAATATGCTTCCCACATTAACACACCCATTGAATAAACGTCTGATTTTTCTGTATAAACATCCGATGTATCCTTTGATAAAAGTACTTCTGGTGCTGCATATCGAACAGGAACTAAATTCAATATAGTTCTTGTAGCACTTGATATCATTGAATACAACTGACTGTGTCGACTAAGGCCGAAGTCGGTGATTTTTACAATATTCTTTTCTGGTTGATTCTCATCGAAACGAAAAACTAATACATTGCGACATGCCAAATCGCCATGAACAATGTGATTAGATACAAGACATATCATTGCCTCAATAATTTGTAAAAATATTTGAATAAGAATTTTTTCGCCAGGAGATGTCCTTCGATCTTCTAATACATCAGATAAACTTCCTCCGCGTGCATATTCTTGTAAAAGCAGAGCTGAATTATTTTGGTCGGTATTATTTCTATCGTATACGAAACCAAATGTTCGAATAATATGCGGATGACGACTTAAATTCACGTAGAAAGATGCTTCTTTTCTTGCCCGAGCGCCATCAATTTTCAGTAGGATGATTTCTGGTCGATTAGTAGTATCGTGTAACCACTCAGCAGCAAAAATCTTTTTTCCATTTGTCTGAAACAGTGGTCGTACTGTCTTCTTTTTCACATCGACATCTAATATAAATTGATAATTTTTTTCGCGCAGTAAGGTCTCAAATACATCAACGAGTTCTTTCACCTTGCGATTTGGATGGAGTTGATCAATGGATAATGGCTGTCGTGTAAGTGGACTTGTTCCATTACTTCGAATCCATTGTTCGATCGCTTGTCTCTCATAAGTATGGCCGTCGGATGCTACGACTGGATCATGAAATAGATCCATTGTAATTGGACATCGTAATAAGTCGTCTGATGTATTCATATTTGCCATTTCGATTAATTTTTATATTTTTGAAGACTATAATAAGAAAGGTGAAAATAGCAGTTTTTTAGCAAAAATGAAGTCAGTACAAACAGAAACATCATTCTGTATTAGTACTGTTCATGAAATCTCAGAGCAGATAGGCGATTCATTGAAGAGCACGACATTGGTTAATCTATCTAATGATGATAAAACCAATCTGTCCATACTATACTGTCACTGCTCGTTTTTGAAATTCACTGTAAAAAAGATCTGTTTGCAATTCGATTTGATAAATAAAAACTTGAGAGTATGATTCGACAGTTGGAACCTCTCGCTTCGTGTTTCTCGCTCAGATACACTCTCATCAACATCTACACCTAGACTCACTGGCAAGGCACATTTTCGACTCGATGATCCCAGAAAAAATAGCACGATTCGATAGAGAAGGAAATTCTGCACCCAGCAAAATCCTTTGGAGACCTGGCACAGACCAGGAAGTGAACCCGGATAGGAAGCATTCGAATCCGGCGTCAAAAATAATAGAACAAAACGGAACCAACTTATTCGTGTCATTTCAATATAGTAATTGACAACTCTCAGTATAACTAAATGACAAAAAAAAAGAAAAGTTAACTATTTTCATTATAAAAATTTGCACGAACTTTCGAATAATTGAAAAAAGGCAACAACAACAAATCTACGCTTTCCATTTCTGTCCCAATAAAAGCACAAGTTATAAATATGATTATTAGGAAAAAAGCAAATGCAAGTAATTTGTTTGATTGGTTTATAAAATGCATGATCAGTGTCAGAATAACTCAATGCTGAAAGAGAAAAATTAAAGCAAACAAACATTTCAGGTTTTTCCCAGACAACTGACGAAAAAAAAAGATTCTATTGCGTCGGTGAAATCGACGACAACTATCAAAATAAGTAGAATAAAAAAAGAAATAAAATAAACTAGCTTTCTCCATTTCTGTGTTTAAACAAGAGGGTTGGCGTATTGATATTGACACAATCAAACGAAGAACAGCAACGTAAACTACCCGATGAAAAAATATTTTCTGATTTCAATCAAATTATTGTGCAAGAAAATCCAATCTGCAATCGGATTGATAATTTTGAATTGTGCTACAGAACAATCCGATTGCGGTTTGGATTTTGTTGTACAATAATTGGATTGAAATCAGACACCATTTTTCAGTGGGTAGCTGTCGTGTCGTGAAACACACTCGTTATTTTCGAAGAAAATAGCGAGTATAATCTTAATGGCGCTTATTGCCAGCTCCTTCCCGTCATCTCCATTACATACGCTAGCAATCGAGAAATAAATTAAATGTGAAACGAGTGTAGCACTTCAACCACTATGTATTAGTAGAAGTCAACTAAAAATCATACGTGATTTTTCTAGTTTAGCTCCGAAAGGACTGCGCTAACAAGCTATTTCCGATAAAGTTAATGATCACCACGAGTATAACTAAGTGATGAAAGAGAAAGGCACGTACAAACTTGATTCCTTTATTTGCGATAGTTTTCTGCACGTAAGTAAAACATCGGAAAGATGGATAGAGACCATCAACTAGTCTATCGAACCATAAGGTTTCGATTTTATATTCTTTTGGTTGTACTCCAAAAATTAATAAATTACAAAAAGGAGTCAAAAACTATTTTTGCAACAAGAGTGCATTTTGTAGTTTGTTTTTACATCATCTAATAGGTTTTATTAAAAACAAAATATACTAGAAGATGCGTCGCGAAAAGCTCTACAATTTGCATAAGATCGCTTGTTTTATTTCTACCCTTTTAGTTTTCTAAACGGAGAAAAGTCTGACCGTGTGAGTATTGGTCTCACAGCATTTTAAACATCGTTTTTTAACCAATTACAAGAAGCCGTGCTGTGTTATCTGTAGAACTTTCCACGCTGTTTCTTTTGGTGCATTTAACCTCATTAAGCAGACATATTAGGTGGTAAAAATATTCAATCGTAAAAGAAATCTCTTGTTCGTGTCAAAATATTGATTTTTTTCAACGAACAAATTAGAATTTTTTCCGTTTGAAAACAAAAAAGAGTAAAGCTATTTTACGTAAATTGTGGTGCATCTTTTGGTATAGTTTGGTTTTCAAATAAAATCTATTAGATGATGTAAAAAAAACTACAAAATGCACTGTTGTTGCAAAAATAGATTTTTGGAGTAAAATCAAAGGAAATAAAATCGAAACTGTATGATTCGATAGAGTAGTTGATGCTCTATCCAACTGTATCGAAATAATCGCACGGTAATGGGCAATTATAAGAATAAATAATTTTAAACAACAAAGAAAAGAAAAGAATTTTGGCAACTGAATCCCATAGGCAGAAGTATCATGAGAAATAAATAAAAAAAAACGGAAATTCCAGTAATGAAACCTGCTTTTATTTCTCTCAAAAGTTGTCGCGCAATAGTCAGAATAACTGGAGGTGTAAACAATGCGACTGAGCTGTCGCCGCCGTCGTGAGTATTACAAAGAAATTCTTTGAGTGTGGGTATGGATGTAGAATTCATATGTAGATAAATCAGAAAATCTGTAATCACATCCACACCCACATTCTAAAAGGAGTTGACCTACAAGAAACCAATTCCTACTTGGACAAATCATATTGTATTCGTATTAAAGAAGACAACTTTTCAATATCTTATGATTACATGTCGAAATAGTGAGAGTATTCATTAAATAATTTCTCGCAGGAAAAAACGACAGTTGACGGTGGATGATGGCAATGTTTTTTCATTATATCAGGTGTTTACGTAAAGAAGTTTGGGGAAAAGTAGGAAGAAGAAAATGAAATTTCTGGTTCTCTCTCTTTTTTTGCGATTCTATTGATGGAGAAGAAAATAAAATAAAATGATGAAAAACTATCGCTCTATGCTCTGTTATTTTCTGTCTTTAATACTCATATAAAAGTTTTGCAGAAAAAGCAAAGAGAAAATACTGCCGTGAAACGACTGCTTTCATTTTTACTCAGAGAAATAGACAATAGAAAATCATATAGTTGGCTTGTTTCAAGTGAGTTGCATAGTGACAGTATAAATAAGAACACTTTTTAATGAATGCATGTTCTTAAAAGCAAGACATCTCACACTGTGAATGCTCACGAGTCACCCGTAAGTCATTGCCCTTTTAATATTGTTGAAATTTATGTCTATTAAATGATAGGGATTGAAATCTCTCATGAAATGGCATATCTTTTTAAACCAATACAAACTTCGTAGCACTCTAGCAGTCTGCGGGGAAGTCGTTATTTTAACGACTTATTCACCAGGATTCTGACGACCATGTAATGCATGCAAATATAATCTCCAGTCGTTTTTGTGTAACTTGACGAGAGGTATTCATTGGGAAGAAGAGATCTGAATCATTTTTCTGGGTGTGAGTGTCGGTCTTGCTCTTACCCACACCAGCCCACCCACATCCACACCCACACCCACACCCTAAGGAATAGAGAGGAATGCGTGCTGAACATACAACTTTTCTGTGTTCTCTTTCGAGTAATGCTTTCAGAGTTCTAATTAGAATAGTATCTATTCTAGATACCACAAGAATTAAATCAGATGGCATCCAACAATAAATACGAATATCTAAATGAAACGTCGATTGATGAGCTTTTAATATGCCACATTTGCAGAAGTCCTTTGGTTGATCCTATATCAAGTCCATGTCAGCATACAGCCTGTTGTCAATGCATTAAGAGGTGGCTCAAAAATACTTCATCTTGTCCTGTATGCCGAAAATCATTGGTAGAAAACGATTTGAAACCTGTTACCGAGCGTATTCTCCTCCAAATGCTGAATCGACTTAAAGTTAAATGCACAGAATGCGGACAAACAGATCTGGAAAGAGGAAATTTCAACGATCATATTGAAAAAGCATGCACCAATTCCACTGTCGAGTGCCCATCGGCAGCCATCAAGTGTCCATGGAGAGGGCAGCGAGATCAGTTGAACGATCATTTAGCCACGTGTGTTTTTGAACCGATCCGACCTATGTTTAGCGAATTGATCAACGAGAATCAACAACTAAAAGAGCAAGTTCAGCAACTTCAGATGAATAATCAAAGACAGCAAGATACCGGTGCACGTGAAATGAACACAACAGGTAATATAAATTCACTAATTATCAGAGAAGATTGCCACGGTTCACAATGAAAATCGAATAGGACTGTTTGGCAAGAAGCTGCTGATTAAAATCCAACTCGAAAAAAGCAGATTCTAAAATTTTGAAAGATACTATATAGTGGTCTCTAATTATTTCTCTCTTATCCGATGATTTCTAGTGATAACCCGAGGTTGGCCCAAACAAAACTATGTTTAGTCCTTACAGTAGTGAAGAAAGAGCTTCCTTGAATCTGATTGCTCAATAGATCATAGGTCTCATTATTGTAAGAAATAAAATGGAAATCAGCGTGTTACTGCTAATTATATCGTGGAAGATTTTCTGTGACATAAATGATTTCTAATAACTGTAGATCCTTTTCAATGATTTTGTCACCTTTTCTAGTCTTTCATCGCGCCCTTGATGCCTCACAGTGATGCCTTGTACAGAAATCAGTTTATTTTTCCTTGAGATTGCAGTGAATGCTAAAATCTGCCCGTTCCCACTTGTTAACATCTCAAGAGTCTTAGTATCCACCGTTACACAGTAACGCTTAAATAATTCTTAGTAATGAAATAGGCTGAAGTTAAAGAGTTTTGCAGCTCAAATAACCAATTGTATCATTCGAATAAATTTGGTGCGATATTCGGTAAAAAAGAGGGTTGGCACATGCGATGTTTGACGGCACATAACGGATATTGTGTAATGTTAGATATAATCTCGTGATTTATATTTTTCTTATCGAAGCACCTATCGTCGTGCACGTCATTTAAAAAGAATCATTATGTAACGAAGAGAAATTATTCAACAGTACATCACTCGCTACTATCTGGATCAAATATCTTTGTTGAAGGTAATATTCAATCAGGCTCTTAAGCCTGCAATATTTACCTTTCTTATCTCACTAGCATGTGAGATAAATTTTGATACATTCTTCCACTAGTGTATTAACTGATTGTATTGTTCAGGATTTTTCAATGGCAATCGGACACTGATAGGCATAATCGATGATAGTGACCCTCGATCAGAGATCAATTTGTATAACAAGGAATTATATGATATAGACATGGAGTATGTGGTTCAGGAGGCGATAATCCGTAAACAGTGCAAGATACTTGACTTATCGGCCAACCACATCAGGTCAGAAGGAGCCTCAGCTTTAGCTAATGTACTGGCCACCAATCCAATATTAGAGAAACTGTATCTGGACCACAATTGTGTGTCCGATATGGGTGCACAGCAGTTGGCACAAGCCATTTCGGCGAATAACACGAATCTAAGAGTACTTCTTCTCGGTTCAAATTGCATTACATATGAAGGCGCACAGCATCTAGCAGAAATGCTCAAAACAAATCGAACACTAAATCGGTTGTATCTCTTCGACAATAATATAGGTGATCGTGGTATTCAATTATTAGCTCAAGCATTAACTCTTCATAATAGAACTGTCACTCATATTGATCTTAATGGAAACACGTTAGAAAGTGATTTGACAGTCGATTTTCTGGTTGACATGCTTAAATCTAATCAATCGTTGAAAGAACTTCGAGTATGCAAATGCAATTTGTCCGAAGCTAGCAAAATTAGACTTCGAGATACTGTAAGATCGAAGCGAGATTTCGAACTAAGAGCGTGAATGTCTTTGCCAAGTATATTACAAAAATAACAGTTGTAACAATATGAACATGACACCATCTTTAGTTCAGAAAGACGTTTTATTAAAACGAAATTAATTCACTTTTTTTTGATTATATTGATTGTCGTAAATTATAAGTAAAATTGATTGTAAAAATCAGATATATCTATATGGTTGTTTCAACTTATTCTTTTCTAGATTTAGAATGTGGATATGGATGTAATCTTTATCAAAACCTAATACATCCACGCCGACATTCTCTCGTAACTTTATCTTGCTCACAAAGAGCTCTAAATTTACGATTTTGACTTTATTGCAAAATGAGAAATCAGTGAAGTACGAAATAACTGTAGATGAAGAGAAAATTCGTATTTACATATTATCTTAGCTATAGCGAAAATTGCATTGTTACATTTTCTATTCGGTGTTATAATTCACAAGTTCGTTAAACAAAAAGACGATTAGGGAATATTAGGGTCTTCAAAAACTCATAGATGTGTGGGTATGAGTGTGATATAAAAGTTCTATTCGAATTCATTCATATACTCCTACTCACATCTTTATTGCGATTTTAACATCTACTGTGCTACTCAAAATTTATGAAAATGATCTATTATCTTTTCCAATTTTCCAATTTTCTTCTTCACCTATGGGTCATAATAATAGGTCGAAGCTTCATCATGCGGGCAATCACATTTTGTATAGCTTCATTTTGTGAATATGATTAGAGTTGTAGATGCACCTGTAGATTATCTATCTTCTTGTATTCACATCTAAATCACGTTTGCTCTTGTATTCTTTTCTGTACAGCGCAGACTAACTTCCGAACGGTATTCCGAGAATCATATCGAGCAGGAATTGGATGGAATTAGACGGAATCAGTTGGAACCATGACTGATTCCGTTTGTACCCAGTTCCGGCATTAGAGGGAATTCCGTTCAATTCCGAGAATCGATTAAATCGAGTCCGGAATTGTTGAAACTGATTCTGAGGATGGAACTAGTTCAGCAATCTTCAACATTGCGGAATAGGATGACTGCCCCCACACCTCGGATTGTTGCACAATACCCAAGTAAGCAAAAAATGAAGGAAGACTGCCGACATGACTAGTCAGAAATGTCCGCAGGATCCGTCTAGTCTAGTCTGAAATGTCTTGCATATCCGTCTTATCTAGTCAGCTTAATGAGGAGTGTCTTACAAACACGTCTGTACTAGTCTGAAATGTCATTGAGCCCAGTCATGCCTAGTCCGTGTTGTCTGTTGACCTAGTCCAGACTAGTAAGAAGATTAAAAACAGAGGTTACACGGTGGATTTGAACATCCAGCCCGACAGTGTTTGAGATATGACGGGCATCCTGACGGGAGACTAGGATACTGAAATAGACTGCCGTAAGTATATATAGTCTAAACTTATATATTGACTCGCATCCATGCATAGAAAATGAGAAACAAACCGACGTACACGGTATTGACCAGTCTGAAGCATCTTTTGGACACCTCATGACTAGTCCGTTTTTTAGAAGTGTTTATTTTACTCAATGCTTGTCGAATTTTTTTCTACCTAGAAGTACAATTAGAGAGTCTGCTGTCATCAATAGTGCATTCGAAAAGATTTAATATATTGCATGCATCCCTGTCTTGATATATTCTATTTTATTTTGCATTAGCATATGCTAAAAGTTTAAGAGTGTATCAAAACATAAAATAGTAGGGGTTAGTACTAACAACAAAATTCATCTCGTATCTGGGAGTGCTAATTTATATATTTTTTTTCAAAATAAGAGATGTACTAAATTTAAAAAAATTGAGAAGCATCTAAATCTTTTCATATAATACTATTATGTTAGTATATTTTAAATATCAATTCTAATAATTTAAAATAAACCAAAAATAATTTTTATTATTAGATGAATATACGGTGATTTTAATTTAAAACTAACCTAAAAAATAATATGAAAAAAATTAGCTTCTTCCCGGTATAAATTATTTTAATTTTTATACTCAAATTAATGTTTTTAAAACCCAACTAATTAATCGCACTTGCTTATAAATCAAAATAAATTTCTCGAAAAAATTATAAAATCTTCCTAATTTATTTTTATTCAATGTTATCTAAAGTAATCACGTCTCGGTAAAAGATAATTTTTATTGATAAATAAAATTAAAAATTCGGAGTAAAAATTGTATTAAATAACATCTTAGAATGATCATGAGTGTGCAGAATATGACTTCAAGATCATATGACTCAATGGTTCTGGCGACGGGTAAGTGTCACATTGTATACATGTTCGAATCTAATCTTCATCCTTACATATTTTCATTCAGACTAGTCCAGACTCGTCCACTATATAAGGCTCCAGCTGGTTGTATACTCGTCCCAGACGCCCTTAATTTTTCATTCATAAACCATTTCCGGACGGGCGACAGGGGCACTCGTCGCGACTACTCTTATTAGATTTTATGACTAGTCGTCAATCAGAGTACTAGGACGCGTATGCATGGCAGATAAAAACTCAGACTAGTCGTGGAAGAGTAGTTTTTGAGACAAAGACTAGACGGGACGGGTTGACTTGACTAGAAAAAAGACTAGTCATTTAACCAGTCTTTTGCTCACTTGGGTTATTTAGGCTCCTATTCTTGTGTTTCGAAATGAAGTGGGAACGCAATTGAACTGTAAGGCAGCAATTCACAATGCAACACAATCTGGCTACACACCAATTGTATGCGTTGCTCAAGACACTTGTAAAGACAAACCAATCGAAGATCCAACATTCATGAAAAAGCTATTAGAAATATCCGATAGTAAGACTGAACAATTACCTGGATTATTACCTTTTGTTCCTGGAATGTCTGCTATTTTAACACAAAATATTGCTATTGAACTGGGTTTTATCAACGGGATTAATGGAATCTTTCGACAACTAGTCTATCAGTCCGATTCTATATCAACAGATGTTTTATCACAAGCATTTCCGAGCAACACGCAATATGTTCATCGACCTTTAAATGCATTGAGTGAAATTGCTCGATCGAAAGTTGAATGCAATCTTGAAGAACTTCAACCAAAACTCGTCCCAATACCATTAATGGAACAAACATTTCGTGTTGACATTACTGACATTCTCCCGAAAGGTAAAAAGTCAATATCAAATGAAAAAGCAATTTTATCAATAAAGCGGCGCGCACTACCATTTGTGCCTGCCTATTGCATCACGACACATAAGAGTCAAGGCCAAACGTTGCATAAGGTTGTAATTGATTAAAAACTGCCAAATGAAACTGACGACATTGCCACAGTATATGTACCTTTATCACGTGTAAAACGTTTGGCTGATCTTATTATTTTACGCCAATTCGATTACAAGGTTTTGCTTATCAAACCAAGTAAATCACAAATCGCCGAAAGAGAAAGACTCGATAAACTGTATTTAGATACACAAACGAGTTTTCCCGATTGGTTTCAATGATTTTTCTGTATTGCTCAAAAACTTTTGTTATCCACGTTCGTTTTTCTTTCTATATAATTTTATTTTTATCTATTAACTCTATGTTTTTTTTTACATTCAAAGCTTGTTTTTTTTCTGCAATATCTTGTACATATTAGTGTTGTTCTTATATGGTTAACCGTATTGTTGAGTGATATGTGCTAGATATAGATATTTGCTTGTTTTTATATGTATTTCATTCTTCAGTTTTATCATACATTAAATATATTTGTCGCATGTGATTGCTCATAAAATTATCAATTTAAATATCTTTTCCAATAATTCAAAATCATGGTACTCATAGAATCACTCTATGCGACCATGCAACTAAAACAAATGCATATATTTGACTAAAAGAATGTTGGTAAAAAAACAATCTTGTACTTGATGTTAGGGTTTCCCTTATTTCTCATTATGATATGAATATATTTTCTAATTGAACTGCATAGAAGGCAGTTGAATATAAACACGAGCACTCAACATCCATTGAAAGCATATATCTCATATTATCATTACTGTATGAAAGAGTAATATTTGTGTCATGAAACGACTTTATAAGTTAATTTAGATTTGAGTACCCACCGTTTTACGTTATCGATAACTTTTCATTGAAGAATTAATCTTTCTATTATGTTTTAGCTGAAGAACTGAATACAGTTTTTTAAATACCACAATGAACAACGAAGAATTCTAGGAAACTATTTTTGACAGCAGCTAGTTGTAGAAATTAGTCGATAACAGTGCTAATTCTAGGCCGAGATTCACAATAAGTCTAAACTGACTATACTATTATAGTATTATAGATCATAATAATAGAACTGTAACAGACGTCTAGCTTTAACTAGCATTGTTACCAATCCCCTCAACAAGGGGAGATAGAGTACAAGTAGTCTTAACTACTCAATTCAGTCGAGGGTCAAGCGAGTCCAAGCGACGAGCGTTACTTGTAGATTTTTTTCCAGTATATGTATTAATAAAACCTATGATGTTGATATTCGGTATAAATAAAAAACACTGTTTATTGACTTGTGTGTTTCTGCTGACTTAAAAGACGCGTCTTCAATAGACAGTTGATATCGAGCATTTTCTAGACCAATTCGAATTATCACATGTTTTTTTTTTATAAAAGGTCAGTGTCCATTTCACCCTCATCAAGCAACAAGTAAATTATTTATTATTTTTCCTTATGATTTGTTTCTTCTAACCATAGGAAACAATGCTTTTGATCCCAAAAAAAGAACAGATCTGCCAAAACGCGTATTAGATATTGTGTTAAGCAACTTATCAGTATTTACTACAATAAATAATTATGAAATTTATCTTAAAACTCGACCAGCATCTACTATGTTATTATATAATTCGTTTGAACTAGCTAGTAAAACGATAATATGTAAATCTTTTCCAAAAACTATGTCAAAGTGTTCACATGATCAATATCGAAAGGAAACAACCACTAATAGTAAGTAGTTAATCTTTCATTTTCAGTCGATTCTATTTTCGATTCTTCTAGATGAATTTTCTGTAAAATAAAAAAATAATGATCAACAACAATTGTCATCGATTCAAGTAAGCTTAAAAAAATATATCTATGATTATAATATGATGAAGTTTTCTGTCTCTCTTGCCTAGTCATGTTCATCATCGAATGATACTCCAACAAAAATATCTACACTAACAAAAAAAGAAGATATAATTCATACCCAAGAAGTTTAAGCAACCGATGATATGCCACCTTTGGCAAGTCTTCTGAGCTGCTCTGTTAGAATAGAATGATGTCAGGTAAAAAGTCTACATGATAAATACAAAAACAACCATAATATTTCACTTGCTTTTTTAAATTTCTTTTCATGTAGATGAAGATATCTGTATGCTAGGTAAAAATCTTGAGCGAATCATGAGCTTCAAGAGCAAGAAGCTGAAAAAGAACAACACAAAACTGCATTATCAGTAGAAACGAAAGAAACACTATCGTTATACGCTGCAGATCCATATCTGCAAGATAATAATTCGATGAACAATATGATGACTCTTGGTTCACCATTGTCGCAACCACTAAAGTTTGATACAACAGAATAGGGATAATGTCATTAATTGATTGAAATATTCACTTCTATAACTATTTTGGCATGTAGTGTAGATATCAGACCAAAAGCATCATGTTTTTTCTGGTACTATTTGTCTTTTTTTTCTTGCTTCATCTGTTTTCCATATCACTAGTACTCCTATATTTTTGTTTTGCTACACATTCTATATGTTACTTGGTTTATTGATTCATTCATGTTATATTCTAAAAATAAACAATCATTGTAATGTAGTATCCCAGACGTTTTGCCGAATCTATCATATTCAATATCCATTTGGAATTTATTTGTATCGATAGATCATTCTTCTACAATAGGAAGAACAGCATCAGCCATTATTCCACCTTTAGTATTTTCCAGAGTTGGTGTAGTCATATACAAAAGAGTTTTGTAATCGAAATCGCCTCTAATCATGCATCTATACTTTCTTTATTCTAGATTTAAATCCAGTCGTTGACTAAATGAGAATTGAATGACTCAAAGCAACGACATATGTAACATTGTTCATGAAAGTGCTCTATTACAGTATCGTCGAAATGATAGAATGGAAGTGATATCAGCAACACAGATACATGGTGAAGAATCAACAGATATTTGCCATAAAAAGTCTAAATGTCATGGAATAAGAAATTACAACGTTTCAAACGAAAATGGAGAACACGTAGTTTGAATGAAGAAGAAATCGTGACATTAATTAATAAAAAAAAATCATGATATATCTGAACAATCATTGAATGAGTCGATGATGAATGATAAAATCGAAATATTAAACAAACGAAAAAGAAGCTCATCACAACAAAAATTAACGAACAAATCTTTAATATCAATGAGCCAGTCATCTATATCATAAGGATTTTTGAAAAAAATGAAGAATTCTCAGATTGAAACAAAATCACCTATTGATAATAATAGCGATCGCTTGAATGAAAATGATGATATTTCTTTTCATAAGCCATCACGATACTTGAAGATGCCACGAAAGTTTCTTTTAAATTCATTACGCCTTCAATTAAATTGCTCTATAAAAAGAAAAAAAGAACAGCGATTTACACTTTCACGACTTGAACTATTTGACAAACAATTTTGCCTTCATCAAATTCATCATTTATATCAAAAGTATTTGAATTTTGGTCTACAATATCAGATCTGGTCAGTCAGTTGAATCTACTTTGTTTCAGCTCATACAATAGTATTATTTTCATTTACAGGATGATATAGTTCAAATAATGGAATCAACTGAAAGTGATAAGATCCAGAAATCGCTAGAAGAATATTTGATACTGTTGAAAAACAGAAGCAATCAGCATGAAAACGAATTAATAATACAGTTATCATCTTGTCCGACTACATTACATTCTCTAGAGATGATAGATCAGAGATTGAAAAAATTGGTTCGTTTACATCATATTGATTTAGTGAGAACAGTCAACTATCAAAAACATAAATTAAAAGACATTATCTATGAAAAACGATTGTTTAATCAATTATCTTCTTACCACCTAGCTGAAGTACAAGTGAGAATAACACATCGAATCTTTCCTATTATTGTTTTATGTTGTCTAGCACCAAGCAATCGATCAGATCACCACTATCCGCAAGAAGCAGCTAAAGATTTTCGAAGATTTGACTATATTCGAACAACGAATCTTATGTCATTCGTTACCAAAAACATTTGATGACATTCCAATAGTTACATATCAAAATTTATTTGGAAATGAAGCTAATAAAATTATGCAAGAATTGAAACGTCGAAAACTTAACGATCAGCTGAAAAATTATGAATTGAAACTTCAAGATTATGAAGATTTGTATCAAACAGAAATCAATATATTTGAATCTAAACTCATACAAACAAGCTTAAATCATCAACATATTCAAGCAGATATATTCATGACTTTATTGAAATGCTATTTGAGTCATTACACCAATCGATTAATACGTCAAATTCGTTACAAAGAAGCATGTGTCCATGTAAAATTAGTACGTAGGCATCATCGTCATTTATTATCGAAACAGCAAATAGTCGATGTTTATCCACAAATCATTGTCGACGTTCCTAAAATATCATTGAATCGAATTCAATTAGATTATCTTTCCAAAAGTGGTAAGTAGATACCTTTCTTTTATAGTATTATCTCAATCGTTAATTTATTCTTATATGTTGATGTCCTGATACGTTTTCTATTTCAAGGACCTAATTATATCAGATCAAATCAAAGTTCTCTTCATTCTTATAAACATCAAGAAAAACATGTACAGGAAGAACATAAGAACATTATGAATGTGATAACTCGTTATCTTATCCGTGAGCATCATATTCCACTAACAGCAACAATTATCAGAGAGCTTTCTCAACACTTGGAAACAAGTCTACATCAACAATATACGATTCCATTATCTTATCTAAACATATATCGAACAAGAAAAGAATTCAAATTAATGAAATCGATTCAACATAGACTCAAGAAGGGAAACTATATTCTTCGCGAGACAGATAAAAGTGGAATTTTTCATATTGGAACTTCAGTTGATTATGAAAAGAAAGCAGAAGCTTATCGACAAAAAACTGGCGCTTATATTGAATTAGATTCTAATCCGTTAAGGAGTGTATTTGATAAAGTTATTCTTTTGCTCAATGATCTTCGTTCAAAAAAATATATTCTGTCATGGCAATTAGATAAAATGATGCCGAAGCGAGACACAGTTCAGTTAGCTTATTTATATTTCATTCCTAAACCTCACAAGGTAATTCATTTCTAATCTTTGATTCTTATCTCTCTTCAACTCATTTTATTAGGCAGGAACACCATTGAGGCCTATTGTATCATCAATGAGTATGCCAATGACAGGAATTTCAAAGTTTTTGGACAAATTAATCCGTCCAATTTTCGATAAACATGCACGTTCGACCACAATTATTGATGGAGTTGATTTGATTCATCGTTTAGAAGCATATACAACAAATGGGTATCTGAAACCCAAAACGTATTTCTGCACATTTGATATTACAGATTTATACACGATGTTACCACAAGAAGAATCACTTGATATTCTAATTGAATTTCTCGTTCAACATGGCTATCAAAAAGTTCAAAATATTCCAATTGATATAATTCGAAAGTTAGCTCTTATCGTCATTAAAGAAAACGTTTTCGTTTATGAGAAGAAATTCTATCGACAAGTCATTGGTGGTGCGATGGGCTCAGCATTTACTTTAACACTAGCTAATATTTTCATGTGGAAATGGGAGAGACAACTTGTCCACCGACTGGAAGTATCGAATGAAATCTACGGCCGGTGTGTAACGTAGTTCATAAAATAATATAGTTTGACTATTATGTCTCATTTTAGATATGTTGACGATATTTTCTTTACGTCGAACGATTCATTCGAATCCATCGACCAAATGTTAGATGAAGCTAATAACTTTCATCCTAACATTAAACTAGTGCGACAAATTGGTAGAAGTGTTCCATTTCTTGATGTATTCATTCATAACAGTAAAGGAGCTTTAAAAACTTCAGTGTATCATAAAGAAGCAGCTGAGCCGTATGTCGTACCATTTGGATCAGATCATCCTGGACATGTTTTCAGAAACACTGTTGATACTGCTATTACGAGAGCAGTTCGTTATTCAACAACCTTACTTGAATTTGAAGAAGAAATACGACAAATGAAACTCATGTTTCTCTATAACGGATATGTTCCCTGTATTCATTTATATTTTTCACTCTTTCTATGTGACTTATAGGTATCCTCCAAGACATATCCATCGGCAGCTCACTACATTATTCAGTAAATATTTGTCCAAATATTTCATTTTGCCTATGCTCAATAACTCTGATGACTTCAATTATTTGCGTCATCAGTTATTGACAACATCAACAGCTACAACATATGATAAAGTAACCAGAACCACAGCTACCAATCTAACTCATGGCAAAAACATACAAAATCATAATCTACAACCTACAGACAACAACGATTTCACAACAAGAAAACGTCTCATCATTCACCTAAGACATGAAAAAAGACTTGCGAACAATCGCCGAAATATACATAAATTGTGGAGTCACACTTTCCATCAAACAGAGATCATGAATACTGTTCTGATCATTGGAACTTATCTGAATCACAACTTAAAACAAGAATTGATGGCCAAGATGATCAAATCTATTCCGAATGCGAGAAGCGACAACAGGACAAAATGAAACCTGAGACTGGTAAACAAACACATCACACTCAAGTACAGCTAAGCAGCCACTAACTTAACTTATTCAGAACTTTATGTTGTCATATATAAATAAAGAAAACATCACTGAATTGAAAAGAAGATATTATATGTAACAGTACCTCAGAAACGCAAACACACCTGCCATTAGGGTATATAAAATCATCGCCAAATTACCTTCTTCACTAACAGCATCGTCACGAATGTCAATATGATTGCCCATCTACCACTATTATCATCACATCATCTCATCATTCACATTTCCAAAAAGCAATAACATCACGCCATTATAGAAAGCAACAATAAGAGCTACCGTATCCCACACAGCCATCAATGAGAAGCAAACAAGCACAGGCTACCTTCTTCGAACTCGACAAGAGAAATACATGCCATAATGTGATTCATCATTTCTAACGACACATATTCTGCAAAATTATGCCGATGTTAATAAAGACAACTCAATCAAGTCTGCTCCTCGAAATTCACCATTAATCAGGAAACATCCTACCCAAGCAATCCGAAAAGAATAACATATATGCCGTTTCAAACCCCATGGTAAAATTCCCACAGCTAAATCGGTCGATTACACTCTTTATCTGCGAACAAACGCATCAATAATCGAACAATCGAAAAAACACGGAAAAAATATCTCTATTATTCTTTTGAATCGTCTAACAGATGTTGAATTATCAGGATTCGCATTACACTAACTTCCTTGTGATTTCAATTCAGCTCATTGGAACAGTTGCAAACTCAGAGCCATCTGAAGACTTCCTCAACAGGCGAGAAACACTTAACGCCTCAAACAGAATCATCTGAATAGTTACTAAAGATAAAACTACCTGATGAGACCCTTAAGCAAGGTCGAAACGCGTCGTAGTATGCTATAAAACACACCCACACACCCACACCCACACCTCTTCAATCATGGATTCATGCAAGAAAATTCGCAGAAAAGTCAACGATAACACGAAAAAAGAATAATATTTCGTCTAATTTTATCTTTTATTTCTGGTTTTTAGAGGCTTAGAAATTTGTCTAGTGAAAAACGACATTGAATCAAATTTTAGTATTGTCGAACAAGCTGTTTTAGAATTTCCGGTAAATTTTCTTCGTGTTTGTATCGATAAACTTTGGTTTTTTGTAATTTAGCCGGTTGAAAATCTAAAACAAATAACATTACAAAATCTTCCATCATTGATTGATCAAGCAGAAAATGATTGTATGAAACATAAACGTAATCGAATCAGAGAAGAGAGAGAACTTGAAAACCGTCGAGTATGTATTCTATTCATATAATCTATTTTTCAACAAATTTCTTTCATAATATCTCAACATTACTAGATGCTCAGTTAACCTTAATTAACTATATATATTTCAAAGAATAGAACAGAGTTCGTAAAATAGAAGCAGCCTATTTTGGAATCCTTGACCGAAATACAAGGAACTACTATATCGTATCAATGAGTTCCATAATTGACTTCAATGAAACTATATTGTTAATACTAATTGAATCAGAATTTTAAAAAGATTTTTATTTATTACAGCTTACAATAAAAAAATCTACGTTGGCCTGAAAAAAATGATAATCCTTATTTCTTTTTTGTTTAAAATAGGATGAAACCAGCCATTTAATAACTGAATTAAAAGAACATATGTCTCAACATAATGTCAACTTTAAAGATATTTCACCTGTATTAAAAAGTTTATTAAAAGTAAGTTTTCCTTATAAAGAAAATTTGAAAGTAATTCTCTTTTTTTTTTATTTAGGTTATTCCTCATCGAGCATTACAAAATTATTCAAATATTCATCGAGAATTTCTTGAATTATGTCAAACTGTTGTTAAACATACACTTCACATCGATAGAAGTAGTCCTATGCAATATGATGTAATCTTAGTAAAAATGAAACGAATTTCAACAATTAAAACAAAGTAAAAAAGCTCAAAAATATTCCGTTGTCATAAAATTATTTTGAATTTTTTTCAGAGTTTTCGATGATTTAATTAAATTAAAACCTACTATGGATAATGGTAAGTATAGATTTTTTGTATTTTGATTTAAAAGTTATTTTAATGCATCTAACAGAAAGTCGACAGAAAATACTTGTACACACCATGAAGCCTACAGACAAAACAGCAAAAGGTAAATGTACCTATATCTACATTTTTCTTAAGTACAAGAATACTATTCTATTCAGTTACGGAAGAACGAAATTACTATGCTGTTGAAATCTGTAAAGGAATTTGTGATAAACTTGATGGTTCCGATCCTGATCCATTAATTCATAGTTCTATTAGAGAACAAGTGTAAAAAGATAGTCTTAAAATCGAAAATATTTTAAAAATTTATCTCTTAGGTTCGTTATACAATTTGTGAAGCAACTGGTATAGAAAATCTAGCAACGTTTTATGAAGGATGGACATCATAGGTATGAGAGTACATAACAATGATTGTGGTTCTAGTAAAAGAAAAACAATTAAATGAATCAAGAAGGAAGTATTCAATGACAAAAATCATTTATAAAAAAATTCACTTTTGCATACAGGAACAATTTCATATGATATCGCATCATCAATCAGTTTTATTTTCTCTTTCTGTGATCGAGGTGTCAATGTTCTAATGGATATTTTTTTTCTTGTATTCTTCGAATATTTGTCGCTTTCATACAAATAAAAAATAAACTAGAACTATTACTTTATTTGGCTACGTTAGCAATCTTATTGCATATATTGACATTTGAAATAGTATATAATTTATTAGACAAAGAAAAATTCACAATACTATAACTTCAATGCAACTCTGAATGGAATACATTCAAGGTCGAACGAGCGGATGTAGAGTGAATAGCTATACATCGAAAAACCGCAGTCAACCGTGACCATAAATTTCACGTATTCGCCAAACATTTAAAACGCATATTTTTGTAAATATATACGAGTCATGTTTATGTCCATTTAGAACATTAATTTGCATTTAATTTACGATTTCAACATGATAGGAATCTTTTAATATTCGCTTGAATCATGACTGGAAACTAATAGATTGACGTCAACATGCTCAGTTAATGTCCTTTCCAACTTCATTAATCATCAAAGTAATTGATCGATATTTTTCGCTGATCGCAGCATGACTACTGGTGGCTACACTTACCTGATAATGTCTAGCCTATATATATCACTCATTATAACAGCGTATTTCAGTATTCTTTTTTTATCAATCAGATGACAAGGATGTTTGTTGCTACTACTACTATTATCACGATGAGCATGTTCATAATTGTAGTAAACTCGAATCCATCGCCAATATTCATTGTGAGTAACAGCTTCATGCAGGATACTATTCAAATAATATTGAATATTTTTGATACATTTCGAAGAGTCCTCCAAAGACAAACAATAAAGTCGAAGAAACACGTAAGTTTCAATTCGAGCTATCTTTGCTTGGTTTACCTAGCTTCAGACTTCTTCGAGAAGAATGAATTCATTGTGAGAAAATTCTATCGCATGAATATTCTCTTGCGATGAGTCTACAAATTCCATTGTATAATTTTTAACTTTAACTCAACCGTTTGATTTGATAATAATTTTTGCTTTTCATATTTTTAAGCGGGTGCATTCGAAGGTGATATAATTCTTCCGCCACAATCCCTACTGGTAAGTTAGCGAAAAGCAATCCTGATTAATAATATTCTTATTTTTCTCTTGCGATTCTATCTAGCGTGGATTGACAAGAATTGGCTCTAGTGTACAGTGGCCAGATGGAATTGTTCCCTACGAGATCATGCCAGGATATCGTATGTATCTTTTATAATTCGACAAAAGATATTTAATTTCTGTATTCTGGATTAACATGAGACAAAAATTATTCTAAAATATTGTTAATATCTCATGAGTCTAACTATTGATACTTTTCCAAAATTTTTTGGACGCCAGCAACTATTTATCTATGTAGAAATATTGAGTTTTTCTCTTGCAGAGGCGGAACAAGAGGCGATCATTATTGGTGCAATGAGAAAAATAGAAAGTTTGACAGCTATCAATAATGTACGTTGTATACAATTTCGACCACGAGACGTATCAGATCTTTATTACACAATAATTCAGGATGGAACAGGCTATTCTTCACCTGTAACGAAAGTGTTTCATGCTACATAGATATTTTAAACTCATTTGCTTGTTTTTCAGGTCGGGCGACAAACAAATGCAGGGGTGTTCATCAATGGAACTGTCACATTACAATATCCGGGTTGCATCGATGTAGGGCGCATTATGCACGAACTGTTTCACACACTAGGTACATGATGTTAATATTGGATTCTTATGCATTTCTATATTTGAATTGATTCTAAAAGCTTCGGTCATTTTTTATATTATTCTGTTTATTTAAGAAAATATCGTGATGTTCTAACTTATGTCGAACGGACAGGACCGTTGACGGTTCTTCTATAAAGAGCTCGTATACGGCCTCTGCCGAAAGTATAGGCAATTAAATGTTCTAAAACGAACTCTGATTTTCATCAAACATGTACGTAGAATCTTGAATAGAACTTACATGGTTCGCAATTCGCACATTGCTGGTTCTGTGATCGAATCGAGTAGGTGTTGTTCCATGTTCGATTATAAATATTGCACTGAGCGCGTTATATTAGAAAGTGAGCTAAATACTCGTTGCTAAAGCAGTGTTCATGTCCAATTTTGTCACGTCTTGTTCTCGAATGTGAAACGTTTTCCGACAACCACTGAAGTTTTTATTTTAACTATTTTTGTGTAAGACGACTGAAATATGCATTTCAAACTGTAATAATAGAAAACGTAGCCTACTTTTCATATTTAATTGGCTAAAAACAGTATTTCTCTCTGTTGCAAATAGGTTTCTATCATGAACAATCACGGCCGGATCGTGATAACTATTTAGTTATATATCCCGACACCATACAAACAGGTAGCATTATTTGAATATAATATAAATATGACTCTTCAAAAAACGCATTCATGTTTTTATTTTCATTGATTAGGTATGTCGCATAACTTTTTAAAGTAGGACAATACAGCAGCTGATACACTAAATTCATCGTACGATTAATCATCCATCATGCACTATGAAAGAACTGCATTCTCTAAAAATGGGTCATTCACTATTGAGCCGCTTCAACCAAACACCAAAATCGGACAACGATACAAACTTACTTCAACCGATATTCAGCATATTCACTTGTTTTATAATTGTACAAGCGTTGGAACCATTCTACCATCAACTACTACAGCAACCACAACAAGTAAAATATATCGGATATTTTTCCTACTTTTAGACTCATCTCTACAGATAGTTATCAACATACTGAAATATTTACTAAAGCTTGGCGACATTAATGCTAAACCAGAGCATCAGAAATTCAAATAATTAGGAACCTAAAGTGAATCTATATCGGAATTAATTTCATCGAGAGTTTTTTAGGAGTTATTCATTACGATTATGTATCATAACATTTGCATCCACAATCATGTACTATTCTGAACAAAAGATGTCATAGTGATCCTTTGTATCATCTTCAGAATCATTTTTAAATTCTAGCAAAAACCTCTTGAATCTAAAACCTTAAATAGTTCATTATGACAGCTTTTGTTTTTGGAGACTATACATACTGAAAATCCATATAGCACTCATTTAAAAATGTTCCGGAGTTATTGAAAATGACCCAATAAATTTCGAACAAAAGATTTAAAAGTAGTTGGCCTTGTGCAGAAAACAATTATCTTTTAACTAAACGAGCGAATTATAAATGAGTTTGAATTTCACGAACGACTTGTGTGAGACAAATTGGATGAAAAAGGATTCCTGAATTTTTCTATTTTTCATGAATTCTGTCTATCAAATATAATATAGCCCCAAGAAACTCATATTTTGAATGAGAATCATAGTATTGCATTGTTTTAATACAAAACAATGGTAAGCTATGATTAAACTGAAAATTTAATTTAATTTAATTCTTCATTAATACAAACAAATAACCACTGAGAATCTCTAATTTGCATCAAAAACAATGTTTATCACTAAACATAATCGAGACTGATCACCTAATCCGTTTGCCAACCTCTGTTAAGAATCTCAATGACCAATAGTTACGCATAGTGATTTCCTACGCAAAATAGCTATTAAATTTTCTATTTTGTTGAATTTACAGCAATCTCATCTTCGATTAACAAGCAATACAACAGTGAATTGACAATGGGTAGTCCAACATACACACGAATGAACGGTTTCGGAACAAACTACTACTACGAACAAATTGAAGCAACCGTAAGCATCGCTGGAGTCTATACATTCAAATGTACGAGCGTTATCGACACTTTTGCTACAATTTATGGCGGGAGCTATAATGCATCCTCTGATCCGCTGAAACCACCAATATTAGTAGTCGACGACGAAAGCGATGACAATTGGGAATTCAGTTTTGCTATAAACTTTGGTTATCCGGGTATAATCACAGTATTGGTAACAGCATATAGTCCTGGTGTAACAGCAGCCTACACAATTGATGCATCAGGACCAAGTAATGTTAACTTTGTCCAAATAAGTAATTCTATAACACCTACAACAGCCTCCACTACAACTGATACCAGTACTAGTACCACAACCTCCACTACAACTGATACCAGTACTAGTACCACAACATTCACTACAACTGATACCAGTACCAGCACCACAACATCCACCACAACTGATACCAGTACTAGTACCACAAAATCCACTACAACTGATACAAGTACCACAACTTCCACTACAACTGATACCGGCACCACAACTCCCACTACAACCGATACCAGCACGACAACAACTGTAGTAAATACAAATTCTTCAACTACTTCAGTGTCCACGTCAACAACGGCGGTGTCAGTCACCACTCGTTAGTATTGATCGAATGAGAAACTTTAAAATGTTTCGTTTCAGAAAGAGTGCCTTGAGGATTGTATGCTTGTGAGTAATCTTATGAATGAGCGAAATTTATCATTTTAGAAAATTTACGGATTGCAATGTAGTTGTTGTGTTCAGTGTTTGAATCGTAGATATCGGAGTATTTCGAATTCAATCCAATTGATGAGAACTCAGATCTGTTTTCGTGGAGACCAATAAGAGAAGAAGAAAAATAAATCAAATAAACCGTATTCTTGATTCTTGTTTAGTAGGCCGATTAAGAATCACTATCAAGCATGTATTAATAATTTGTCGAAGATGATGTCGATCATTAGGGGAATCTATTTGGTGTGTTAGTTACCCCCCGCCTGTATTATATCTTTGAAATAGTTTTACAATTCACATTATCAATGTTAGCAAGAGTTTTCTGAAATAGAATTTTAATGCATATCGATTTGTATCGTTCTATATCGCACGTTCAGCAAAGGAACATAATGCTTCTTTAGTATGTTGAAGAATCGCCATGGATGTCATGAGAATCTTCATTTATCAAGAAAGATATTTGATATTCATAGTTTTTCTGATCGTAAGAATTGACCAAAGTATGACTAGAGATTATGATGTGTTTTGATATTTTTTCAGAATAGTTTCTACGGCTCATGCAAAATATCTTTGGGAAATTTTAGAAAATTAAGTTTTATTTAACTGATATAAGAAACTCGAAAAGATTACTTTCTGTGATCTACTGATGTTAAAAAAATATTGAGAAGTCACAGATTTTCGTAAAATTAGACAACGTTTTTAGTGTCATACTACTGCAGGTATCGTTTTTAGCCAAACTTCTGAAGTACTAGAGAAAAAAAACTATTGATCTCGGTCAGATACACACCAAAACTAGTCGATTTCGTTCAATATATTTGAATTATGAAATTTCATGTCACACTTTTCTTATTTCAATCGCTAGAAAACTAGCTCAAACATTTTCTGATTTTCATGTGAGACACCTTGATACTGATGTGAAATGTTATTTGAAATTGGGTTTGTATGTTCTCACTCAGCTTATAGTTAGAAAAATATATTGAGAGAGAAACAACTATTCTATAGTATGAAACACTTATTTATAAGTATTCTTAAGCTTTTCAATGTCAATAGTTTAATATTTTATGAATTCACTCACTATATCAATATAATGATTTGCATATAAAAGCAATGTTCTTGATTTTTTAATGAAACTCTAGTTGAACAATCCGTCAGTATACAGCAATTTCCTACATGTTAACGGACCGTATCATAGTGAAGTTCTGGGCTTCATATGCCAGGTAACCGACTGTATTCAGCAAAATTACGGGTAATTATATCCATCAACTGAGGAAGGTATAAAAAATTCCCACAAAGAACTACAGTATCTGAGTTTCTGACAATGCTCCATAATAAACAGAGAAGCAACCTTTTTATTTGATTTATCTGTTGTTAAAGCAATTAGTAGTTTTGTGTCTTTTACTGAAAGAAACATATTAAGAAAATGATTTCTCTTTCTTTTACAATAGCGGCAATAGTAAAATCGAGCTACACGTTTTCAATCACACTAACTCTACTCAGCTCAAAGTATCGTCGAATTAATGGTGCCACAAAAGAGTATTACTATATGGCCATTCCAATTATTATTTCAAAATCGGGAAATCATACTTTCACAACCGAGAGTAATGTTGCTACATGTGGATTCTTACATAGAAACAGCTTCGATCCAGAAAATCCATCTTCGAATTTGGTCGCGCAGGGTTGTAATAATGGTGAAAAAAGACAATACAAGTTTTCCGTTGTTCTTGAAACTAGTACTACAGTATCAAAACGAGTAAGTTTTACTGCCGTTCTGTAGTTTTCGTTTCAACTTTCTATAGGAAAACTTAATACAAGATACGAATGAAATAATTCTAAAAAATTCATTAATATTCTTCATAAGTATTTATCTAAGAAAAAAATAAGAGAAGATAATCTTATTTTGAAAATGTTACATAGTTAAAGGTAATCAATCTCTGATATAACTTCTTTTGTTAGAACACGACTAAATTAATCAGTTTAACACATCTATTGTATTTGCAAGTCATTTAATTCAGTTAAAATATTCTATAGCAACTAAGTGAGGCGTGCATTATCTAGCCTATTGTCTAGATGAACAAAAATATAGCATCAAAGATAAAATGTTGGAGCATCGAATGAATATTCAATACTGTTACTACTCTATATTTCTCTTTGAAATCATTACTTTAGGCCATCATGCCTCGTGCTAGTTCTAATTATATTTTGGTGACAACAACATAAGATCCAGGATCAACTGGCACGATTACTGTGAAAGCGTATGGACCTGTTGATCAGACAGGTAGGAATAAATCAAGTTGCTAACAAAAGAATTTTATCGCTGACACAGAGATTTTCAGTTAAAAGAAATAGCTTATTTACTTCGACTGTTTTGACAGGAATTTTGCACATATTTTCCCTTCTATATAAACGCTAACCATTCTATTCTTCTTCGATTACCAATCAGCACTTATACCTTGAAAAATTATTTTTCATTTCATCATGAATATGTACTAGTACAAACAGCGCATACACCGAATACAGTTTAAATGTAGCACAATTCAACTAAAATGATTTATTATTTATATCCAGACAAATTTATTTGTTGAAAGAAAACCTACAAGTATACATCGAACATGATAGCGGGGCATTAAACGCGTTAGTATTATCTTATTCTACATGTTCCCTTTTCAAAAGAACAAGTTTAAATAGAAAATTTTCTATATGTCTATTCAGATTGAAATAATCTTCATAGTTGTTAAATGTTACACGAGATTTAGTGAATTCTTACACGACGACAGATAAACTGTGAGAAAATATTATCACGCTAAAAGAAGGATAACAAACAGCTTCTTATATTGATATCTCAATCATGAAAAAGTTGTAGAGAGTTGCTGTTCAGGGAAAACATTTTTAGTAATTCGATTTTCAACTACTGTCAAAAAAACAAATCTCAGAAAATCAGATCGACTCCAAATAGTTCTCGAAATTTTAAATGAATATGCACTACCATTTCCGCATCTGAAGAATACCAGACATATAAAAGCTTAGTATCTATTAATGTGCACTAGAAAATCAGATCTAAAATTCTACTACATCACCATGCTTGTATACTTGTTCACTTTTATATGGATTCAGTAAAAAACTTTCAAATAGATATTGAATAATTCATTGGATTTGTATGAAACCATATTCAGATCGGAATTATTGGTATAACTACATTTTTATATAATCCATTCTTTAACTTAGACTTTTTTCTGTGTGTATATCGACGGATCACTTCTATTTTATAGTATTATTTAAAAACAAATCTGCATCATATTGAATAACTCTGTGATATGTTTTCTACGTCTATTTAGGCGTAAGTAGTCTTTCTGATAACGGTGGTAAAATAGCAGGTATTATTGTTGGCAGTGTTGTTGGTGGACTGATTATCTTTAGTTGTTGTTGTATTCTTAATGTCCTTGGTGTGTGGTCCTTAATCTTATATCTGAAAGGTGGACCAGTTCTCTCCAATAAGCTCTACATACGTAGCGCATTTGGTGTGTATAGTGGTACAGGAAACATAATTTTTCAGCCAGGTACATTCTCCAGTTATTATTTCAAAAATGGTTCATGGCATGGACCTCATGATTTAGTACTTGGATTCTATCCAGAAGCTAATTATATTGTACATGGTAGAGGAAGGGATGAAATGGGTGCATTTGCGATCACCTGAATTTATTCACCAAGAACTCTTCGAATGGGCCTCGAAAAACAATATCAAATAGGCACAGGAGATGCTAGCTTAAATGTCGGCCAAACAGTTACGATTCAAGTTAAATGGAATAGAGTTACACAGAACTTTGAAGGCAAATGTTATTCAAGAAATGGAAAATGTAATGAAAAACAAAAATACATTATTCGTGGGAAGCGTGCAGGATATAACATATATCCATAATGACTTATACGTAGCCCATGTGCAAAATAGAAACTGTCTTTATCTATAATCCCGAACTATTTTACTTTTTCATGTGTTTAATCATGAGCAAGATAAACAATAATATAAGTTGCATTTTGTGATGTCACATTGCTACATAATAAGTGATGAGGATGATTCATCCTCTATTTTAAGTGTAGCTGTCCGATATTGTCCTACTTAACTATTTCTTTCTGTCGTTTCTCTTATATAATTCTTCAACATTTTAACTCGTCTTCAACAAAAAAGATTGTTCTGTTCTTTGTTTTTTTTCGTCAGTACAGTTCGCACTTTTGTTTTTTTTAAATAAAGATTCATTTATTCACCTATTTTCACTTGTCTGAGAAACAAACAAAAATAAAGATATTTAACTCACTTATATGATCATTTATGGTGAAAAAACAAAAGCTAATGAATTTATCTTTTACTTTTAAACGAGGTTGTGGACACGAGCATATAGAGGAACAGTAGTCATACGATGCTCATGCTCACTCAATATAGTCTAAGAGACATTTGATCAATTGTTTTCGAAAAACAAGATCCAAAGGCCTCACAAGCATGATCTTCTACTTTGAAAACGTTTAAAGTAATATAAACGTCACTACCAGTTCATTTCGTACTGTACACACGTACTTGATGATCTCATGTGAAAAAATATTATTCTTGTCGCTTAGCAACCGATATGTATGCAGCTTGGAAGGTGATTTTTATTCATAAAAGTTTTGACCATAATTAATCACATGTTATTTTTACATATTACATGAGCAGCCAGAATTTATCAGTACACCAGTAAAATATTTTCAGCTTGATTACAATAATCACATGGCTTTTCTTCTATCATCAGATATTTTTGTCACATTTCGATTCTCATGAGAAAAAGAAAGAAAGTGAACAAGAACAACAGACAGTTTGGAAATCGGCAATGTTGTTTTCCGTGTTTTCTCGTCCAAAAAGAACAATGTTATCTTGATGTTTATACAAATGTGAAAGGAACAATCACTTTGTTTACTTGAGTTTTATTTGTTATGTTGTGTTTGAGATCTATCGATCGCTGTCGTCTGTTTTTCTTTATTGATGAATCCTTACACACATATAGAGAGGTGAGGGAATACAATAGTTGTTAGAAATGAATCAACTTATGGAGGTCGATGATGAGTATAAACTAAGTTTTTACATTATGCACTGATGACACTAAAAATCTGACTTTTCCTGATATATCAGATAGATATGTACCAAGAAAGATCGGTGTCACAATATAATTTGTGCTAATCTCATCAGTGCTTCCGTATTTTCACAAAAACTGCACTTTCGGATCGCTAGTTCACTCATATTAAGACTACAGCTAGCACAAGATTTAACTCAGTTGATCATGGATGTAATTCTACTTCTGCTTTTCCTGAGTACATCAAGCTTATCGTTGCTTTGGTTTACAAAGAATAATTAATTAGAACAGATAAATGAAAAACTCGATTTTCAACATAATGATACAGATCTGCTACGCAATATAATGAATGCACCCATCGATAAAATTGGTTATCTTAGTCATAAACTAGATAAAGCCCCCCCCCCCCCAAAAAGCCGGCCGCNAAAACATACGCGGGGGCGTGCCCAGGTAATCGGCCCTGGGCGTTTTTTTTGGGGGGGGGGGGGTAATCAAACTGATCGATGGAATATCTTGAATCGCAGCTTTATGAAATTAATTGATCTTTTCAATAACGAATCCATCAGTCTTGTCAACTCGATGAGTAACGTCCGAAAGAAAAAAATGACAAATAAATGGTCTTGTAATCAAATGAAAAACTTCGAAAATATTTCAATACTTATGGGTGTTCCTAACAAGAAAACACATAACCTCAAGATTCGAAACAATTATAAATTACAAACCCGATAAATGTATATAAGAGGGTGTGGGTGTGGGTGCATGGGGTATGGGTGTGAGTGTGAGCCCGGATTCAAAGAAGCTATGCATCCACACCCACACCCACACCCAAACCTAAAAATCCACACACCCTTAATATTTAGGATACAATAATCGTTTACAACACCAATTTGGTGCACATCCACAGCTGTGGTCTTTTCGTCCACTTTTTCAAAGATGAAGAAGCATCAGTAATGATGCGAACTGCACGCATACAAAGTCGTAATTATTGTTTAAAGGCTATGCCGCTTACATATGGAAATAAACGAGCAAGAAAAACAAAAACCACTCAATTTATGGCGTTTGTTCCAGATTGGTAGAATTACTTTGAATAAATACATAACAAACTTATCTTGCTTTGTTGGTGAATCAACAATAAAAAAGAAAGAAAGAAAAAGAAAAGAAAAATCCTGCAGTTACAAATGAAAATCACCGTGTTGATGCCAATAACGGTGATTAATTTATTTTACTTTATCTTAGAAATTTTTATGTATCTATTCATATTCAAATTGTTTTGATTGGATAGTATAGTAAATTATATTAGAAATAAATAAGTATTATTATGTAGATTTTTTTCTGATATTTCGTTGTTGTGTGTTTACTCTCTAATGTTATTGTTTTTGTTCACAAATTTTCTTTAATTGTATTCTTTTTTTAAATATTGTCGATGCTAATTTAAGAAAATAAAATTACAGATAGTTTATTATAGAACATCCAGCTCTTTCTAAGTAATTATTTTCTCGTTGTTTGTGAAATAAAGAAAGCCACATTCTAGCATATATTGTGAATGTAGTTGAGAAATATATTGTCGTATTACCGGTGGAAAGTCGACAATAAAACAAAAATATAAATCATACACGCTGTTCAAATTCCGATGGAAAATGGACAAGAAAATTACCAGCAGAAAAAAAAGGTTGTCGTAATTCTTTTTGTCAAAATTCCATAGAATCATATAGAAACAAGTATCAGGATTGAAAGAGAAGCAAGAAAATCACGCGAAAACTTTTGTTCTGAGGCAAATTTGATGCGCTCACGGCTCCATCTCTTTGTGTGGAACTTCCATCCGTGCGCCCACGCGAAGGTGAAACAAAGGCTGCCGCGAGAATCACTGCAGGTTGATGTGGGAAAAGGAGCCTCATGGAGTGATCTTCTATGCGACACCGTGCCCAAAGACGAGACTAGTTTGTTTCAAACAAATTTGAAATTTGACATTGAAAAGTGAAAGATGCAACTTTAAAATTGAAAGTTGAAACTTGAAAAGAAGTTTTTCAATTGAATTCAAGTTTCAAGTTCGACACTACTGAACATTCGACAGTTAGACAGCAGTTTTAGAATGATTTTAATTAAAAAGTGGACAAATATTTCACCAGAGCCAATTAATCCCAATGTATGCTTATCAAATATCATTCTCTCCTTCGAAGTTCGATATGAATACGATTATCAATAAATCTAATTTCGTTTTTTTTTCATTGATTTGCATTATAGAATGTTTATTCATTCATTCTACATGCTTGCTGTTGAGATGCGAGGTAATCTTGACACAAACAATTTGCATTTGTTTTATTGAATATGGAGGGTAGCCGTACACTGGGAAAAAAATAGCACCACACGGAACCATTTTTGAAACGAATTCTAAACCCTCAAAAAGGTTTCGTAAAGGTCCAAGATAGTCTCAAAATGATTATCAAGAGTCTAGAAAACTTTTTCGAAGGTTTTGTAGAAAACCTACGAAACCTTAAAAAGGTTCAGAATTCATTTCAAAGTTCGAAACTCTTTTTAGGTTTCGTAGTGTCTCCGAAGCCATTTTTAAGTTCAGTGAGAGAATTCGAAACCTTTTACCTTTTTTTGCACTGAAGACAGAACCTTCTTGGTTTCGTGTGGTGTTTTTTTTTTGTCAGTGCATACACAAACGTAAATCAATTGAGATTCACGTATTTACTTTGTGGCTTATTAAAAGAAAAGTTTTATTATCTTTTTCAGTTGTGCTTGTTATTGAAGCTCGGCAGAATTTCAGCATGCGCAATTTACAATTTTTTCAGAGCAAAGTATTAAGAGTCACCTCGTACCATAACTTCAGAGTAAACATGAGCATAAATAATTAAAAGTTCATTTTTTATTTTTTCTCAGTAACAGAATTTTTCTCCCTCCCTATATAAATCCATCTTTATTCGTAGTTGATGCCAGAGACGACGATTGCAGCGGTAGGTATCATGTTTCTTGACAATTAGAGAACGTTACTTTTGTCTACAACAAATGAATGAAGGTTTAAATTATTTATTTTATTTTCTTATTCTTAGTAGCGTTTCAGCAACGATATTTTACTTTGAATAGCATATAAACCATCCGTTTCTCGTTTTTCATTTCAGATAAAACGCCTTCGCTTGATCGGATTTTCCTTCAAAAACGTACCACTATCGATATAACAGGTAAAGTTATGTGAGAAACAGTTAAATAGCAGTGCCTTAAATCTTGGGACGATTGTTTTATTAATAATCACTCGAATAAGATATAGCCACATTCGACTTCCTCAAGAGAAATTGAGACACGCATATTCCAATACATTGATGGTGATGTAACTGAGAAAAGATGATAAAACTTTGTCATTTTTTCTTTTAAAACCGAAAGAAAATAATAAATCAACCGATATAATCTACTACTCTCTCTCTCTCTCTGTCTCTTTATCAGCTTCCCTATTATATTGGTTTTAATTAACTGCCCATTGACAAGGGCTAGTTTTCATCGCTAGAGGAAAGCAGAGATCGTTTTGTGAAAACTGGACTTAGCTACATGATGAAAGGTGGTTCCGTTTAGAGCCAGGACGAGAAAATTCAATAAATAAAGAAAAATAAAAGTTATAACTTCTGCATGTTTTCACGTACTGAAATCAATCAATTATCAGATCAATACAATATCACTATAAAGTGGTGTGTTATTTAACTTATTTGAGAATAATGCAGCTATTAAAAACGCATTTTTTTTAAATATAGGTATCCTTGGAATAAAAGCACTATGAAGGTATCGCCATTTTATTCATCAACCACCGCGTATGTATTGCTCATATATGAATGATTATCAATATTTCTATTGTTCAGACCTGCAGCTACAGTGACTTTACAGACAAAGTTGACTATCGTTGGAACCATCGTCATTGTTATAGCGATTTGTGCATCTGTTGTTATTCCAGTAGTTATTATTGTGGTAAAGAATTCAGGTAAAACAACGATACTAGAAGACACGAGCGGTATTTTAACTTTATAAATACTCTGAGAAAACCTTAAAGTTAAAGTGCCACCAATAATTGCAGACATTCTTTAACCGATGAAAAACGGATGAAAAATCCACTTTCATACGTGGGTACGATAGAGAAGGATTTGTGCAATTGCACATGATAAAACTCGAAAAAATGCACTTCAGTTTATTTTGTAGGTCCCTTCGTGAGAGCTCGTACAGTTCTCTTCTATTACCATGTTATATAAACCTTTACTCGAAAAATAATACACTCATTCATTTTCGCGAAGTAGAACATAGTTTTATATTCTTTAAAAATAACTACATTGAAATCAATGTGTAGAGCTAAAGATCGTATTCTTGTCATGATTTCTTTTCAGCTATTTCTTTTTTATTTTCGGGAAAGATAACACACTTCTGTATAGAGACGGGGGGAGGAGGAAGCTGATTATGTGAATATGTTTGATTCCTTTCTGTTCGCTCACCGTCAGACAAAAAAATATATGCTGTTTATGAGCACAATACCCGTGGTCATCACTAAGCAGGAGAATATTTATGTTTGTGATTAGGAGCAATGTCTTATAGTATAAAGTATATATTCCGATTTTCAAGACTGTCAATTATTACCATGGATTAACAATGATTGTAATTGATTGCTTTCGGGATTTTGAGTATTAAATAATGGACTCTGACTTCATTTGATATTAATCTTAGTCTTAATCACTTAGCACAATGACAACCACGCTTTAACAGTAAATAACTCCTTTAATTGTTAATAATTGCGAGTGATTGGTTTGATGGCGATTACTCTTTTATCCCTTGTCTGTATCATAAACATCTATGAATTATTGACAAATAATTAGTAAATAATCAGCAGTAGTGTGTACAAATGTATGCGCTGTCTGATTTAGTCTTTCCTATGGAAATCGCAAGAGATCATCAAAGAAATAATTTATTGACCTTTAAAATGTACTTGTGTCTGATAAATCTCATGTGTTCTTCATCCGTTTTATGGAACGCCTATACATGCATGAAATTAGAGAAATAAGCCGATATATCGATCAGCAGTGGCGATGAAAATTTTTTAATTTATCTACACATTCGATGAAGGCTGATTCGAGTTTGTAGATTCTTCACCGAAGTCGTAAACAAGGCTTTCGATTTTCTCATCTAAATTAAATTACTATGACGAAATTAGTTCACAGTTCTTAGATGTTTTAATTTGTTAACAGAAATAAATTCGTTAACGCTATCTTAAGTACACAATTTCATCGTGAGTAAGTTATAGAAGAGAATAGAAATCAAGAGTTATAGAGCCATGCGGGGCGAATCTAGAATGATTTTTGTACTTTTGTCTTTCATGCTCAATATCTTTTTTGCTTTAGACGATAGAAAAAAATTTCCGTCACCAACCATGTAGAGCAAACATTTTTCTTTAATTTTGTGTTTTCAGTTTTTCAAAATCTTGTCGGAGACAGACTCTACGCTAGTTTTCCCAAGAGCCCTAACAGCGTTCTAGATTCGCCCCACTTTGGGGTGAATTAAGAATTAATCATCATATAGCGGGGCGAATCTAGAATTCCATTGAATTTCAACATCATCATAAAAATTAAAGTTTCTCATCTATTTTTTATCCGATTTTGTTCATTTTTTCATTAATGTGTAGCTTAATTATTTCTCTACAAACGTATACTAGTTTTATTCAATAGATCTCCAATATGTCCAAACACTAGATCTTCTTCTGGAAGCACCAAGAAAATTTTGTGTATCGATTCGCCCCATATGGGGTGAATCTAGAATCATATAGAAGTAAGCGGGGCGAATCTAGAAAGTAAGCTATTTTTGCTGGATCTCATAAAATTGAAATTTTCTATTCTTTAATAATATTTTTTCGACTTACTCTCTATAACCAAAAATTTTCAGCTCATCAATCTCTACTACTCTATACTACTTCTCTTCTCCTATGAATAAAAATAAAAAAGAAATATTCATTTCATACAATTTATTTTTAAAAAATATTCATTTCTTACAATTTATTTTCATAAAATATACATTAAAACTAATAAAAGTTACATTAATTTCGTATTGTTGCAGTAAGATCAAGAGAAGATTGAAGAAAACACTGTTCGCATGTGAAATTCGAAGTGGATAAGCCGTAGAATAGCTGAGAACAATTAGCACAACAAACCTTAATGCATGTTGTGCACTTGGTATAGGACCCATTGAGAATTTCTTGATTGCAACGACAACATGTAATTGATGATTGAGCATATGAATAGAAAGCGTTTAAGGATTGATTATAACCATAAGGTGCAGGCATTTGAGTAGAATAAGGCATTTGTGGTGGTATATATGGAACATTCGAGTGACAAGATATCATTGGCATCATATTTGCATTTGTATCATTGGAAGCATCTTCGTCGTCGAATGTCACAAACGTCGGTTTGGTAAGTGGTTTTGGTTTTCGTCCACTGAAAAAGAAAAAAAAGATATTAAAGAAATCAAGTGCGTTTATTCTTATTGTTATTTTCATTCATTCTTTTCTCATTAATTTAAGTAATTCAATACCATACTCGATTGCGATTTTGCTAATTCGTGTACTGATGTGAGCGTTGTGTCCGTCGAGAATCAATAAGACAGGTTTTGGAATATCTTTCACATAAGGAATGAAATGATATCTAAGCCAATCAAAAAATATCTGTTCCTCCACCCACCCGGAAAGACTAGCATTAAAACGTGTTCCAGGAAAGCAGTTCTTGGAGATCCATGAACTCCAAAGATGTGCACCTTGAAATATAATGTAAGGCGGAAGAATTCTTAAAGTAAAAATTTTGAAGTAAGAACATTAATAAAATAAGACAAAAACTTACTTTCCATTAGCACTGCTACACACAAGCACTGTTGTTAAATTTTTGCCTGTACCAGAGTGTGATGCAATTGGATATTTTGTCGATCGCTTCACAATGACACACAGACGTCCGGGGTCATCAAGAAAGCCACATTCATCTACGTTGAATATGGCATTCGGTCGATCGAGAAGTTTGTATTTCACCAGTACGTCATGAAGATTTTTAAACCAGCCTTCTGCAAAGTAGTTAAAAAAAGAATCTTTCTGAGCATTATACTAATGATAAATAAAATATACTCACGGATAGCTTGTGGATTACAGGATACAGAACGCACCTTCTCCAGCTTCATACTTTGTGTGACCTTGAGTTCAGGATGTCGGGTCATAAATCCCGAGAACCAATCAAGAAGTGGTGCAGTTCGACTGATCTTTTTTCCTAATTCCAACATATAAGACCTAGCAATGTCGATAAGAGATTTTCGTAACAATGGTAATTGCCATTTTTCAAAAATTTCAACTGTGTGAACTAGAAATTCTTCTTCTTCGGTTGAAAATATTGTATGACCACCACGTTTAGCATGACCATGCTTTCCAGCAAGTCGAGCATAAAGTGTAGATAAAGGTATATTACGATCACAGGCAACATCGCATGGCTTGAGATTCTCGTTTCGAATAGCTTCTAGAGCCTTTTGTATATCAGCCTCCGAGTATTTGGATATAGTTTTTCGTTTGTAATGTCGAACCATATGAATATAATATTAATGGAATGTACACGTAAACGAACAACACATGAACAAATGGCGATGCAACGCAATAGAAAGAAAGATGATAATGACGATGGTGACGATGAATTTGTTCTTTTTATTTTAATATCTGATATGCCAATTAGACGGAATGAGGTCACGAATAAGTTCAGTCAGTAACTGTCATCGTCAGTCACAGCGTTATTGTTCGATATCACAACGAGCGTCATTGTTCTTTTCTTTTCTCTCTCATACTATTTGTTCAGAGAGTAAATATATACAAACTTGACGATGAGTAATAAAATAAAATTTGATTTTTTTCTCAAAAATGTTCCATGATATGATCGGTCACCGAGAACATTTTTACGTTATCTAATATTTCTTTTTAATTTTTATTCATAGGAGAAGAGAAGTAGTATAGAGTAGTAGAGATTGATGAGCTGAAAATTTTTGGTTATAGAGAGTAAGTCGAAAAAATATTATTAAAGAATAGAAAATTTCAATTTTATGAGATCCAGCAAAAATAGCTTACTTTCTAGATTCGCCCCGCTTACTTCTATATGATTCTAGATTCACCCCATATGGGGCGAATCGATACACAAAATTTTCTTGGTGCTTCCAGAAGAAGATCTAGTGTTTGGACATATTGGAGATCTATTGAATAAAACTAGTATACGTTTGTAGAGAAATAATTAAGCTACACATTAATGAAAAAATGAACAAAATCGGATAAAAAATAGATGAGAAACTTTAATTTTTATGATGATGTTGAAATTCAATGGAATTCTAGATTCGCCCCGCTATATGATGATTAATTCTTAATTCACCCCAAAGTGGGGCGAATCTAGAACGCTGTTAGGGCTCTTGGGAAAACTAGCGTAGAGTCTGTCTCCGACAAGATTTTGAAAAACTGAAAACACAAAATTAAAGAAAAATGTTTGCTCTACATGGTTGGTGACGGAAATTTTTTTCTATCGTCTAAAGCAAAAAAGATATTGAGCATGAAAGACAAAAGTACAAAAATCATTCTAGATTCGCCCCGCATGGCTCTAAGCAACAAAGAGCACACAACAATATTAAGTGCATCAGTGAAGTGTTGGCTTATAATTCTTGACTTGACTTAGTTTCGTTACTAATTCACCAAACTGCTCCCTGAACAAGTGATGGTTACTGTCTATTGCAGACTGTCACTGCTCACGAGATGACTATAACTCAACCACTCAACTCCACTCACTTATTGACCAAGTGTCCTCCGTATATATAGATAAAAGAGAGAGAGAGAAAGAGAGAGAAATAGGTGAGAGATGTATGAATGGGAGGCACGAATCGAAGAAAATGGAGAGAAAAGAAATAACGCGGAAAAGAGAGGAGAGGAAAGAGAACAGAGTAAAGAACAAGGGGTGTTGTACAAAAGAACATCCATTGCATTACGTAATATCTATTTGAAATAGAACACATACCTTTTTGGTACATCATATTTCGTCGTAACAAGACATGTAGTGATTTTTTGTCTTTTTCAGAGCGATTAACGTAAGTCTGCGTTTTGCATCAGCAATAGACGCATGTCAAACTTTTCAGGGTGGTTTAACACCTTTACGCCACTCTGGTTTGATTTTAATGTCAAATAATTTCACTAAGTATTTTATATTAAATTGAAGCCCGTAAAAATCTGCCTTTATTGGTGATAAATGATAAAAGTTACGAAGACCATTTAATGTCGAAGTTACGAGATTTTCAGAAGTTTGATACCTATTTTGGTATAGAAAAGTTAAGTACCAATAATTCAAAAATGAAATAAAACAGTTTTCTTAGATATTTTTACATGATTCGATAGAGCCCGACGAGCTCTAGAAAACTATATATTTAAACCTACTTTGAGTCATCTTTTTCAGATAAAAAATTCTAAAAACTACTCGGAAAATCCCAAAAGGTGTCAAAAATGAATCGTTTCTCCAATAACATTAGTCTTTTTCATTAGTTATGTTAGTTTAGACATCTTGAAATATGCTCACTCGATGCCACTTGAAAAATTGCATCGAATGTGCAAATTTCAAAACGTCTAAGACAGCAAAAATAATGAATAAAATTTTATTTTATTAAAAAATAGAGTGTTTTTCTTCCTTATGAAAAAGCTGTTAGCACAATCCCTTGTGGGACTAAAGATGTGTAACATGATGGATATATTGTTGCTAATTAAGTGGAAATCCTTTTGTCCCATTTCGTTACACACATTTGTAGCTGAACCTATATCTGATACTTTACAACTACAGTTTCTCTGTCACGGTCCGTGGGGAGGGGGGTCCAAATTTCTACCTTTCAACACTTCAACACTCCTTTCAGATCGTGTTTCACAAAAAAAGTAAAGTTTTCAAATGTTTTTGTGATTTTACAAGCAATTTTTAAATTGTTTATCTGAAAACGATGGCTCAAACTAGTTTTAAAATATACAGTTTTGTAGAGTCCACCGAGCTCTATCGAATCGTGTAGAAAATCTAAGAAAAATGTTTATTTTATTTTTGAATTACTGGCGTCTTACTTTCCTACATCAAAATAGGTATCACATTTCTGAAAATCTCGCAAGTTCGATATTAAAAGGTCTTCGTAACCTTTATCATTTAGCACCAATAAACGCAGCGTTTTACGGGCTTCAATTTGATATGAAACATTTAGTGAAACCATTTGACATTAAGACCGAACTATTATAGAAGGACGTAAAGGTTTTGAACCACCCTGAAGAACAGATTCAGCACTTGAGAATCTTCGATACGAAATCTAGGAAATGGCTAGTGTCTTATGATGATTCACTGGATTACTGAATGAAAAAATCCTGGGATGCAATGACGAAATGTAGTTGCTTGTACTGGCGCGTAGACCGCGTTCTCATTATGACTCATAGCCATTGTTATTCAAAAACTAAAGTCTGTAGTGTATTTCAATACTAGCTGCGAAAATTATATGAAATCAGTTTCAGTCCATCTAAAATGTAATAGTATTGATACAAGCAGAGACACTTATGAATTTTGATTACAACTACTGTAGATACTATTTGCCACGTCATCGTAATAAAATTTCGTAGTATGAGTAACGTCAACAAGTTGATGTTTTCTAATGAATGAAAATCCTATACACTTGAATGGGCTAGATATAATTGATATATCAGAATAGCCGAAGTGATGAATTCTTGAGCTGTGACCTAATGGCGGCACATCGATTTCATTAGTAAAATGGAAAAACGCCTGCGAAAATGGGTTCTAAAGCGGTTGCAATAAGAATATTTTTACGATTTAAAGCACATTTCTATGGTGGTGCCTTGCCATTTCTGAAGGAAGGACGGCATTAAAAATTGTACTAACAGCATTGTAGACGCTGTTACTAATTATTTACTAATTATTGTCCCATAATTCGTAGATGATTACATACTGAACTGTTTCACGTATCCATGAAAGTATGAATCAGCTGAAATTAATACATGAAGAATAGGGGTGCACCAAATCCAAATCCAGTCAAACCCAAATCCAACTCTTTGTTTGGACTTGATAGGGTTTGGCTAGATTTGGATTTGGTTGTGACTGAACTTGACTAGAGTTCACTAAAGTATGACACTGCTTGAACAAATTTAATCAGATTCGACTATGCTGTGCCCAATTTGAATGAATTTGACGAGGATCTTGCTAGATCTGGCTGAATTTGAGTAGATTTTAGCAAGTTTTTCATTGAATATAGGAAGATTTTAATACATTGGGCTGGGTTTCACAAGGTTTGAACAAGAATTAACTAGAATCTGTGTAGGCTTGCTCTGACTTCAAAGGATTCCACTAGAATCAAGCTGCCATTCATCAGACTTGACTTAGACTTGATACAAATAAATCATATTTTATTGAACTTGACCAGATTTGACCTGGATTTCACAGGATTCACTCGAATTTTCTTTGATTGCATCACATTTCTCCATAATTTCACCAGATTTGGCCAAAGCTTGACCAGATTTTATTCAATTTGGCTTGGGTCTCACCAGTAACCTGAGTTTGTGTAGGAGTTGTTTAGATTTTGTTAGTTTCCATTAAATTTGGCGGGCTCTGAATTGAACGTGACAACATTTGACCTGTTTTCGGGAAGAATAAGGCAGTTTTAACTCGGTTTGACGAAAGTTTGACTCATTTCGACTAGATTTTAGCAGATTTTAGCATATTTTAGCTAGATTTTCTGGGTTGAAATCAGATTCGACTGGAATTTGACTCGAGTTCATTAGGTTTCATTAGAATTTCACTGGACCTGACCATGCTTCATGTGAGGGTGTGGCTATGGGTGCTGGTCTGGGTGTTGGCGTGAGTGAGGATCTTCTTTTCAGCTACACATCTCCAGTTACAGGCAAAGCGAATGCCACCGCCACACCCATACCCACACCCTCAAGATTGCCCTTCTTTCATCTAATTGAGAATAAAAGATCCTTTACATTTACTTGTTATGAGTTTTTCAATAAAAATGAGTGCACGATTCTCCAACCTACTATTTCATTGACAATTTTATGCATGTAGCTAATGTTGTTCATTGGAGAAAGTGACGTTCAGACTAGGACCACGACAGCTCCAGGTCACGAACTGGGTTCAAACGAACCGGTGAACAGTTCGAAAAGCTCTCTCGAACTGAGCTGAACCGAACTGAACTTTTCGGACAGTTCATCGGTTCGTTTGAACCCGATTCATGAGCTGGAACTATTGTGGTGCTAGTGACCTATAGAATAGTCCTTGCTAGTTATCTGAGTTGACTTGAACTGTTCGAACAGTTCAGTTCAGTTTGAGAGAGCTGCACAAACAGCTGACCAGTTCGGAACTGTTTCCGAACTGTTATAGTCCTAGTTCAGACATATCTTCCCATATTATCTCTATGAAATTTTAGGAGAAGTGACAACTGGAACGACGACAACAACAACAGCAACAACAGCAACAGCAACAACAACAACAACAGCAACTACAACTACAACAACAGCAACTACAACCACAACAACAGTAACTACAACCACAACAACAGCAACTACAACAACAACTACTACTACTGCTACTACCGCAAGTAATAGACTAAATAGTTAAATAATACTTTTCTCAGCGTTTTGAAGCAGCTTCCCTCTTCCAAACAGGATTCTCATGCTATGACATACTATTGGGCTGAAGTTTGGGTGAAGTACGTTTCCTCTCGCCTCCTTCCGAACTCCGGACATGTGTCCAGTCGTTCAGAAATAAAATTTTGTCCTTACAGATTTATGACGGTAATTCGAAAACATTTATGCATAGAAGTTCGTAATAGAAAAGCAGGGAAAGCTGAATGGTTTGATCGCATGTGCGGAATAGAATGCTCCTTGCAATATATAATGTAGCTCTGGAGATCGTAATGAACAAGGTCGGATGTTTAGAATGTACCTATGTCTAATAATGGAAGGTCACGTACTGTAAGTGAAGAAAATTAGATATCTTAAGATCAAATGAAAACTCCCATCACGAAACTACCAAATTTAAAATATTACGTGCTGATAGCATACCTTGAGCAAGTTATTTAATTTTCAAAGCATGCGAATTTTAGGTAAGGTAGCGAAAATGCAAAATTGAAGTGAATTTTTGTTTCCGCGTATATGTAAATGGTTTGATGGAGCTTGGAAAACTGATCACGGATATATACTTTTTATTTCGGTTTGATCATTTTTGGCTGAGAAAATCATAAAACACTAGGTTGACCATGAAAATGCTACTTTTTTCCATGAACTGTTTTTTTTCTCTAGAAATTGTCAAATTTCAATTTCAATTTCAATTATTCTGTGAACTTATTAAAAGTACTATATTCGGAATCAGCACGAAAAACTGAATAGGAAAATGTTATTTGATTAGATGTAGAGCTAATAGGGATAAAAATTTCTTTCGAAAAGAAATAGGACCAATAGGCTAAAAGTATGTATCAGTGAGCATTCTTGCAAACCTATCTCCTTTTTGTAACAATAGATAGAAGCAACTGTGGGTGTGGGTGTGTGGGTTTGGGTGAGGTTGTGGGTGTCGATGTTAATGTTTGTCTTCTCTTTGTCTACACCCACACCCACACCCTGATGGTCGGTGGAGCTGCTCTGTCACGGTCTGTATTAGGATGTATGGAGCCACTAGAAACCATCACAGACCGTTACAGAGAAATTTAATAATTAATAATTGATTCATAATTAATTATTTGTCATATTAATTAACCAATTAGCTGATTAATTAATTTCTCTGTAACGGTCTGTGGGGAGCGGGTGATGGATCCAAATGTCTACCCTGTATACTGTAACACTCCTTTCAAATCGTGTTTCACAAAAGATGCCAATGCATTATTAAGCAAGCGTGCTCAAAAAACTTACCACTTTATGTCAGGGTTTGAAATATAATGAGAAAACACTAAAACAGCTGATTAGATGTGTCAAAATTAGAAGTATTAGTTTCCATTCCCATTTTTGGGAATGAAAAGCAACCGTCTACAATACGACAGTGGTACACGCTTATCCACTTTTCATTCTTTCAAATCACATTAAAAGAAATTTCAAAGTGTATGCTGTTCCTAGAGGACCGGGGAATCCTCACACTCCTAACGGGAATAAGCGCTCAACAACGCTTGTAACTATGGACCCCTGTTTAAATTGTAATTTTTTCGTTATGTTACAAAAGGCATTTATTGTAACACTAATGGAAATGGGCATGGGTGTGAGTTTGTTCTTCATCTTTACTCGCACCCACACCCTTCTCTGTAAAAAAAGGTGTCATATTGAACCTTTCATCGGTACAATTTTCAGAACCTTTTAAAAGTTCTAGCCAAAAAGTCTTGAACCTAAAATAGTTTTAGACAGAAATGCGGAACCTAAAATAGTTTTAGACAGAAATGCGGAACCTGAATAGGTTCGAGCTTTTTGGCTAGAATCTTAAAAAAAGGTTCTGACTATGGCACCTAAATCTAGAATCTTAAAAGGTTCTAGACCCTCTCTTGAGCCATAAATGGTTCAGTACGACACCTTCTTTTTTAGAGAGTTTGATTGTGCGTTAGACTGTGGAATATTGTTCAAAACAAAAGACTTGATTATCCCATGTGTCGGTTAGATTCGAACTGAAATAAAGTTATAAAGAGCCCATAGGATGTGACTATAGGATATACTGTCTTCAAATGAGTACATTATGTGAAGAAAAGCATTTGTATTTGATAGCCTGCAACAGCACGTTTCTTACTCAAATTACTTATGCAACTGGCTCTGCTCCACGGTCAATAGCAGTAGTTGATGTGAATAATGACAATAAATCGGATATTATTGTTGGAAACGATGTTTCGAACAGTGTCAGTGTTCTCCTCAACAATGGCAATGGCACATTTCTTACTCAAACTACTTACGCAGCTGGCATTTATCCATACTCAGTAGCAGTAGTTGATGTGAATAGTGACAATAAACCTGATATTATTGTTGCAAACGATGGTTCGCACACCGTCAGTGTTCTCCTCAACAGTGGTAGTGGTACATTTCTTACTCAAACTACTTACGCAACTGGCAATAATCCAATCTCAGTAGCAGTAGTTGATGTGAATAGTGACAATAAACCAGATATTATTGTCGCAAACTATGTTTCGAACACCGTCGGTATTCTCCTCAACAGTGGTAGTGGTACATTTCTTACTCAAACTGCTTACCCAGTAGGCTCTTATCCACGTTGAGTTTCAGTTGTTGATGTGAATAGTGACATTAAACCTGATATTATTGTCGCAAACTATGGTTCGAACACCGTCTGTGTTCTCCTCAACAATGGCAATGGCACATTTCTTACTCAAACTACTTACGCAACTGGCTCTGGTCCAAACTCAGTAGCAGTAATTGATGTGAATAATGACAATAATCCGGATATTATTGTCGTAAACGAGGGTCCGAACAATGTCGGTGTTCTCCTCAACAGTGGAAGTGGTACATTTTGTTACTCAAACTACTTATGCAACTGGCACTTATCCATACTCAGTAGCAGTAGTTGATGTGAATAATGACAATAAACTGGATATTATTGTTGCAAACGTGAATTCGAACACCGTCAGTGTTCTCTTAAAATGTTGAAATTCATTCATGAATTAAATTCTATGCAAGCATTGACATTTCACTACTAGATTGAGGGGATGGGGTACTGCCCTCCCTCACCCCCTTAAGGGTGTGTGTATGTATTGGAGGAGGACTCGACGTATTAGTCTAACTTTCCTTAAGCAATCACACCCATTCACTCACTCACACACTCACCCACTAATATCCAATTTTATTTTTATTGAAAAGAACAAATGTAATATTTCGCTGCTTACTCTTTATTCATTTATTTATTTATTCATTTATTCATTTATTTAAATAAATATTCAAAAAGAAAAATGAACGTAAAATTGAAAAACGTCAAAAATTGATCTTTCTCTACGAAGAGAATAGTCCATTGAGCGAGATGAAGACAAAGAGCGGGGGGGGGGCAGATTGCAGATTTTTGAGAGTCGATGGGGGGATAGAGGAGGTAAATATCCTATCAATATTTCAGATGATTAATAATTACATATATATATAAAGTTATCTTGTTCTAAGCAGTAACCATCTTAGCAATCTATAATAGCTAGAATAAAATGCATCATTGCATCGGTTGTATAAAGCTCTAGTATGATTTAATGCATTAGAAAACTTTCTCTTCGTCTGTAAATCAATCCATGTTGTTGTGTGAAAGTAACTACATCAATGATATCTTTCTTCAGTAGCAAACGCTATATTGCATACATCAGTAGGTTTGTTACAGAGAAACTTATATTTAAATTTAATACTTTCTAAAATATTAAATAATTACAAGACAACATACATAGTACTATCATGAATCAGTAATTACAGTAATAAGCATAACTATATTGTTGCACTTCAATTAAACATATACACTGTAAAAATATCCGTAGAATAAATAACGAAAAAGGGTTTATGAAAATGTAACGTGTCATAAACCCTTTTATAGGGTTTATTAAGGTGTTATAAACCCTTTCATAAACCCTAAAAAAGGGATGAATATAGGGTTTATGAGTTGCAATAACTGGCCCTGAAGGGTTTATGAGAGGGATTATAAATTCCATAAATCCTTAAAGGGTTTGTTACACGTTGCACTTTCATAAACCCTTTAGAAGGGTTGATAAAAATACAATACCCAAAGTTCAACCTCAGAAGACTCATTTGTAAGTGCTTATGGAGATTATGATTGGTCGAAAACGTTTATGAGAGGGAAAATGGATCTCTTCAACTGACTCAAGGGTTTATAGAAGACTATATGATTGGGTTGATTGATTTCAATTATTGTGATTGTGCATAATATTTTCTCCTCCTCCTATGTGTTAACATGATAATTCTCTTGTTTATTAGTTGATTTATTGACGTTTCGATCGATGAAATTGATCTTCTTCAGAATAAAATAGGAAATGAATACGGAAAAAGTTCTTTTACTGATGACTCATCCAATTGTTAATTTTTCCTTTATTTTCTCTATAAATAATACAGTACTGGTACGGAAGAGACGCTGTATACTGGAACTTCTTTTGTTTGATATTTAGTTGTCCGTACCAGTACTGTAATATAATATTTATAAAGAAAATAAAGGAAAAATTAACAATTGGATGATTCATCAGTAAAAGAACTTTTTCTGTATTCATTTCCAATTTTATTCTGAAGAAGATCGATTTCATCGATCGAAACGTAAATAAATTAACTAATAGACAAGAGAATTATCAGGTTAGAGCATGCGAAAAGAAGAGAAATTTGAGAGAGAGGATAGTTAAATCACCAGAAAACAAAGCAACTTCGTAAAGGATTGTAGTTAGCGGTTTAGAACGAATACATCCAGAAACCCTCTAAATCCATCTATCTTACTAAGAAACTCCTTAGAATTTCATCCTAAACACGTAAAATGCTAAAGTAAAATTATCTTATGAGCATTCTGTAATGTTATAATAATCATCTAAACTTCTACTAAATATTGAACTTTAAGTAGTATTAAAGTAGCATTCTTTAGGATTATCATTGCTCGAAGATCCCGTTCCTGACTTATTTACACTCTCATCTATGAAACCGTACAATTGCTTCACTTACTTGCAATAATATTTGTGTTTGACCATGGTGTTGAGTTTGATTCAAACATAGCAAGCAAATTTCATTTATAGAGCCATTCGTTTGTTTTGAAGATGTTTTTACCAGAATCTAAACGGAAAATCAGTAATTGATTAGGAGAACAGTTCTTATTGAAGATATTACTAATATTGTCCATGTATTGCTCCCTCTTACATTGAACAGTTATTATTAGTTCCACTTATTGAAAGTACTGCTTAATACAAATCAATCTTCGCATAAAAAGAGACAATTAAAGTATTGAAATGAAAGGCACACTCAACTATATATAATAAAGCTTCATTCAATAGCCATAGCCATTGTTGTATTATAGAAGAAAATGAAATATCGCACCTCAATAAAGCAAGTTTAGAATTAGTGTACTAAAGGCAACATGATATTCATAAAAGATTAATCAGCATCGTTCAGATGAAGCCTCCTGTTTGAGTAAATGAGGTTAAGCGAATCAAATGCATAGCTTTAATAACAATATCTAGTATTGAACCTTACTCTTCTGAATACGAATGATGTTTCAATATAGATACTTCTGTACGTTTTACTCGACTAGCAGCGTCCAACTGAAAATTAGAAAATAGTAGAAAACGTCTGAATGCTCTTCTTCATAATGCAAATGTGGTATTAAAATGAAAGAAACCAAAACCTACATTGGTATCTGTACTATAATTTTAACGAGTTTTCTTAATGAAATACACATCAGGCATAATTCAAAGCAGTAAGAGTCTCTTTGAATTGTTATTATTGCTATATCGACCAGAAATGATCTTCTTAGCAAAGAAATTCTGCTCAGAAATCTGGGTAAATATACTACAGTTAGGCAGAAAGAAAACCTCTATTGAAAAATATAAAACATATCCATATGTGCACAAACCTATCTAACTTATTGCTTTAAAATAAAAGAAATGAAATGTAATTTATAATTATTGTCACATTTTAGTGTGTTACACACAGTAACCCACAGGAAAGAATCAACTCATTGAAAAAAACTTAGAAATATCAGCACTTCTCTTCTTCATTGTTTATCTAAACGAAATCAAACATTCTATTGAGACAAGGTAATAGTCTGATATATGAACCATATTTTTGATACACTTTTACAAAACAAAAATGTCAGTTATAATTATAATTTAAACTTACCCTCATGATTTTGAATGGTATATGATAATTCTGCAATAAACAAACTTATAATAGCACTTCTTGCGTCAAACTTGAATATTAATTTTAATCAACTAAAATAAAAAAAGATTACATATTAAAAACCAACAATATATTGAAAACATTTGTTACTACTCACCTCACTAGAAGCGATGCCCAGTAAAATTGTAAACCACGCATACCAAATAAATATGTTGAGAAGCACAAGCTGAACAGAACCTGAAAAATAAAGAAAACTTATGCACGACTGCGATCCTAACTATCGCTGATCATCTAAGCAAACAAAAAAAATAGTAATAAAAATGCATTGAACTAAGAAAAATCTCTGAAGAATTTTCCCCTGGATACAAAAATTATGAACTAAACTGTAACTTAAGTTAGTTGTCATCTCATTCTACGTTTCCACATGATTGGAAACTGAATTGGTCAAGAAAAACTCCCGACAATGAGTAGTTATTATTGTTGATCTGAAAAATAGTCATTTATTAAAAAGAATAGAGGAATATCTGAAGAATCTTATCCACAGACACTACCTTGAATATAAAAAAGATGAGTTCAAGCTAAGATATACTCACATATTTTGTAGTTGACATAAAACGATGAAATAATACAGATGGATGAAGGGTGAAAATATTTGTGAGGAGTTTATTCTAATAGTTGTATCAATCTAAATAAACAAAAAAACACTGAATGAAAAAGCATATTGATCGATGGTGAATTCTTTTTAAGAAATGTTTTCGAATAGAAAAGAGATAGAAGAAATGCCTAACGACACTTACGCACTAATGTTCCGTTATTTTGGTTTGATCAGAAAGTAATTCATCAATATATAAAAGCACATATTGTAAGTTTTAATAGTTGTTCTTGTCTATCTGAGAAGAAGCTACTTATAAAATGACAATAGATTGATACCTGAAAAAACGTTTTTCATGAATGTTTCCTGAATAAAAACAATGTGAATTGAAATGGTTAATAATACTTACATGTTGATATTTGACAACAGATCATCAAGAGAGTGCTAGTCAATTAAGATGAAAACTTGGTTGCAAAATTTTATTAACGGATCATGATGATCTAAATATAAACAAGAAAACACTATTAGTAAAAAGTTAAGTTAATATATGATGAATCATTTTTAACAAATATCTTTGAATATAAAAGATATGGAGAAAATGTAAAAATGATTGTTAAAAAATGTCCGAAACCGTACAATAACCTACCCTTATGCGTAGATTAATATACCCTTTTGAATACCATCTAATAGTAATCTACCCTCTCTTTGAACCGAATAATAATCTACCCTTCATTGCTGAATTCGAAACGTTTGTGAAAAATGCGCTTATTAATCTACCCCTAATAGTTTAATAATAAACTGCTTTCCTTAAAATATGAAATCCAAAACCATTAAAAGAGCTCCATATACCCTGTGCCTCTTCAAATACCTTTACACTCAAAAATCTTTTGGATCATGAACCCTTCAAGGATATATGCCATCCTCATAAACCCCTCATGAGTTTATGAAAAGGAACATCAGGGGCAAGCGTTGATTATTCTGCGCTTTTTTACAGTGTGGTGGGTTCACATAACTCCCGAACCAACTATTTATACATTTATGGCTCGTAAACTCTTTCTCTCAACAAAAATTGACACATATAATATAAACGCCCTTCAACAGTGATCAAATACTCAATTTTTTCTATTGTGATGATCAACATTTAACGAAAAACAAATTTTGTTTTCGTAATAAAAACTACAAACACCCACTTTAATCTTTGCCTATGTAATATTTTGTAGCCGCTTATCACTTATTTAATATTTTTGAACATAAATTCGCCTGACGATGTGTGTGTACGGGTGTACAAAATCTCGTTATCCAACTTCATCGCACACCCACATGACACAGTTTATTTTCTCGAGATAAAAGTCACAGCATTTCAATTGGATACAAAGAATACTTAAGATATAATGCAAGGAAGAAATAACATGAAAATTAATAGAATTCCTTGCAAAAATATAGAACAACTGGCAGAATGACTTAAAGTTGTAGTTTCTGTAGAAAACACGTAGCCATTACATAAATTTGATGAACAACAGCACGTAGTTTTCGTGACATCGCCGTTTAGTTCAATTTGACATTTGTTCTTACCAAAAGTGCACTCTGTAAGGTCAACCACGGCTCGTGCAATGCCTTCATTTCCGTCTACATGAGTTTCTCGCAAAGCCTATTCAACCAAGATTCATTATAAAGAATTTTTACATCACAGAAACTTACAATACAACTCTGGTTCGAAGTAGCAGACTTTACAGTGACACCAGCAGCATCTGACTTGAATGGTTCGCCGCAACCTGGTACCATGACACTCCAACATTCATAACAATTGAATGCTTGAGTAAGAACTGCGCCTACAAGCAAATCAAGCTATTATATTCACTTTCATGAGAAGATTCATACCATAAGAAAACCAGGAGAAAAAAATTAATAAATTCATTGGCAGAGACATAGGAGTTCGTTTCATTAATAAATACGATTGCAAATATCAATATTGACATTTTTGGCTCATATTTCGCGTTACCAATGATGAATGAAATTGAGACAAGTTTTGATTCTTGATGACGTATGAAGAAGCAATGCAAAGGCCTATTAAATATCAGTGACCATATAACACAAGGATATTCAATGCTTAATTCTTTACTCAGCATAAGAATGTTTGACAAATAACGATACGATTAGTGATTTAGTAAAAATAAGAACAGCATATAAATATGATTAAGATCATCGTTCTTTATCATTCTATTACGCTAGATTCTTATTAAGGCTGATTTCAAATAGTAATTGGTTATAAATAATTTCAATAAAAATATGGCAGCTTATTGGATAAAGGTTCGTGTAACAGTAGTACACGGAAAAATAAGACAAATTCATAAGTTATATAGAATTTTCAAAGCTTCTCTTCCATCTATTAACCCAAGAAATGAAGTTGCAATCACGAATGCTGTTAATTACCAGTAGAGATCTTTTCAGACTCTAATTTTATATTTATTGATTAATTATGTGGCTTCAATGACTTTATTTCTAGTTGTGCAACTTAGTTCGAAGTTGTGACAATGGATCAAATAGAGAGAGAAAAATGACATGATTTTAATCCGGTTGCTGGTGGATGTAGATCTTCTACTCACCAACAGCCTTTGTTGCATACGATTGTCTTTGAATGGAAGTACAAATATAAATTTCGGCTCTCTTTATGTTTAGTTGAATGTACTATTCAAAAATTATAGCACTAGGATAATAGAATATATTCCATTTAAAAGAATTCCCAAGAGAGTTTTTCTATATCTATGTATTTATATTGTTGTTGGAGTTCACCATTTTCGATGTCTTGAGCTGTTCTATTCAACTATCCAACCACTGCTCAAAGTAGTTTATACCGCCCATCATCTCAAGTCTCATTTTCACTTTCTACTTTCCATTTATCTGTGAATCCATGCTCCCGATTTAATCTTCCACATCTTACTTTTTATTCTTTCTTGAAAATGCGCAATCAGCAACCACATTCAGATTTTGTGGAAAGCGGACATATCTTCAAACGTACACAATTCAGGCACACCTATAGGAAGAAGTGAAGGCTGTCTACTCTCGATTAGCATGTTGTGAATCTTCTCCGCCGTTACAGAAAGCAGAGCACGAGCATCCGACTCGTTGATTGGCAGTATTCGGTAAGCCAACGTGATGTGAAATTCATAGTTCTTTGAATAGGGAAATCCTGCACGAAATAGAGAGATGACGTGAAGAGTGTTATCAATAAGAATAGCTACGGCAATGATACTCACCTAGGCTTGTGTACATGAGTTCTCTCCATGCTGCCATGGCTTCAGCTGTTTTGACCTCGTAGGGCCGCAGCCAGACTGATAAGTTATTGTTAACATGTACGCTCTCCATCTTCATGTAGAATATATTGGAGGCTGCCATGGACATTATTTCCTTACTCCTCTGTCGTAACTCTTCTCCAACTTGTCTCATATCACCTTTAATCTTTGGACAGACAGTCAATCTGTTTCTTGAAGTAACCAGGTCTGTCAAAGTCATATGGAAGCTATCAGGTGGAAGGAATGAAAAGCATCCACCCACCGTTGGCCCTGTCGCCTTTAATATTTCCTGGGCTTGAAAGAGCGCCTTATGAATGAAGGCTCCATGACTTTTCTCATTGACTCTACAGATACAGGTTACTCCATCGAAGGGTTTAATTGTTTTGTCGTCATTAAACTTGTGAGGATAGCTATTGAGTCCTTATCCAGACGTATGGTGTTGCGAAAGGAAGAGATGTAGTGGTTGTGTCCAATTTGCCACACCAATAAAAAGTCGACACTTCGTCTTCTCGAAGCATCCACACCAATCTGGCACGACAAGAAGCGTCGAGTCACTTCCTGGGTGGTTGCCTAACCCAAAGGCAGCGATCTGTGAGCTCACGTCAAACGAAAACCAGAAGGCTGTTTGTTGTTCCTTCTCACTTGTCAACAACGCTCTTTTTTCCTTTGTCTCGGCCAAGATCACACCTGGGTTACCTTCGCGCACTGTCGTCCTACTATTTCCATCTTGTCCAACTACGAAACAGAGCGCTGGTTTTCCTGTGCTTCTAGAGGGTGTGGGTTCGCAGTTGAAGACTACTCTGAATTCACTATTAGTTGTAACGGTCACCACAACAATAGCGTGTGTTGTGCCTAATGGCTCTGGAAGATAGATCTCACATCCTTGCATCGGAGTCGAAGCTGATAAACTGAAGCCAGTGTCGCACTTTTTCCATGCGGGTTTATCATCGTTCTCTTCCATAAAGTGACGCCGTGAATTTTTTGAAACACGATCTGAAAGGAGTGCTGGTAGAAATTTGGACCCATCCCCCCCCCAGACCGTTACAGAGAAATTAATTAATTAGATAATCGGTTAATTATTAATTAGTTAATTAATTTTCTGTAACGGTCTGTGGTGGTTTTTGAGATCTCTGTAACAGTTTCTGAATTCTCTGTAACGGTCTGTGATGGTTTTTGAGATCTCTGTAACAGTTTCTGAATTCTCTGTAACGGTCTGTGACGGTTTCTGAATTCTCTGTAACGGTCTGTGATGATTTGTAAAGGCTTCATATACCATAATACAGGCCGTAACAGAGTAGCGCCACCGATCATCACTAACAGTGATAGACGGATTCCAGAAAATTAGTTTGATCGTGTTTCACATTTTAATCCCACAGGGATTGCGCTAATAGCTTTTTTTAAATTAGAGAAAGAAACTAAATATTTATAATTATAATAAATTCCTTTACATTCTTCTGAGTCTCGATAATGCAAGGGGTAATACATCGAAAAGCCTCACTCACACCCTCTATACTGTAAAACGAAAGAAGAATAATAAACTCTTAAAGGTTTCAGGAAAAATTACTGAGAGCCAAAATCCATATCTACAGGTTGGTGAGTGGTTGCAGTTAATCCTAAACAAAAAATAAAATAGAGTTTTTTTTAGTCAATATTGTAAATACTTACTATTGTTCAAATTGTTTCACCGATTGTAAATTAGAACAAGAAAGATAGAATTTATTTAATTTCAGAAGTATTTACTATTGGATGAGTCACGTTGGTTGAGTGCATAGATTATCGGACACGTATTCGTTCACCATAGAATGACTCTTTCGCAAGTCACTAAAGGCTGACTCTTTCGCGTGACTCATTCGATAGAGTATCAACTGTATCATTAGTCAGTATGCAAAGTCAAAACACACAACTCCAATATAGATGTCGCGGTGACAATGACGAAAAAATTCAAACCGAAACCCTGCTACATGAATAGCACGTTGACGATAAAAAATGTTGATTAAGCTTTTCAATTTCTCCATTGATACATTTAGAATCATCACAAACCAACAACTTGTGTACCTTGAGTAGAAAAAAGAGAATAATACATGTTATCTTGGAATTGATTAAGCCTCTTGATATTTTTGTTTTCATCAACTGTTTGAAATTCTTCTTGATTTAAATTATCTTCAATAATGAATCAACTAGATACAACTTAAGTCTTCTTTGATTTTTGTTCAAATTGTTATAGTTCGAGACGAGCAAACTCTTCTCATATTTATATTGCATTACTATCTTTACGGATCGACATATTTTGATTTCAATTTGTAAATACTAACATCGATGTGATTGTATATTTGGTGTGAATATTAATATTCTTTTTACATACACCCTACCGAGAGTCAGATCCACATCCCCGACCCTTTCCAGTCTTAAGTACTGAAGAAAGATGAAATATGGTGAATTGTTTTAGTTGGAGATCGTTTTCTTTTCTTTTGAATTCTGAGAGTAAACTATAAAACATTAGAGAAGGGTGTAAATGAAGATGAAACGTACACCTACACCACCGATAGCTCTACTATGAATGAAAACGACAACTACGTTTCTAAAATATTTCACTTATGATAGATTTGATCAACTGATTTTTATATAATTAAGTATCATAGAATTTTATTAAAAAGCTACAAACTGAAAAAATACTCCTGATGATAGTGCCAATTGGCGAATGTTTACCAAGAGAAAAAAAGATGTTGATAGTACTTGTTAGTCAAAATCTCTAACAATTATAGACATTCTTTTATTTCCACCATGATACTTACTCTTGCTATGCACATATTGGAATTCATTCTTTTTTTGTGAAAACAATAAATAACATATTACTTATTATTTAAAAAACACCTTACATAACTTATTTTCAAATAAATGCTCTGCCAGAAAAAAACGTTTTTGATATAAGTATGTATAGTAAATATTTTTGCAGTTAACTACCTTTTGAATATATCTAACGTTTTCGTTTTATTATCGATATTAACTTAGAGTAAGATTTAAAGATAACTGAAGTAACGATATTCGAATATTGTCATTATTTGCAATTAAAATCTTGAGAATGTGTGCGAATGGACTTGGATTGAAATTGATTCTAAAGCCCTACTCATAACCACAGGCACTAGTGCCTTCAAGTGTTAGCTTTAGACACTAAGTCAACTATCTTGTGCAATGTTGGTTTCTTCGATTTTCGGATTCATCATATTCACAACGACGTCGAAATGATAATCCTTGCTAAGCAAGAAATTCAATATTCCGAAGTATTTCCTTGAAATTAATTCCGCTCTGCAAAGTTTGTTTTGAAACATCAGCATTATTTTTATGACTTTTAGCTGCATTAATTCACAATTCATTGTCCAATTATTTAAATGATCAACAGTTAAATTTACTTTCAAATCGACAAACAAATAAATGTGGAAACCTCGGATTTAAATCCGAGTGTTATGTGTACTTCAAAAAGGGATATGCAATTTTTTTTATAATAAATCCAATTTGGTTTCTAGATGCAGTTTTTGTGTATTTTAAGACCTTTTTCAGTCAGTGTTTCGTTAGAAAGCTACGATTTAGTTCAAAACCAATATCAAATTCGGAATCAGCGTTAAAAACTGAGTCGATTTATATATGTTGTGGATAA